CATTCATGCAGCCAACGACAGCTAAACGGTTGTTTTGATATTTTATTTTGCATTTATGGCCAACAACGGTGCAGAACGCTTAATATTTTTGTTTGTTTGTATTGTACCTTATAATAAAATTTGAGTCATATTCTCAACAACGACAAATGTTTGTTTCTTACATGCTTCCCAACAGACTGAAAAAGCTTATTGGTTTTTTTTGGTTTTCTTGATTATCCTTTTTCTTTTTTTTTTTTTGATTTATGTAATATATAGTTTAGCAATGTTTGCTACAACAAACACAATACCCTTTCTTCCGCAAGGTTTGCCCACAACAGCACAACGCTTTCTTTGCCTGTTTGCCAACGACGCAAACGAGTCTGTTTTTATTTTCATGTTTGCCAACGACAGCAAACGTTTTTGTTTTTATTTTACATGTTTGCCCATCAACTGCAAGCGCACTAACTATTTGTTTGTGCTGTTTGTACGCTTATAAATTTAGCATCTCATGCACCAACAACAGCAAATGATTATACATTTTATTTAACGCATGGGCTTCCCCCACAACTGAAAACGCTTAATGGTTTTCTATTCTTTTGTTAGATATAGTATAAAAATAAAAAGCGTTTGCTGTTGTTGGCAAACATGAAAAATAAAAAGCGTTTACTGTTGTTGGCAAACATGCAGTAGAAAAGCGTTTGCTGTTGTTGGCAAACACGCACACTCAAAAAAAAAGCGTTTGCTATTGTTGACAAACATGCAGAAGAAAAGGGTTTGCTGTTGTTGGCAAACATGCAAAGAAAAGTGTTTGCTGTTGTTGGCAAACAAATGGCAGAAAAGCGTTTGCTGTTGTTGGCAAACCTTAAAAAAAATTGTTGCTGTTGTTGGCAAACATACAACAAAAAGCGTTTGCTGTCGTGGGCAAACATACAAAAAAAGCGTTTGCTGTTGTTGGCAAACATACAACAAAAAGCGTTTGCTGTCGTGGGCAAACATAAAAAAAAAAGAAAAAAAAACGTTTGCTGTTGTTGGCAAACAAACAACGAAAAGCGTTTGCTGTCGTGGGCAAACATACAAAAAAAAGCGTTTGCTGTTGTTGGCAAATATACAACGAAGAGTGTTTGCTGTCGTGGGCAAACATAAAAAAAATGCGTTTGCTGTTGTTGGCAAACATAAGAAAAGAAAAAAAAAACTTCTTTTCTCTTGCTTTCTCTCCCCGCTTCTCTTCATCAATAACTTCCTCCCTTAGTAAGGTTAGGGCAAGAGTCTCCTCCAGTTACAGGCTTTCTAAGTCAGTGTTTGATGGGTGTAAACATTGTCATGTTTTTTGTGGCGGGTTAAAAAAACTGAGGCAGTTTTTACCCTGGAATCAAACACCGACCATAAAATTGCGTCATTGCTCAGGCAAGACAAGGGCTGATGCACCAAAAGCCCAAAATGTTTTTCCTGAGATTAGGGTGTTGTTTATCATAACTAAGGGGCCCCCGCGATGGAATTAAATGGGAATTAATCGTTTAATTCGAGTTAATACCCGCGGGGAAAGTGCGCAGATTCCCCTTTTCTAGAATCGGGTGGTCCCACACGTATATCCTTAGTATGCTGTGGATATCATGTTACCTTAGCTATTTGCTAATCACCTTGTGGTATTATCTAGGTGGTCTTTTCCTGGCATATTTGTTTAAGTACAGTGATGCAGCTAGGGTCATGTCATATTTTGCAGCAAGACTCACGCGTTGTTTGTACGCGTTTTCCCCTCCCATCCCTGTCCCCTTGTACTCACTTCTCCTCCTGCTTATATCCCGTTATATGCTTCCTTCTGCCTTCTCCTGTCTCACTTCTTCTCACACAGTCATTCGATTGTGTGACAGGTGTATCAGTCTGATTATCGGGGTAAAAAACTGAGGCAGTTTTTACCCTGGAATCAAACACCGACCATAAAATTGCGTCATTGCTCAGGCAAGACAAGGGCTGATGCACCAAAAGCCCAAAATGTTTTTCCTGAGATTAGGGTGTTGTTTATCATAACTAAGGGGCCCCCGCGATGGAATTAACATAAAATTTATCTCATATATCTATAATGTTTATGTCGAATTTATTTAGTCAATACAAAGCCAACAATTCAACTTCATCCCCAGAAGATCTGTTTGAAGAAAAATGAAGCCAGGGTTTATCACAAAGCAATATTTGCATTAACCTGCATTCGCTTCTCTGTGATTCACGGCAAATGAATATAAAAAGGGTACAAATTGCATGAATAAGAGATTCTTACCTGTGTGACTCAATGTTCAAGAATAACCACGGAACAAATACTCCACGAAAGCGCGTTTGTCTCTGCGTCACAACCGCGAATTTTATGTTTATTACAACCTTGTTTGTTTACCACCAGACAATAAAGGATTTCCCCTTAAATTCTTCAGTCAGATACTAGCTAACAGACCAAATATTTCTCGAGAAATGAAACGCTAAATTTCACATCTGATCTATATGTTAGTTGCTCTTCTTTGACATGATGCCAACTTTCGTTTTCTCTCGGATAAAGAATGATTTTTCGAGTTTACAAATAGAATTAATGCCAGATGCCTGGTCATATCCTTGCATCGGTGAAAGATAAACTTTTTATTTGTGTGATAAAAACTAGGAGCAGGCCAAAAAAATTGGAGCAGAAACCAAAAAGAAAGTGTTAGTTGTGGCAAACCCAAGGCTCGGTCTGGCTGGCCCTGATGGCAATGTTGCGTTTATGATTGAGAATAATTATACATCACTGTAGTTTTGGTTGAGCTGTATGTTCAAGGCCTTGGTTGAGCTCCTCCAATAATTCAAAATATTTACTTAAAACCAAAATTCGCCTTGCTCATGGATTTTTAGCAGGTTAGCTGTCATAGACGTTTTGCCCCCCCCCCTCCCTTCAAGTATGCAATTTGTTCTGCGATCTCCTTTGCGATCTGGCTATTTTAACTTTTTGATAGTCAAGGTACCAAAAGGAAATTATGATTTATGGCCGTTTCTGGGTTTCTAGTAGACTGTTTCTTATAACTTATACTATATAAGAAAAGTGCGTGTTTAGTGCTAATAAGGATCATTTGTATTTTGATAGGAAGCAATCGCTAAGTATTAGTCAATATTGTGAGAATCATATTGAAGCCAGGGCATACCTTGATAACATCATAATCAAAAGTGCTTTGCTATAAACAACCGGGGCTGGATAACAGTGACGGAATTTAGTTTTATCCTTGCTGCTTGCCGATACTCTTTGCAACTCGATTAAAAAACACGTGACTTAACTTTCATTGGAAATGAGAAGAGCAAATTCAACGGAGATTGTGTAGATTTCAATTACACATATTGAACACACACGGATTAGCTCTGACAATACGCCATATTCACTTGGGAATGTAGAAGGAAAATATTTGTTATTTTTGTTCAAATCTATCGATATTTTATTAACCTCTTTGTTCTGTTGCACTTAGATAACGTCGCTTGGTGGTCACCGCAGGAGTGCTGGAACTGCCCTCATCCAGGGAAAGGCAAGAAAGTTGTCCAAAAGCGTGGTCATTTCAAGAGTCGGCAATCACAAGAATCAGAGCAAAGGTACAAGGAGATTGAGCTACGTCCCAGGGGAGCGTTGGCTACTTTATTTTGAAGGATGGTGCGCTTGCCAGATTTCACCCCTCTCGGCAAAACAAAACAGAGATTGAATCATAGCTACGTTGACCTGCATGGACTAAGCCGCAAAAACACAGTTTTTGACAAACTAAAGCGACGATTTTCTCAGTCCGAGAGAGACATTTCAAGCTTAGGGATAGATCTTACACAAGATCTAAACAACGGAATGTCAGAAGCATGCGAAGGAAACAGTTTAATAGTGTACAACATGATGACAACGACTAGCGACTGTCTTGAGCCCAACTTTGATAGCGATAGCGGTGCAACAGACTCAATGTTGCCCCAACGTCGATCATCAACAACTTTTGACGGGTTTTCTGACATAATTGACATAATTCAAGGAAAAGGTTTGACGATGGATTCAAAGCAGTCAAATGAAAATGGACATATGCAGGAAGAAGATGAGTGCTTTGACAATCAAGGATTTGGTTGCAACGAGGTTGTAATCGCTAATAAATCACTTGAGGATCAAAAGTGCGCTTATGGGATTTCACTTGAGAGGGAAGAATTAACGTATAGCGCACCAAATATTGACATTGCAAGGAAATATACAAATTATAAGGAGAGCAATGGAGATGGTATTACAAAATCCAATAAGGGTATTATGTGCAGCAACGGGGCTTGCGCAAATCCAGTATGGGAAGATGGTGCTTGCGATAACACTAGTGTCAAAACCCCATGTCTTGCGGACATGCAGGGTGACACTAACACGCATAATGGTGCAGAATTCGTAGAAATCAAAACAAGTAACAGTGGATTTCATAATGGAATGCCTAAGCCAGAGAATCAACTAGATAAGCAAAACGACTTTCAGCAAGAAGTAGGCCCTAGCTCGCGTGCTGCTTTGAAGTTCTCAACAACGGCCTGTAATGACAACGAGAAAGGGCAAAGTATTGCTTCTAAAATGTCGGCCGCAGATTACAACATAGTCGATAAGAGTTTGGAAATGAGTGGCTTGAAGACAAAGTGTACAAAAGGGAATTTATGTGAGGATTATCAGCAAGCAGGTGACCTAAAAACAACTCGCCTTAGCAAGATTACGGGCCGTTTTGATCAGAAGAAATCCTGTTTAAAAACTGGCAAGGATTTGGAGAGATCAACTGAGTTTGATAGCATTGAAAAAGAAGCAGACAAATCAAGTAAAGCGAACTTGTCGAAGCACAACACTGAAGCTACTATAATATGTGAAACGAGCAGCCATGACAACACGAGCACAGAATACAAGTCTAGAGATGGAGCAGATGGTTTTCTGTCTATGAGCAAATCTGAAAAGGAGATGGATTCGCCTGAAAGCCTCATTAGCCGAAAAACATTTATTCATTCAACCAAAGAATTGCCTTTTTACGAAACGGACAAAAGTATGTCATGTACTCAAAATTCCTGCGACGAGAGAACACCCCGGTGTGCATCCGAGGCAGTAAAAGCTTTGTTTGTCCCAGAATGTGAGCTCAAAAAAGCAAGCGACAGGTCAACCAGCAGAAAATCTAGTTGTCGAGAAAGGTCCTTGTCAGACGAAAATATCTTGAATCACAAAAGCAAGTCCACTGGCCGTACAAGACGTCTTTTCTCTGCGCCAGATTTACTTCGTATCGATAGCAAGGACAAATCATATCTTGAGAAGATTTTTAGTGAGAGAGGCTCAAGAGCGAGGTCTATGTCATTGAAAAGTGCAATGAAAAGACGAACTTCAGAACCTTCAGCGAACAACTTAAGGGTCAGGTTTGATTTAAGCGGATCAAAAGAACAGGAGCGTCAAAGTGCAAGCAAGCAGGGCACAGATGCAAGTCCCTGCTCGGAGCCGAAGAAAAACTGGCGATATGTCATCAAGAAATTTAGGATCAAGCAACCACTTGCCGATATGGGACTAATTAGAGGTACAGGTGTGAGTGAGAAGAACCCAGGGAATGACGGAGAAAGGACTGGCTGCTCCGAGAAAAACGGAAAAAGACACAATGATGTTGCATCAAGGCCAGAAATCTCATTGGAGTCAGTGAAAGAGTTCAATTTGGTACTGCCTTTTGCAACCCAGAGGACAATTGTTGAAGAAAAAGCAAGCGAGAAGGCTGCAGAAAGTGACTTTGAAAAATCTGCCCATTCCCGGTAAGTTTTTTATTTTTATTATTATCTTTGAGATGTCTCCCATTTATCATACAAAAATGTTTATTTAGTAGACCCGTCATTCAAACAAAGTAATTTGCTGTTAGTCAGTTGGATTCCTTGCAAATCTTAACTGTTCTATACAGTTGTGGCACCTAGAGCTCACACAGAGGACTCATTTGCCATAACACTCCCTTTTCAATATTTTTCATTTTTCTTGTAGAATACAACTATTTTTTAATTATTCTGCGCTTAGTCGATTTGGTTATTTATCCGCTACATTTAGTGCGAGCGACAGAAACCAGAAAGGATCAATTGGCCTTTTTTTAAAAAGTAAATTCGCAAAATGATACATATAATGATGCAAAAAACATTTTCGAAGACCAAGCCTCTTTTTACAAATGGTAATCTAATGGGGTAACAGTTCCATAATCTTCCTTTTGGGGCGCATATCTGGCGCATTAAGAAATAGGTATCAATCATCCGAGAATAGTGATATTGAAGGCATGAAAAGTTTCACACGAATCTTTAATGAAAAATCTTATTTAAGTAAACGTGGCATATTTCAATTAAGCAATCCCTTTAAGAAACTTGCTTGAACCATTTGCCGAAAAGATAAGCACGTTAAAATGCTAACAGAGATTGATGCCAATGGATATTAATGCCTCGCATTAACTGCATATCTAAAGCACCTAAATTCGCCCAGCCATCTTCTCGTTTTCTTATCTGCATTCTATCTGTATGTTCTGTCCTTCTCACCTCATCTCGGCTTCCTTTGTAATCTTTAGAGGCAACCTTAATTGCATCCTTTCTTCATACCTATTCAAGGCTATAAACTTTGTTCCAAGGAACTATTATCATATGTTTTATACATTAAAGGAACTGCGAGTTTTTGTCAGAGTCCCAGGAAGTGTCCCACGGTGAAAGCAAGGCACGTTTTGGTCTCTGACCGTGTTTCTAAAACCTCTGATTTGTCAGGAAAATTAGCGTTGATTTGCTTAAAAGTTGCTCCAATCGATATCACCCGTAGCTGATTAAATGCAAATCTACAATATGTTTGAATAAGTTTCAGGAAAGGCATTTTAGAAGGAATTTGTTAGGACATATTGGTGTAAATCTGCCCCCATCTCAAAGCCCAGTCTCTTCTTCTTTTTTCTTCCAAAATGCTATCCTGTTTTGTTCATCTCATTGCTGTGATTCGAAGGAGCAGTTTCGTGCTTCCTCTAACCATAAGCTATGAATGTAATATTATTTCCATGCTCCCTGCTTGCAGTTAATTGCGTTTTTCTGAAAATAAAGCTGCTCAGATTTGCTCAATAAAAGATCGAAAGGGTCTTCACGTCGACAATCCATCTTTATTGCACATATTTTACCTCACATGTTGTGCATCACCAGGAAGGAACAAGAATCGAATATATCCTCAAGGATATACATAATAGCTTGTCCATCAAGACATCTTTTGTTAAATAAGAACTGTTTTGTAAACACGTAGCCTCTCTCTTTTCATAAGACAACCAACTGCTGCTAAGATCTAAAGGTTTTGTTTTTTCTAAGTAAAAGTTTTTTGTTTTTTGTTTTTTTTATCTAAAAGTTTTTTGTTTGACCTGCTTTTATACGGGGAAATTTTATATGAATGATATAAATTATAAGTATTTTCCATGCTGTCAACACAATAGACAATTATCTTTATGATAATCAAAATGTCATAGGAAGTGTAATCACAATTTATTTCATTATTGTATTGCTCACCAATCAAACTGGGTTATTGGCAATCTCCTTTCCAACAGGCTCTAGCTACAGTTTGAATATCTCTTTACGTCCAATAATACGTAACATCATGGGTCGCACAAAGGCATGGCTAGAGGGGGGAAGGTGAAACCCTTTAATTGAAATATTCAAACCCCATCGGCATTCATGAAAAATGTTAGCCCATCTTCTTGATCTTTTTGCGAGATCCGCCCTTTTGACGAAAATTACACAACCTCTGGTAACACTCCTTTCTCTACTTCTCTTACCATACAAAACGGCTCTTGTGCTACGTAAATGGGGGTCCTAACATTTCAAAATTATCGTTATTAATTTTCGCGTTAGAGTGAAATCTTCATTAGTGTTTAACTTAGTAAAAAAACTTTAACAATTAATAAAAAGCAATTCACTTTTGATAAAAGCATCCAAGAAAATTAATTTCACAACCCTGTACGAGAATTTATCCACAACAAATATTTCTTTATCGTTATTGAATTATCTATCTTCCATGCCAGCTGCAATTCACTTTTTCATCGTGCACAATTAATTATGAAAAATCCCAGAATGTATCTTGCTAGCGAATCCCAGCATGCCATGAGCAGATGCTGCACTCAGCCTTGAGACAAAAGTTTCTGTAATATTAGGTCTTATCTTTGGGTAATTTTGTGGCACAGAAAATATCAGGTCGCAAACAACTTGACATAAATTGAAATGCAGTAGGTCCTTGCTACATGTCAATACAACGATGTTGTGTCTTTATAAAGTTTTTTTGGCTCTAAAATCAAATATAATCTCTTTACGCTGATATCAAATCTAATCTCTAAACTGAAAATTTGCTGCTGTTCTTTGAAATTCCTATTTCATGTGATTATTTGAGCAGGCTATGGTCAATGTTAAAATCCAATCAAATGAAATAGAATTATGTTGATTTAAATGAAATAATTTAAGCATCGAATATCATGGCAGTGACTGATCGCGGCAGAATTTTTTGTCATAACAGTGGCATCAATTCCCAGAAAATGAGAATCAGTGTTGTCTGAAAATGTTTATTAATGCTTCTTTCTTTTCTATGTTATATTTTTGACCCAGAAAACAACCATCTTTTCACCTGCGCTTCTTTTCACAAGCCAATTGCCCATGCCTGTTTGAACTGTGATGAAATCTTAATTTCAGGAGTGGAAATCCTCTTGTATCAAAACTCGATGATAAAAGAGAGACAGATGGCAGTTCAACTCCTCTTCTCCACGTTGCAGCCTCGGATGGAAACGTTGAATTATTGAAGAGACTAATCGAAGTAGGAGTGGATCTAAACACTAAAGACAGCGAGGGCTGGCCTGCGTTGCATTACGCAATATTGAAGGGTCATTTCCAGTGCGCCGCATTGCTGTTGGACAGCGGTGTCGATGTCAACTGCTATACTGACGATATCATCAAAGATTACTGCAAAGCAATTCGACAGGTTATCATGTATAAGCAATTGCTCGAAAATAAGAGCCAATGAAGTTTGACATCCCCTAATCATGCAATCAGAATATAAAGTCACTTCAATCTAGCGGGCGTTCTTCTTCATTTGGGTACTGGCTGGGTCCTTGTCGAATTTACTACTAATCAGCATTGGAGGAATTGTTAAAAAGACCCCAATGCATTTCTATAACCTTTTAGTATAGGAAAAGAATAGCAAATTTTCCTGCAAGGAGATTTTGCTGTATTCTCACGGCTAACGTATACTGGGTTTGCTTATAAGCCAGAGAGAAAGATGCAGCGTTTTCTCCGTAGAGACTTTCTTTCCATAAGACATTAAAATGTTGGATCACTGACGTATCAAAAACGGTGGCAATAGATTTTTGCACCATCATCGTCTCATTCTCTTACGGAAAATCTAGAATTTGATATTCTTTGTGTTTGTAGAATCATTTTATCAAGATGCACACCATTGTGTTTTGTGTTAGCTTTGACTCATGTGGAGATATCTCCATTTTATTATCTTAACATGTTTAAAGTTTGTAAATATTTTGTTGACAAATTGAGTATGGGCAGATCCGTAAGATTTTAATTAATATATTGCAATGAAAATGCATTGATTGTTAATAGACAAACAATCACGATATTATAATAAAAGGCTATTGTTTAATGGTTATAAACATATATAAGTGACGATAACTGACCTGTCAAAATAAAGAAAACTAGTGCGTTTAACAAGACTTTACCGGAGAAATTATGAGCTTTGGTGCTGGGTTTTAGTTGCAAGAAGACCTTATTCCAAAGGCAATTGGCCAACCCTTTATTCTGAAGACCTTTCCTTTTATATGATAATCTTGAGGCCCTTCTCTTGAGAGATCATCTTCAAATATTACATTGATCCCCATTAAAAATACTCATGTTTTCGTGTTTCCTCTAAAAACCCTAGCCTATAAGGAAAGTTTGCACGCAGGCTACAGCTTCTCTTGTTCTCCATAACCCCTGGGAGGGCCTCGGTCTTATTCGAATATATTCTCGCTTATTTAAGTACGGTCATTGGCGTGCTTGCCAAGGAAAAATCTCAATGTTTAAATAATGCTTCGTTAAGTCTAACATCTCCACAAGGGATATGTGTCGTTTTATTTGCCAATAACATTAGTGCAAACAATTTTAAAATAGAAAGACAAGTTCTGTTTTCCAATAGTCATGTTAGAAAAAACTGTAACACTTATCTTAAATGCAAAAAGCTTATCAAATCAAATCAAATCATTATGAATCTATCATTGAATCGTTTCTTTTCAAAGTTCTGTCGGAAGACCGTGAGCGGCTAGGCGAGGTCGAGGTCCTGAAGCCAGAAGACGAAATTCTTCATCATCGCCTCTCGAAATTCTTCTTCAATTAACCTAATTCTTCATCGCCTATTCTTCATCGAGGCTCGCTGTGCATGCGCTCATGACGTTCTGACTAGAGATTTATTCCTATTGGCTCAAATCGGAGTTCACTGAGTCTCCTCCAATTAGGATTTTTCAGATATGAGTTCGTGAATTTTTCAAAATGAGATAATTTTTGCTCTCTAAAATGTGCGTCATAAACGGAGAGGAAGCTTTTCAAATGGTGCTGGTACGGAAATAAGAGGTTTAATTAATTACAGTTTGAGAGTGGGGATTAAAGGCAATCTGTCACGACGTTGATTGATTATAAGAACAAAGGGATTTTTTATTGTTTCCAGTCCCCCTTTATTTTATCGCATTGTAAAAACTATGGCGGAGCGCTGAAATCGTGTTTAGACTATTGTTCCAGCTATTTTTCTCGTTAACCAATCCACAACGAGACAAATTGCCGTTAATGTTCAAGCCAAATACAATATTATTTAATCTTGTGTTTTCCTGAAACTAAGCTCCTCCTCCCTAGACAACCGAAGCTGCTAAAAGTAGTTTTTTAGTGTAACTACAGCATTCAAGTTGGGAAACATTTCCTGTATAGCTAAACATTTTCTAAAATTTTTGAATGATTAAAGCCAAGGTATTAGCAAAGTAAAGTAACAATTCCAAAGAAAAGGTAAATGTAGTGAACGAGAGCCTAGACTGTGGTTTTCATGCAGTAAAGCGTTTCTAATTAGGTCAATGTCTCAAGAAACATTTTTCGCATATTCTCGAACACGTCTCTAGGATACATAAATTCGTTCTTACAAGCAAGCCCTATAGAAAAGACATAGCAATAAAAAGTTTCAAGATTATTGGGACACTTTTATAATGTCGAAGACTTTCTATGCAGTGAAATTTTTAAGATTTTCCAATCCTTTCTCATTGAAAAAGAAAGATACGTATTTATAGGGCTGTAAATCTTTTTTTACATTTTACAAGAACAAGATTACAAAGACGATGCCAATGGGAGCATGACAGGCATGGCTACCCATTGACCTTAACAAAAAACAATACAGAAGCACCAAAGGCTATACCAAAATCCTGTTTAGTCCGTGCGGATAGCTGGTTCGATCAAAAGACAAAGAGGCTACAACTTGAAAAGAAGACAAAATTTGGACAAGATTTTGGTGTGGTCTTTAGTGCTGTTTCTACATTACTATTGCAGATTGAATATGACTGGAGAAGGTAAGTCGGTTGTCAAACACGACCCCTAGATGTTTATGTTCGTCAGCCTTCATGACAGTTTCATCGTTAAAGAATATAGGCGGTTGATCAATGATAATCTTTTTTCTAGAAAATTTCACTTCAACTGCTTGCTTCGCCGGGTCAGGATTGAACGACATCCTCTAGTCATGTGCACAACATTTGATACGATCTATGTCATGATTCAGATCTTCATTTGGGTTGTGAGCAACTGAAAGAATCGATGTGTCATCGGCAAATAACTTAAAATTGCATTTGAGATCTGTTGAGATCATTGATGTAGACAAGGAAGAAAAGGGGACCTAAAATCGACCCCTGTGGAACTCCAGTACTAATTTTGCGCCATTGTGATGCTTTGCCATTCAAGACAGTACGCTGCATGCGGTCTTTCAAAAAACTGCGAATCAGTGATAAAAACTGCCCAGGGACACCATTTTGCTGTAATTTGTAGATCAATCCATCATGCCAAACTCTATCGAAAGCTTTCGAAATGTCTAAAAAAACCGACCGTACATCTAGAGGAGGGCTGCAGCCCATCAAATGCAACAGAGATAGAGCGAACAATTGAGATCAACTGGTTGATAGTGGAGTCTCCAGGGCGAAATCCAGATTGGTTTAGATTCAGCAGTTCATGAAAGGAAAGGTGCTCGTACAAAGAATCAAACATTAACTTATCTAATTCTTTGCCAATAATAAGAAGGAGGGAAATGGGACGATAGTTTTGCTTGAGGTTCTTTTTGTTCTTTCTGTGAACATGAACGACATTGGCTCTTTTCCAAAACGCGTTCTTTCAAGTATGCTTTGAATGTTCACTTTAGAGGAAAGACTAGGCTGTCGTCGCAAATTCTAATAATCCCAACAGATATGTCATCCCATCCATGTGCCATATTTGGGTTTAAGGAACGTATAATATTGAGTATTTTCTCCTCTGAGACGCAGAAATCTGTCAATGAAGGTGCTTTGGATAAAATCTGACCTGGTACTTGGCTTCCAGTACCTATTCTAGTACATTGGAGTACAAAACAGTCGTTGAAAATTTGACGAAGATTTGCACATGTTGACGAAGATATAAACAATGATTTCGTTGTTATTTATACTTTTGAAAATTGTCATTAGTTCAATATTTATTATAAACATTTTTTAGTTTCGTGCGTAACATTATTGCTTTTCGATGAATTTTGGTAAGAGGCTAATTGTTTGCTCGAACTATTTTGGATTTTAGAGGGGCGTGTTTGTTAACAATGCTACTAGAAATATCTTGAAAGCTATTAAATGCTTGATTACCATCTTGTAGATGTTCACAAAGATTAAAAGGTGCTGCCAGCAAATCTTTGCAGAAACCTTCCTCTGTGAATTTACTTGAATCTCGGTAATGTTGAATTTTAGGGTGCTGGTGTTTAGGCAGAGACGATTTCAATTTAGTTAGAACTCATTTGTGGAAATCACTTAAACTAGATTCAATTGCTATGCTATTTTTAAAAAGGCGGAATTTCGTTTTCGTCCAATTAGATACTTTGTTTACAATTTTCTTTTAGCCGATCAGAGCTCGCCAATTTTGTCTGGTTTGTTTACAACTTTCTCAAAAGCCCCCCTAGTTGTGGAGAAAAAGCACTACTGGAGTTTGAGGCTGCCAAGAAAATACACTTTAGATCAAATTAACCAAAATTAAAAATTTACAATGTTCATAAAATTTACTACAAAATTACCGCTGCTTTTGAGTGAATTCCTTGTAATATTCCAGAAATCGCAGTATTTAAACGTTTTTCACTTCCTAAGATTTAGAATTGCATATTCTATAGAATTGCATATTACTATAAGAATTGCATATTACTATAAGAATTGCATATTACTATTAGAAATACTCTAAGGTTCTTAATGGAAGGGGGGACGCTTATTAATTTTTCGATTTTTTTCTGACCCCACCGGAGCTTATTTGGACCCCCCGTTTATGAATTTTTATATGCAGTCATTCATATCCCTTATTTCATTTGTCCTTTGTTTTTTCAGGTGTGAAATTTCTGTAAAGTTTCTCTTAAATGAAGAGGTTGCATTGTACAAATGTTTTAACATAGAAAAGTAGTATAAAATCCGAAAAAAAATTTACATAGGCCTGGATGTACACAATGATAATTAGCCTGCTCGTTTTAGTAATACAACAATGCATTATAACATGGTGATAATTGTAATTTTGCTATCGATTGTATTCAGAAGAAAATCGCATTTGACCCCAAAAAAGAATCATCACGTAAATTTTTCAGATTTTTCACATTTCCGACCCCCCCAGTTGCTAGATAACACACCCCCTCCGCTTATTTATTTTTGAAAAATTTCTGACCCCCCTCAACTATCAAGACCCCCTTCTATTAAGGACCTTAGAGTATGCATGGATTGTCACGATAGAACACCAGTCATACCTAAACCATATTGAATTGACTAGAGGAGTAATAGCTACCATCGCAATTTCAGCAATCAAAATATCCGCAATTTTAGAAACCATCGTCTCAAAAAATTTTCCCGGACCCCTTTAAAGTGCATATGACACGAAAATTTTTATTCGCCCCCAACACGTAATCGAGTATGCTGATCACGAAAACCACCATAAAATTTTCGAAAAACAAACACTTTCATAATTACAGCTGTTTCAATGTCGATTTTTGCTTCAAATTCTGTCACAAGGGATTGGGTCGAGTTTGACAGGAAGTGACGTAAAGTGGTTGTGTTAGTGAAAATTTAGATTGCTAACTAACAAGAAATTATACGGCGGAGTTTTACTTGCGAGTTTATGAACATGTCTCACGGCAAATATTCAAGCTCGAGGGCGTCAGCTTTTGACGAAAGTGAAGGGGAATAGCTTTTAGGTGCTGCTCATGGGCTATTTTTGCCTTGCAAGAACGAACCAGTCTTTTTTCTGCGGATAATTCAGACGCGGAACTAGGCGAAGCTGGCATGGCTCGAAGCTTTCATGACCTGGCAGAGGACGAAGATGGAATTCAAAAATCTCAACTGCGTGATCGATGGCGAGGAATTATTACTTTGAGTCAATGGTGAGTGAAATAAGTTGTCATTGTGTTTTTTAGTGTTATAAATTCAGTATTCCCTGTACATCTCTGCTGTTTTTAGGCCACCATTCCCTGATCATAGCGGCCTGGCCTATTGCGTTGTATGGGCGAATGAAGAAGAAGTTATACAAATACTGTCTAGTTGCTATACTGTAAAAGTTATACTGTCTAGAAATACAAATTCTGTTTGGCACCTTCAAATCTTAGAATTAGTAAATTTAATATTTTATTTTCATTAAATCTGGCAGAAATAAGTATACCATATACATATAAAATATATATGTAATGTTAGGATCCTGCCGATTCTAAAGAATGTAAGAGAAACTCAAATCAACCATTATATTAAGTCATACAATGTTTTTGTTCAATAGGTATCTCTGTGCAATGGCATACAGTCTTGGTGTCTGTCAGAGACAAACGTAGATACTTCAATTCCAGAACTTCTGAGAGATTCAAAACCTTGTTGATGCCAAAGCAACTCCATCTGTGCAGAGCTTCCGTTAACGCTGCTTGCCTGTGAAGAACGAGGAACACAAATTTCAATGTTTACATTTAACAACAAACATGATCCAAGATTAATTTGTTGGTCTTTGACCAAGGCTGACCAGGTCAAAGACCACTATTTCTGTTATACAGAAACGACTCCGTGATTTAATTGAAAGTTTTTATATCATGTTTTTTTACTTGATGACTTCTGTTTATTGTTAATCGATTCTCACTTGCATTTTGAATTTTTATCCCATAGAATATCATTTCCCTGCTTCTTAAATATTTCTTGGGTTGCCAACCCCCTGCTTTTTTAGTTTCCAAAACCTTTTTCGCTTTTGTATAAAATATTGAAGTAGTTTACATTTGTTTAAATGGTTTAAAAAAATAACTGCAAAATTGATTATTTGGGTTATTTTTATGTAATAAAAACGGTGATATGGACCCAAACGGTGAGAGACAAGGAGTCCCTTTTTTCCATTAAGCGAGTGCCCCCGGTGTTGTAGAGTCATTACCAATAACGTATCTCAGCTGTTACACAATATAACGTTGTTAGGCAGTTATAAAAAAACAATAGGAAACTTATTACTCACCATGCTTTTTTCATTCTTGCTTCGTTCTTTGTCCTGTTTTGGTTTGCGAACTGAGGGTAGAGCATCACGTCGAAAAAATGTTTTGGTATTTTCGGTGTCAAAACCAGGAGGAGAGGGAAATGTACGGGAAAAATCAGTCGGAAAAATACGCTGCATTTTTAATAAGTAATGCCAAGCGCCGAACTTCTATTGGGGCAGGTTTTCCAGGATGGCAGTCAAGCACAACGGTATCTTCCTCAAGGGGGTATCCGTTCCATAAAGTCATGCACAACACTTTATTTCAATTTTTATCAATTTTATAATGAATCAAAAAAAATTTCTAAATTACTTTCCGACCTTTGATGGCATTGCTTGAGTTATCTAAATAAAACTTATTACAATTATGGAGAAAAAGAATCTTTAGGGGGACAACAGTAGTGCCCGCACATAGTGAAACCATACAGAAGCCTTATTCTATTCAACGGATACACAACCACTTTACGTCACAGGGGTCACGTGACCACAGGTTCGACCGCGTTTTTCTTGTGACACATTTTAGCTCGAGTGGGTGTTGGAAAACCCCGTTTTTTGGGGAAAGTAAGTCGCAAATGAAAAAACTAAGTTCACCATCGTTACCAGCGATGTTTCTTTGATGATTTAAGCGAATAAAAATTTTCGTGTCATATGCACTTTAAAGGGTGGCCTCCGATGTGCCTTGCATCTTTCTTTCGTTTTGACCCGGGACCCAGAAATCCTCTTCACCGCCCTGGACACCCATAGCGCAATTTGTAGCTATTTTGAATTGCTGATGGTTTTTAGGTGATACTTTCTCGGTCTAATCCTCATCTTATCCCAACTGTTTGCTTAAGTTTTGCTTTGGGAACTATGAAAGCAAAACCCGACAAGATTTCACTTTTAGAAAATTTGCCGACGAGAAATTTCTAGGCAGGGGGCCGCACCCCCCTCCCCCCACTAGCGACGACCCTGATTGGATCATAACATCCATGCCATATGTGGATATGAGGCAGATCGAGCATTAATCGGACATTTGCCAAAAAAACTTTCAAGGGTTCTATATTATTTTCTCAGGCCCAAGTCACTGGTAAACGAAAGCGCGAAGTTGGTTTGGACTTCCCGCTTGTTGTTGGTTATTCCAGGTCGATTTACGGCAAACACAAAGGAAAAAAATGCCGTTATTTTATAAGCAGAATTGTAGAAAAGGAAATAACTTTCTAGCCATTTAGATTTCTTTGTAGAAAGTCTAAAAAAGCCAAATCTCAAACACATTTTTCAATGGTTTAATTGATATAACATGTTTTATTTGAACAATTTGGTTTGTATTGTTTTTATTCTCTTCGTTATCGTTGACAAATCGTTCTTATAGGCGGGCGCTCATCGTGGGGGGGGGGTACTCATTTAAAAATATTTCATAAATAAATAAATAAATAAATAAATAAATAAATAAATAAATAAATAAATAAATAGCACCGAATCTCCAATTCGGAGCAGTTACTTTTACCCAAGTGCACTGGGGAAGTAACACAGGTAGTGTTATGATTTTTAGTTTATAAATTTGTCCACATATTTTTGAACAATGCTAAATACTTTTGGATTATTTTTTGTCATGTTCGCAAAAATATGATAGTTTTTATTTTCAACTAGGGAGCATTCCCACAAATGCTCGACATATTCCTCATGATCTCCACACCTCCTACAAAAAGCACTTTCATTTCCCCCCTGTTGCCTTAAAGTCTACCATATTTAACTTCGATTTTAACAATTTAGGGGCTTCGCTGTGTTTTATTCTAAGAGAACTTTTTCTAATGAATCTTGTTTTTGATCCATTGTCCTTTCTTAGGTCAACTTCAATAGATTTTACTACACTTTGTTTGATTCGTTTTTCCCATTCTTCAGTTGGCAGATTGCTGATTTGTTTCTCTGTAAGATCAATCTTAAGGTTTTTTAAATATTTTTTTTTAATTTGATAGTGCCAGCAATCTTTGAAGTTTAGTATTTTCTGCTCACTGTAAATTTGTTTAGTTAACATTGTTTCTTTCAATTTTAGAATTCTATGTAGGTATACAAGTCATTCTCTATTATTCTGTATTTCATTGGTTTAAGACCACATTCACATGTCAGGCCTTGATATGGTGTTGAAGCTGGGAGATCATTACTACTGGTTACAGCATCCTTTTGTATATTCTCAAGTTTTTTCATTTCCTTTTTTGGTATTTTTGACCAAGTCTCACATCAAGGTAGTCTCACATTCCTGTAGAAGAGGTGCTTTTTCAGTGAGGGGGGAGGGGGGCTCTTTCGAGGAAATATGGTATGAATTGGGGGAGTAAACTTACACCCCTAATGTTGTGTGTCCAAATTGCTTTTTATCGCCAATAAAAACATATTGTAAAAATAATATGTATAAAAACATGTAGTAGCTTGATTGACGTTTGGATGTTGAATCCTCATCAAAAGTCAAATATTTCATTAGGATAAATTTCTTGAAAGAACTTGAACAACACTGTTCATTGTAGGGGTTAATCAGCAACATTTTCAATATTTTTACTCTATCTATTTATTTCACATTGTTCCAAATAAATTTTGAAATGTGGCTGGAGATACTTTAAATGTAAGATTTGGCATCATTGGTCACCGAAGTAAATCTTTGCTATGCGAGATTTTTAGGTAGATAAGAGAAAACAAGAAAATACAAGCTTATATGTGCATGAGAATTTCATACTTTAACAAACTTATTTCTTTCCCATTTTCATTTTGTCAGTCTCAGCAGCCTCTTTGGCTCTCTTGGCACGAATTCCAACCAGTCTTGCATTGGCACGAGCAATACGCATAGAGCTAAATACACTAATTTTCTTCTCATCCTCGGTAACCTTTCTTGCCTTCTCAGCCTGCTTTGTCTGCAGGATAGGTTGGACCTGTCCTTGCAATTGAGTGGCCAAAGCCAGTTCTGCAGCCTAGAAATAAAAATTGTGATCACAAACACGTTCCTATGCAAGTGAAGAGCAAATGCCAGCAAAAGCATAACCAGAATAACAACAGCATGTTTGGTTATGGTTTTCTGCACATTGGCCTATCAGGAGATAGCTGGGGTTTTCACCATCAAGGGTTACTGAAGACAAGAAAATGTGTTTAGGTGTCCATGTGAGTGATCCTTCAGCTAGAAAAGTCTCCATTTGATAAAGCACTTCTCTATGAACTTTTCTCTTTCAGATTTGCCTCACATAGATAAGAAATGTTCTTGTGGGGCAGCAATAAGTACAAAGGGCAAGAGGTGAACGCATGCAGAGTCAAGGTGGCATGTTCAAGGACATACTTTTAGAAGATAAATGGCGGACAGGAAATGTCTGCAGACTTAGTAAACATTGTGATCTGTTAACACCCAAGATGTAAAAATTGGTGTGGACCAGATGAAACTACATAGTCGCAAGAACTTCCCAGATTGTTGAAGGCAAATCTTCTAAACCATATATATATAAGAACATACCTCGCTATCACCAGCCTTTGGTTTATTGGCCTTTCTTGGGAAGAGTATCAGCTTGCTTTTGTATTCATTCAGTCGCTGCACATTGGCTTGCAAAGATTCAGTGGAGCGATTCTTCCTTCTGTGGTCAACTGCAATACCAACGCTTAAAGCCCGCTTTGCTGAAATACCAGCATTCTGTTAACAAAAACAACACACATCATCACAGCCTTCATCAAACCATCAAGAAATTGCCTGATGATCACAATGGGTGTTAAACTGACAGTGGCAACTTAAAACTACCCTGTCTACAGGTGTACAACTCTCTCTTTATGGTATCACAGAGTAAAACAGAATGGTAAACAATAATCTTTTCATGGCATTCGACACAGGTAAAAGTGGCTCACAGCCACTTGACCCTCAATGGCTGGCCTTCCAATTATGTATATATACAAAGTGGCCAATCACATTATCATGCAATTTAAAAAGTGATTGAGAATTCCCTTTCTTCTTGACAAGTCTTCTGATAAAACCAGGCCAGATATATTCTAAGGCAGTTTTTTCTTCCGTATCAGTTATGAGCCTTCCCCAGAACCATTTCCACCAGAAAAGGAATAGATGTATACATAATTGGAAGGCAAGTAATATATAATAATTTTGAAGAAAATCAGCTTAACACTATATATATTTATACTAAATATATATTCACATTTTTAAGTTCATCATAGGCAAGAAGCTATTGAGAGCATATATATATATATGCTCAAGAAGTTCAACAGTTTATTCAAAAGAAACAATTTGAAAATACCTTCAACTCCTCTAGTGTGAAGCCTCTTCCAAACCTTACTTTAGTGTTGTATTTAAAAGTTGGACATCTGACAACAGGTCTAAGAGGGCCTGCAACTGGTCTGGGAGAAATCTTGAGTGCTTTCTTCTGCCTAGCAACACGTCTTTTCTTCTTTTTTCCTGGCTGATCAAACCATGTCTTTATGTAGTTTTGCCAGTGTTTGTGGAAATGGGCATTTGGAATAACGTTATTGTGCTTCATTCTGCAAAGATACAATAGCAATTTCAGTTGTATATACTTATTGCCAGGTGAAAACATAAGATTACCTAGTTTTTTCCACAAAGTATATACATCTGTATATATATATATATATATAGATTTTCAAAGGAAACATCATGCTGAATAAAAATAAATGGCCTACTGGTTTTAGGATGAGTCTGTTTCAATTTCTTTAGCATAATGATGTATTTCTATTAGATGAACTGCCTGATGATTGCATACAGCATAAAATTCAGTTGCAACTTAGAGCTGTCCTGTTCTATGCATCAAAAATGGCACAACTCTGCATTTTATGACAAATTGGTAAAACAGTAATTTTCATTAGTATGAAAGAGAGAACAAAACTTAAAGAAGCATTCTTTACACATGGAATGAGCACTAAACAAAGCTAGATGTGCACTGAACTAAGGCCAGCTAATATGTTTCAGCAAAAACATCTTGCTGACTTAAAACATGACATTCAGCTGACTAAAATATTGTGAACCATGTTTTGAAATTGCTGGGAATCCACAGAAAATGTGAGTCCCCAAAATCGGGCATCAACTTCCAAAAAGCCAATGTCCAACTCAAATGTTTCACCAAAAAAGAATGACTAATGATGCACCACACTTTTCGATTCTATTTCGTTACTTGGGAAAATTGATCTCAACTACAGGCCTTAAGGACAGTCAACGTTAAGGGGTAAAGAAGAACACAACAAACACTGTTACAAAACTTATGTCTTCTAATATATATATATATACAAAATTGCATTATCAGAATGTGAGCACTTTGCCAACAGTGAATAGGTAGTCGATATTTTTCTACTTTGGAAACTCTACGGCAGCTAACTGTTTTTCATTACAAAATTTTATGGTAAATTTCAACGATTAGTCTTCTTACAGTTTTGGAAATATCTTACAGAACATTATAGAACTTGAGAAATATGTTACAGATCGTTGGCCATTATAGGTCTCCATATGCAATGTTAGTTCGTGCGTAATAATTAACTTTTATATCAGATGTAAGAAAGGATACAATAACAGAAAACTTAAATAAATCTGGAATATTATGTTGGAGTCTGAGTTATCAAATTAATTTTAAATATGATGATTTCTTTGGATGATAAAAGGCATATTTTTCACTTACTTGGCCTAGGCACAGCACAAACGGGAGAGAGCTATCCTCGAAAAGATCGTACAGAGGTCTGGGAATCAGTTTATTACCACAGGGATACGTGGATGCTCCATTCCAAACTCAAAAAATTCCTAATGGCGGACGATACTGGTAGCTGTGGCAGGACCAGGACCAAGAATGATGGCGTTAAATTTGCAATTTATGCTGGTTTCTTTGCAGGTCTTGCTTCCGTATTTGCTAAAATTGCATTCAGTAGAAAATTAGTCTCCAATCTTTTATGTGGCGAAGGAGAATATTTTAGTCCCATTTTCTATGGAATGTTTACCTGTGAGAAAGTAAGTTGTTGTCTTGATCGCATTGTCTAAGTCTTGCATCATAGATATGTATAGAAGTGGGGTGAAAGGAAACTTTCTTAAAAATGTCTACGAATTAAACAATGAAGGATACATTCAAATCCACACACCTAGTGGAATTACAAGACAGGTTAGAATTAAAGAAAATTTAAAACAAGGAACTATCTTGGCAGCCCCCATCTGTGCCAATCATATTGATAAAGGTATGCAAATAGTAAAAAGAGAAAACCTAGGAATTAACTTTGGGAACATTTTGATACCTCCACTACTTTACCAGGATGATATATTAATTGCTTCCATATCTCACAAGAAAATGCAGGAAATGATTACTATTGCTGAAGAGTTTCAAAAGAAAAACCTTTTGAATTTCAACTTGGATAAAAGTGAACAAATGATCATGCAATATAGCAAAAGTAAAAAATTCCAAAAAGAAACTTTAATTTTAAATGGCCAAGTTATTAAAGAAGTAGAGTCATATAAATATCTAGGAGACTTGAAAAATAACAAAGGAACCTTGGATTTGTGCATCAGTAAACGAATCAACACTGCCTTGGGAGTTATTAAAGAAATAAAATTCCTTATTAAACAGGAGGCACTCAAGAAACAAAGTTTTGCAATCAGTATCAAACTGATTGAAGCAATTTTGATGCCAAAAGTTCTGTACGCATGTGAAACATGGACTAACGTAACTAATAAGCAATTTAAAAACTTAGAAAAATTGCAAAAAGATGCAGTAACAATAACTAACTCTCTACCCCAATCAATGTCATATGATGGAATAGTCCTTGAATGTGGCCTGATGCCTATGGAATTTAGAATAAAAGAGAAAAGATTAATATACTTCCATAAGGTATTAAACATGAACGAAAGTAGATTGACCAAGATAGTTTATGAAGAGCAAAAACGTTTAAATTTCCCAAACTGTTGGTATAAAGAAGTGATTAGTGACATAAAACTGATTGATATTAACCTCAAAGAAAATCAGATCAAAAATTTAACCAAAGAACAGTGGAAAAAAGTTGTTAGAGAAAAAATGATCATAATCATAGAGAATAACATTAGAAATAATAGTAAGACTAAACTTAGATTTATCAAGGGTAGTAAATTTGAAATGAAAGAGTATCTGGGGTGCGAAGACGCGTCATCCCTGCTGAAATTAAAACTAAACATGGTTGACTTAAGAGCGAACTACAAAGGAAAGTACTCTGATTCTCTTTGCAGAAGATGTGGGGCCCATGAGGAATATATTGAACACTTATGGGATTGCCCAAGTTTTTATCAAAAACCCAAGATGGAAAAAACATGTTTAGCTACAAATAATTCAAAAATTCTTAAAAGTATCAACAACACCCTTCAAAAATTTCTTACCAATGGATGAAATAGAAATAAAAAGATTGGCTAAAATTATAGCACCAGCTTGTGATACCCAGTAGTTGGGTAACTGCTCCGAAATGGAGATTTAGCTTCAATTATTATTGTGTATGAACACACACAGTCCTTATAAACTTGCGTGACAAAACTATTTGGACGATGAATAACGAAATGGCAGCCCCAAAACTAGCATTCTAACATTGATTGAACAAACTTTGCTGTTTTGGCGGAAATTCTAGAAAGGGTGTCCTAAACCTTTTCTGTCTGCCCACCCTTGATAGATTTCTAAGTTTTCTTGTGAAGATAAAACTTTTGCATTCATAAAAGCTTCGAACAATTTCACAAGATTTTCAAAAAGTCTTCCAAATTTATTGCATAAAATGGCTTTGAAATACTTTTTGAACGTGTTTGTTTACGAGACTAATTCTAATTGCAAAAACCTCCAAAGAATTATGAAATACCAATATTTGCTCTGCAAAAGGTGAAGTAACTGAAACCAAGCATAGATTCTATTCTGCTATGAAAGACAGGGTTATATCTAGGGCAATAGCATTTAGGTGTAGAACACAGGACACACATTGATAACAGCAGTTTTAACATGTTTAAATATCTATCCTGAATGAATATTCATTTTATAAATATTTTATATGTTTTGGAACTAACGATAGGATTTGAAACCAACCTTGACTGCAATGCAGAAAAGAAACATTTAAAATATGCTTGCCTTGTCTCAGATCTAAGACAAAGGTTTGAATCTGTCATATTTGTAAATCTCTCCATCAGCTCTCTTTGCATCTTCAGCGACTCATGCCACTCATTCCTGGAAATGTGCGGCTCTCTTTCCATTGATGATCATTACAAACGATATCTCATTTCTATTCTATGATATCCATTTGGAACACCTATTACATCTTTTGCTGTAGGAACAAAGCATGGACTAACCCTGAACTACTCCCCTTTTAACTACATACATAACTACATACATAGTGAGATTTGTAATTGTAGTTCAAGTTGAACTGAAAATGAAATGTTTCCATTATTACAAACAATATCCAGTAGTTTCTAAACAGTTTCATTTTGTTATTAATAGCTGCCTATCTAGGAGTTTAAAATGTAATGTCTGCATCAACTAAGTTTGAAGTAAGAAAACTATCTTCAGTTTGTGAATAAGTAAAACAATCCTGATGCTACACAGTGTTTCCCAATAAACTGACTTCAAAAGAGAATAACAGTCAATCTAACTGCTCACAGTCAATCTGTTGAAGTCACAAATCTGGTTAAAGTCACATAAAGTTTAGACCCAGATATGCAGAACTATTCAATCTAGCTCCGTTTACAGTCAGATTCTGTTTACAGTCACAACTTTGCAAGCAACATTTGGTGTGCCTATAACCAGAGTCTACTATGATGTCTAGTTGGATTTTGGCTGCAGGTTGCCTTGCATTTCAGTCCCCACATCTTTTTCAGTTCATTCATTATGGCTCTGTAGTCTTTTATTTCTTGGACAATCTTGAGGTACAGAAAAACTTTTCTAATGAAATGGCAAAAAATATTTATTGATTTGCCAGTCAAAAACTTTCCTCAACAAGATTTTTAATCTTAGTTTTGAAACCATATTTTTACAGATAGTTTCATTGATGCAATTATCCAGTGCTGGAATGATTCTGTTGTGCAATGCTGTCATGTTTCGGTCCTTTTCAAAATCATTGCTGCTATGCAGTTCTGCTGCAGAAGCCACAATCACCAATACTGCTGCCAATTTCTGCTTCAGTGTAAGTAAAAAATCTTTGCATTAATCAGAGCAGTTTAATTCCTGCTGTTCTCAAGCATTTATTTGAGTGATTTCTTGTGTTCTATGGCTTGAGTTTTCCATTTCAGTTGTTGAAAATCTATGATTATTATTATTATGACTCATGTTATATTAAGTGATTGGCATTTCGAACTGTTGTTGCTTTAACTTCCCGACACTTCACGCTAGATCACGTTTTGTTAAACTCTAGATTTTGATTACTTGTAATTCGGTTTTAACCTGTTGCTATCGAAAAATTTGAAAGTTCTGTTCGGTTTATAGTATGATAGTTTATAATATTTTAACGGGTTATGGGCCCAGGCATTTTTCATCTGTTTTTTCAAAGTTTTTTCGTCTGTACATGGCTTAGCTGTTAATAAAAACGTCAGAGGAAGTCTGTTGGAATATTTCGTTGTAATCATGGCAGCTGAAGACACAGGTTTTAAAGTTGAAAAACTGTATGGAGATGATTAACATAGCTGAAGGTTCCAGATGAAAATGTACCTTATCGGAAAAGATTTTTGGGAATTAGTTACGGGAGAAGAAACCCTGAATGCCGCAGCAAATCCTGAACAGCAAAGGAGATTTCGAAAGAAGTAAAATATGGCCCTCGCGACAGTGTGCCTGTCTGTTGAAACAAATTTGCAAATTTATGTTTGATCTGCTAAAAATGCTAAAGAAGCTTGGGACAATGTTGAACAACATTTTGAATGAAAATCGCTATCACAAAAATATTCTACCGCGGGAAGCTATATTCTGCACGAATGGGAGAAGGAGGTAGAATGATCGACCACATAAATTATATTAAAACACTTGCCGAGCATTTGGAAGCAGTGGATGACGAAATGGCTGAGAAGATTTGGTTGGATTGCTTTAAAAGGAAAGCTGATGCTGAAAATGACCCCAAGAACGTAACAGCAAGTAGAGCAAAAACAAGACAAGAAAATGGCAAGGTAAATGAAGAAACAGCAACTGAGTTTGCATTTAGCTGTGAGTAATACTCCATCAGATAAAAGTGACTGGTGGATAGACTCGGGGGCATCACAGCACGTGACCCCTGTTAAAAAGGGGATGTATGGATATACCCCATTCAAGAAACCAATAGAAGTGAAGCTTGCTGATGATACTGTAATTTTTGCTTATGGAAAAAGGGAATTGCAGCTTGTTTTGTATGATGGCAAAGACAAGGTGAATGCAACCCTGAAAGATGTACTTAACGTACCAAAAATACAGAAAAACTTGCTATCTTTGCCTTTATCACTGACAAAGATGCAGAAGTGCAGTTTAAAGGTCATTATTGCAAGATAATCATTAATGGCAATGTAAACAGTATTGGCCACAAGCATGGAAAACTGTATCAATTGAATGTAGATCCTGAGCAATCATGCTGTTCTGGATCAACTGATGCCAATGATGACAATGCACTATGGCATTATCGCTATGGACTCCTTGGTTATGACAACCTGAAGCTGCTGCACAACAAGTCTAAAGGCTGTGCATGCAAAAACAACGTCGCCAACAATTTTCAAAGAGTTGTTCAAAGAAGAATATTCAGCCTTTAGAACTCATACACAGTGATGTGTGTGGTCCCATGAATGTCACTTCAGTGGGAGGTTCAAGGTACTTTGTCACCTTTATAGATCACTTTACTCACTACACTACTGTGTACATGCTAAAGAAAAAGAGTTAAGTGCTAGATAAATTTAAAGAATTTGTTGAGTCATCGGAAAGACTGATTGGAAAACAAGTAAAGAAGCTGAGATCAGGTAATGGAGGTGAATACATTGAATTGAATTTGCTGAATATTGCAAAAGTCGTGGAATACATGGCATTGCTGAACACATGGGCCGAACAATCATAGACACTGTAAGGTCAGTGCTACATCATGGTAATCTTCCATTGAGTTTTTGGGCAGAGGCTGTGTCTACAGCAAACTACATCAGAAGCAGAAGCCCAACATCATATTTGAAAGAGAAAACATCATATGAGTGCTGGTATGATGATAAACCTGATGTAAGCCATTTTAAAGGATTTGGCTGTAATGCTTTTGTCCATGTGCCAGACAAAAAAAGAAGCAAATTAGACAAAACTGATGGAAAGAATTTAACTGGCTGCAAATGGCTGTTTAAAGTAAAATGGAACGCAGATGGGAGCATCAATCGCTACAAAGTTTATTTATTTGCTCAAGGTTACTCACAAAAAGCTGATGAGGATTATGATAAAATATTTGCACCTGTTGCAAAATACAATTCCATTCGATCTCTGCTGGGAATTGCAAACTAATTTGACATGAAGGTACATCAAATGGATGTAAAGACGGCAGTTCTTAATGGCAAGCTGGACAATGAGATATATATGAAAAAGCCTGATAGTTATGTAGATGCCAAACAACCATACAAGGTTTGCAAGCTTAACAAGAGCATTCATGGGTTGAAACAATCTGCCAGGTGTTGGAACATTGCAATAGATCAAGAATACTTTAAAGAATCTGGATATGTTCGGAGTACTGCTGATCAGTGTTTTTACTGTAAAACAGAATGTAAAGGCGGAAAGATCTGCTTGATTATAATTACAGTATGCGTGGACGATACTATCTTAGCTTCGAATGACATTGCAATGTTAACTGCTGAAAAGACCAAATTAAAAGAAAGGTTTGAGATGGAAGATCTTGGAGGGATCCATCACTGTCTTGGTATGTCTATAAAGAGGGACAGAAACGCTAAAGTTCTAATGATAAGCCAAAGAACCTAACTTAAAAACGTGCTGAAGATATTCGGAATGCAAAACTGTAAGCCTGTATCAACTCCAATGGAAAGCACTGCACGTTATGAAAAATTGACAGATGATGAAAAGCCTGTAAACACCAGAGAGTATAAAGCAATAATTGGCTTTGAAAAAAGCAAACATTTTACAACATACTTAAAGCTTTTTCGTCTGACACTCCTCAGAGCATAAAACGTCAGAATAGGTTCCGAAAAAACACGTTTGAAAAATATATACCCAGTTGTGGATAGAAATAGGCCAATCAGAAAAACGCAAGCACAAGACCGGTATAGTTGACCAATCAGTGCCGCGAGCCTAAAGAAAAATTACCAATGGAGTCCAAGAGAGAAAACGAACTCCTTTTGTCTACACAAAGGCGGCTTTTTCGTTTTTATGTAGATTGACTCCAAAACTGGATCCATTTACCATCAGTTTTGGAGTCCAATCTACATAAAACGAAAAAAGCCGCCATTGTGTAGACAAAAGGAGTTCGTTTTCTCTCTTGGACTCCATTGGTAATTTTTCTTTAGGCTCGTGGCACTGATTGGTCAACTATACCGGTCTTGTGCTTGCGTTTTTCTGATTGGCCTATTTCGATCCACAACTGGGTATATATTTTTCAAACGTGTTTTTTCGGAACCTATTCTGACGTTTTATGCTCTGAGGAGTATCAGACGAAAAAGCTTTAAGCATGTTGTAAAATGTTTGCTTTTTTCAAAGCCATTTTCAAATTCTGTACCGCAAAAAAATTGTTCACAAAGCAATAATTGGATCGCTCACATATGCTTCGATAGCTACGCGACCAGATTTATCAGTTGCAGTGGCAGTCTTGAGAGTCAATTTATGACTAAGCCTGGATCGCAACATATACATTTTCAAGTTAGGAGACGCTATAATCTCATGGAAGTCAAAAAGACAATCGATAGTCGCCTTATCAACAACTGAAGCAGAATATGTTGCTGTTCAGTTTATAGTACCATAGTTTATAATATTTTTACATCAGTTTAGTCCAATGTGACTTCTAATATTTTTTTGTTTGTTAAAATTCTTCTCATATCATCATAATGCTTCTCAATGCTTCTTACATTAAGGAGAATGTCAGTCATAATTTTGAATAATAATACTGTGTTTAAGTTTGATAATGTCCATATGGACATGAAGTCTAGTTCTGTCATATACTGAGAAAGCCATGACTCTTTGTCCAATGATTCAAACTGTCAAAGCAAAGAAACACTTGTTAGAAAGGAGTTTATTTTTAGGCACTATTTGGATGGATGTTGTTCAGTGAGACATTCTCATCAACATGGTTTACGGGGGTGTTCTTCATTGTTTGTGGCCTTGCAATCATCCACCACAATCAGCATTAGATGATACATACAGATGCTTTCTGATGTAAAAGGCAAGCACTAGGATAACACATGGGTACTGTAAAATTCTTTTTCACTTGTATTCTCCTAGCTTGTTTGGACACATGTCAGAATTGTTTCAGATGTATCTGAAAGGTCAATTTTGTTGTGCTTTAGAATTTTCTTATTCAGAATAAACTTACTTAAAGCTCACACAGAAAGTCAAGCATATTTTTATTCTATTTCATAAATGCATAGTAGTCATTTTATGAAGTAAATATGTTTCTTTCAGCTCAAATTGTATTTTACAATGGCAATCACTTCCAAGCCATTGCACAAGTGTGGAAATTAAAACAAAATTGGACTTGCTTACGTTTGTCTCAGCTAGTGCTAAATTATGATGGCGCAGAAGCCGATAGTTAAGTCATGTAAAAATGAGATAGGAGAAATGCCAGGTGAAAAGGACACTGGAATTGGATATCAGAACAGCAGGAAAGAAAAAAACGAGGAAATGGTAGATGAATTGAGTCTTTGAAACAAGTCAAAAGTACAAAAGGGGGGACTAGAAGAAGAGGCAAATGACCAACAAAGATGGAGAACAATCATCAAGCTGACAGACACTCTTGAACCTCAGAGGAATATATGTCTACAGTTTTTTAGGTGTACTTTAGGTATCTTGTCTTATTTGTTTTGGAAATAGTTATCTAACATTTTTCCATTTTTCTGGTCCTTGATGTTTATTTCATTCTATTTACAATAAGCTCAATGCAATCCAACAACAATTATGGCATTTTAGTCAGAACTGGACACATAGAAAAGCTTGTGATGAAATGTCTCACTCTGAGAAATAATATATAAATTTAACAATTGGCTTAAGTAACACAGCATTGTTAACTTTACATGGTAACATATTATAATCATGGTAATTAAATACTACAAAGGACTGCAAGTACAAATGCTTTAAACAAAAAGAAGCTATTAGTTTGACTTTCAAAGGAATAAACCAAATCTAGCAGACAAAATAAACCACAGGCTGAAAAACTGTTTGATCTGGTGAAGGACTAGGATCCTCATCTATCACAACATGGCAATATCAAATCTTGAAAATCATTTTTATACAAAAAGAAAAAGAACCTTTCATGCTTAGACATCAACATTTAAATATTTTCAAATGGTTTTGTGAGTTAGTAGACTAAACTTTTCCTGTCAACATCCAGTGAAAACTTCAGTAACATGTTCTGGGGGAGGAGGGTTGAGTTACCATGTTATACTTGATCTGATAAAATGTTATCAAACAAATCAGAAAGCAGGAAAAATAAGGATGATAACTATCTAAAAAATAGAGTATTTTGCAGATGACTTAAACCCTTAGAATACAGTAGTTTTAATTTACAGCAAACTACTAACAATATCACATTAAACAACATTTCAATTTCTCTAACAACTTTTTATAGCTGATAAAGGATTCATAGCAAACATTCTTGTTACTTAATCTGTTTGACTCAAACAAAAATAATATTATCAGGCAAAGATTTGACCAAATCCTTTGAGCCTTGACTGCAGCCGTCATCTGCTACACTGAATTCAAATTCAAACAATGCCTTTAATTTACTTAATTACACATGTCCAGAGGTTTGGGATTTTCCAATATTGCAAAATGCATTCAAAATGAAAAGTGGATTTGGAGGAGTCTATGTGTAATTGTAATATGAGGAATTTAGATAGTTCACATCATAAATTCATCCCAACTGAAAATTAATATAATGAAGTTGTGTGAGTTAACAGCAACCAGATTCTCTTTGTGCCCCAGAGCCACCCATTGGCATGCCAGGACTTGATGCTGAGTGTTGAGGACCAAGCTTAATACCATTTGCCTGCAAATTTGAACACATAAAATGTTATGAATCATTTTAATAGGAACAAAATAAACATAACTATATGAAAAAGTAACCAGAGATACATAAGGAGAAAATTGATCTGTATTGACAAGAAAATATCTAGGGATGAAGTTTCTTGAGGCCATTTTACACCTGAACCAAAGAGACAACAAATGTACTGCAATATGCACCAGTTTTAGCAAAACCTGATCAAAATACAAAGAAAAAGGACATTGTGACAACATTTCAATAGGGAAGCCAGAATACAGAGTAACAGATGAAAGGGGAGTGAATAGCATTAATCAAAGTAACTCCAAATTCATACATTTAAAAATTTCTTCCTAAGGCATAGTTAACATAGCAAAATAACATACTGAAAAAGAATTCTATTTTGCAGAAAATATTTTATTCCAAGGAACAAAAAGTAAAGAAACTAGAAAGCAATTTTTTCTAAAATATTGCAATTTGAAATGCAATTAAAACAAATTGAATCAAAAGTTTCACATTTACATTGAAATGATGCTTTTTTCAAATGATTTTCTAATTTTGTCACTTTCAGTCACAGATAAAAAGGTGTTATGAAGATGGGAGACCAAATGATAGAAACAATTGTTTTTAAGAAAATATATTTATTTAGATGGGGCCTTGATAATGTATCTTATGAGAAAAGGTTCTTTCTTTGAAAGAAAGGATTGATAGCAAACAAAAAAGCCCTAACTGTTGGAACACCCTACAAAGAATGAAGCCAAAGTGAAAAAAGCCATTTTACAGCTTCAACATAAAAGTTTCGACCTTTGAAGGAATAATGAAAATTGTCAAAGTAACAAATGTTTGAATTAATTAGGGTTCAAACCAATTGGTGTATGTTCAAAGGTAACAAAAACAGTTAGGATTGATGAAAGTACCAAGTTATATGAGATTTGAGTTATTTTGATGATACAATACTATCAATATCATAAAATCATTAAGAAAATGTTAAATAAACTATGTTGACACATTACCTCATTGTTGATATCAAATACACCTTCTTGAATTTTTTGATAAATTTCTTTTGCTGTATTTATAAAAGCCTAAAAACAACAACAAAAACTGGGTTGCAAATTTAACAGATTATCTTAGAAAAGTTTCAATTTCTGTTAGGTGTTATTTCTCCTATCAAATCTATAAAACATATTCCAGAAAAAATGACAGACCATACCAAAATTATACTAATCAATGTTGCAAAAATCTGTTCATGAGATTCCAGGCAGTCAATTTCTTGACACAATTTCTTACAACAATATTTGATGAAACTCTCCCTTGAAATGATTAGGGACCATAACTTCCTTGGGCCCCCAGCCTCCTTGGACTCTCAGCAAGATTGCTTTTGGTACAACATGCTTATCAATAAATCAGCTTGTGTTTGTGATCATGTAGTTAAGGTTTTTATGTTGGTGATTCTAAGAACACAAATGAGCAAAATCAAAGCACAAAATTAAGCTAGCCCACGTGCTGATACTTGTTTATGTGTTTAATTGGCTCTCAATGATTCTCTTATCAGTTACTATACCTGGCAAAATAGTTTAAAGTTTCATTGTATTTTTTCATATCTAGGCATGAGCCATATATATGACATCTATAATGGCTTCCAATGTTTTCAATGGTGGTGCTATGAATGAGGTTAATATAATGTATTAAGGCAAACCTCTTCAACATTAGCAGCTGTCTTTGCTGATGTTTCCATGAATACAAGTCCATGCTCTCTAGCAAAAGCTTCACCCTACATAACATATGTAATTTCATGAACAAATCCAGTCTCTTTGCAGCAAAAAATAGTTATAGAAAATGTCATTAGCTCGTTTCATTAAAAACGGATTCATTTGATACCAAATGGGATACACTCAAAAACGCTGTTCAAAGGGGAGTCATTTGAAAACAGAATCATTTGACACACTGTTTTATTAGGAACAGCAAAGACAGAGGCATTTGAAAATGAAGTCATTCAATCTCGGCAAAAAGAGCTCAAACAAAGGATATGAGAACGGATAAAAGTGGAGCAATGGAAACACCCATATTATTGATTTGACCAAAACAGAATGGCTCAGGGTTATGTGTTCAGTAAAATATGAAAATGGAATGAGAAAAAAAGAGCCATATATGAAAACAGAGTAAAGGAAACCAGGCCTTGAATAATGATTCAGGGTCAAAAGATATACAATATGATAGAAATCAAGCGACATACTTCATCTCTTTTGACTTCACGTCTGGCCTCAAGATCACTAAAAGAGACATACAAGGTCAGACATAGAAGGTCAGTTTTTATTAAAATTTGATGATGAAGTTGTAGCTTTGACATTAAAAATGCAACTGGAACAAACAGTGAACTAGCACAGTAATGTTGTAGAGGGATAGCAGCAATATAAAACAAAGCAAGAACTATGAGCTTACCTCTTGTTTCCAATAAGCATTATCACCATATTAGAACTAGCATGTTGCCTGGCATCCTCTAACCAAGTTGTAAGGTGACTAAAGGTATCTCTCCTAAAAGAAAAGAAACACATTTTATGTAAATACAAATGTGCTTTTATTTCCCTTTCTTCTTATCACTTCATCTCTGTGTATTCAGTCAAGAACAACAAATTGAAACTACTACTATGTGATCAGGGAAGTGTAACAGATGGTGTGTATACAATGCCTGAAAATCAAGGAGTAGTAGCTACAGCACAAAGCATGGCTTCAACACTTCTATTGAAAGGCAACTTATTTTATAATTTGAATGCTTCATTGGTTTTGTGCATGATTTCCAGCTATTTAATCAATTCAAACAACCTGAAGAAAACTTTTTCTTGCAAAAACACCAAAAGTTATCTAGTTAAATGTATATTCATCTAAAACATCTGTAAATTCGTCCATCTTAGATTTTTCTACAGGTAAATTAATAATGTTTTTATCAGCAGCTTCGCCATACACTTCGCACCTTAGCATCATCCCTGATTTAAAATGTTCAATTTCACCACTGAAACAAAAAATGGTACTATGTTCCCTTGAAATGTTTCCTTTTCAAAGCCTTTTATAAATAAATAAACCTTACAGAAAATAATGACGACAAAACTTTCAAAGACCCGTTTACCTTGTAATATCATAAACTAGAAGTGCACCAGCAGCTCCTCTGTAATATGACCTTGTTATTGATCGAAAAGATTCTTGTCCAGCCTGCATAACAAGATTAGTGTTATCATTAGCAGGAATCAAAAGTACTAAAGCATATTTGGCTTTATGTTCAGGTACCAGAAAAATAAAAGGCTGATAAGGTTGGTGCATAAAGATTCTTCACCAAAATATTTATGATGATTAACTTAGAAATAATTCTTTCAATCTAAAAATAAGCACAGAACGAAACTTGGAGGCAATGAACCATTTACAAGAAACTGATACAAATGGGCCAAGCGCAGAAATCAAAAGACAGTTCTGATTCTCAATGAACTGATTAGATAGCCATACATCGCGGACATATAAATTTACAATGTGAATATTGTAAAGCACAAATTTCATGTTTTTTGTTACAAAGCACTGTAAAAGGTTTTTGTTGCTTCTTTCAGAGGTAATAACAATTTTGGGCTGTATAAAGAAAATCATTGGAAATCATGTCTTACCTTATTATTTTTCTAGCACAGTTTTAGCTTTCTACTTCATTTATTCCAAGAAATATATACATTTAGAACATTTTCCATAAAGATTTCTTACATCACATTTCATTACTAGCTTTTTAAACAAACTTTGTTAACTGTCAAACATGTATATTTTCTGTCAAACATGTACATCTTGGGCTCATTTAATCTCCACATTGTAATAAAGGACCAAAAAAAGGTTTATATGAGCAAATTTTTAGCAAATTAAGCTGTACTCTCAAGCTTGATTTTTTATCTCTTGTTGTCTCAATTAAATATATAAAAAAATAAAACAAAAAGCTTGGTCTTTCTAAAGAATCAATGAAGATAAAAACAAAGAACATAAAACTGCTCATGACATGACCTGGACACACATTTTGTATATATATATATGCCTATGCTGACAACTGATGATTAAATTTTTCTTCACTTTAATTTTGAAGTTCAAGGAATTTGCTCCTGACTATTCATACTAGCCAAAAATTATAACAATGTCACATGGATCAATCACTGCATATATATAACAAACACAAGTTACAAATATTTATATTATATGAGGCCTTGCTCTAAGCAAAATGAAGGTGCTCTATAAAAAGAGCCCCTTAGAAACTCTAGGTGCTCTAAATAGTTGCACCTCCAAATAAAATGCCCTTGAGAACATCCTTTGAAAGCAATGTGAAAATTTAGGCAGATATGTGATCGCTGATTTGCACAGTTGATTTTAAGTTATTAAGAAAAAACAGAAAATAATACTTCAACAAAAGATCAATGCTTGCTCAAAAATCAAATAAATCTGCCAGAGAATAGACTTGATGGCCTGTGCCCTGTCCTTGGTGGATATTAGAGGGTTATTAGATCAAAAATGGTATCGAAAACCCAACGTTGAATTTGCTGGATTTTTTCTCAAGAGGTAATCTTACGCAAATCATACCATTGCGGTCTGTTTGTAAGATTATTCATGCATGATCAAGTTAATTCAACAAATGTCAAAAATTTATTTTGGTCGTGGTAGAATCGTTTTTACATTTTGAGAGGCTCTATAAATCGCTCTCCAAGACATTTTTCGGGTGCACTCTAGGAGTGCCTTTCCGGCCTGTTATATTTGTTTACTCACTGTGTCCCAAATCTGTAACTTTATTTGCTTTCCGTCAATAGTAATCATCCTTGCACCAAATTCAACACCTTGTGAGGAAACAAATTCAAAATGGCATTACAAATCAAATACAAATAAAACGACTTCTCTCTACCTTAGTCTATGTGTTATCAACATAGCAGCTTAACTTTTATACTATACTGGTTTTTTTCTACTACTTGAATAGAAAAGTCAATTTATTGAAAAAAGTCACAAATCTATTTTGGCATGTAGTGGTTGAATGGTATCAATTTATTTAACAGTCTCTATCAAAATGTGCAACATCTTGTTGAAGAATGGATAATTATTGTTACGCTGGATGAACAACATAAACCATAGGAAGGAGGGAAAGGACAGTTACAGAAAAAGTAAACTATCTGGTCTTCATTTAGCTATCTTATTGAAAGCTTGGGTAGTCTTCACAACTTTTAAGAATATTTGCTCTACAGAATGGAATAAATTTGTTCTACATAATGGAACTTCAAAGCAAGCATTACAGTGGCGGTCTTGCAAGATTATTGGTTTAAACAAGCTGTTTGGAAGTCAACAGGACTGGTCTTTATTTTGAACACCATCATAGCCCTGGCTCTTGACTGTTGGCCTCCAGCAGGACCAATGACCACTCCAAACCAGTTGATTCGATTCTAGAAGTTCTCGATTTAGTTGAAAAACTTATACTGGACCAAGAACCATTCCTAACCAGTTGATTTTACACATTATTTGTGACAATATACATTTCTCTTCTGAGATTGTTACTGTGCAGACATAGGATTGTTTAAAATTAGCCTCTAATGATGTTTAAAATTATATGAATGGAGATAGACCAGTGCGGAAATAGACGGACTCTGAAAAATATTTCATACTACTACATACCTATGGTCAAGTCGTGAACGGGCTGGAATCTTTTGTCCGTGAACTGAAGAAGCAAGCATGACTTTCCTACACCTGTTTGGCAATCAAGAAAATATTACTAAGCGCTGGCCTAAATGAGCTTGTAACAAATGGCGGAATTCAAGTACACTAAAGATAATGGTTGAATGGAAGTAGTGAAATTGTTGAAACTGCTTAAATACAAGTAAGGAATACTTAACATACCAGTATCTCCGATGATTATGTACTTGAAAAGGTAAGCGTAGGACATGTTGACGAAAAATAACAAATTTAAACCAAATTCGACAGTCCTAAATTGTTCCTTTCAACTTTTACACCAGTCTCCGTTTGAATTGCGCATGCGTAAATTATGAATCATGGTGGCCACGTCATTTTGTTGTAAATTTTTAATCACAAAGACTGGAAAAGATCAGGAGATTGCAAGAAATGTTTGTTCGCAATTTACTCATCACAAAACGAGCTTGTTAAGACTTTTATAATTGACCACATGTCATTTAATAATTCAGGCTTGTTTCCAATTGACAATATAAAACAAAGAAAAATTGTGGTCCATGTTACACCTTCGATTTATTAATCTCTCAAACGAATGATGCCTTACCTCGGATAAAACCTTTCAATATTTCTCGAAGATATAAAGGCATCTTACCGGTGGATTCCTCACCTGTATCTTTTTTGCAGTCAATTTAAGGAGAATAGGTGTCATTAACCCGTCTCCTCTAACTTGAGGCTCAGAAAGGGTGTCGTCATAAACCTGCACACTGATGGATAAGTTTTTTTAACAATTTAAAAGTGGCTTTAAAAAAGCAAAGATTTTGTAACTTGTTACTAAAGCTTTTCGTCTAACACTCTTCAGAGCAGTGGCGGCAGGGGCGTCACTTGAGGGCGGGTATGGGGGTTGGCTCACCCCCTCCCCTAACCACGAAAGCAGGACCTTTTCGCAGGGCAAATGTTTTCTACCAACGGATCTGTTTTGTTGTTTTTCTTATGTAGCTGTAACAAGAAAGTAGGTTATGCTTATCATTTGTCTACTCCAAAAGTAAAATGATGCAGACTACCAGTGACACGAAGTAGAAATTGCCAGCGTGACCTTGGACTGGATGGAATTGATATCTAAATTGATTTTGATTTCCTTTCACCTTAAGTGTTACAACCATTTCTATGGTTACACCCTTGGTTGATATATGTGTCTTGTTTTAAAAACCACACTAGAAAGACAAGCAACGCTTGTCAGAAAACTAAGACACTGTAAACGGGGTTATTTGGGTGAAAATTTGATGGAATGGTTTTGCATATTTGGGCCTGAATTTGCTTTGATTATAACCAGAAGCGTGACTTCAAGAAAAGAGCCGACTATATACGGTTTTTATATTTATTTTCTGTGGATGATATAGGGTGTATTGTATAAATTCTTGTAGGTTTTCAAACTTGTGTTTGCCAGATGAAGATTATGTCATCGATAAATCTTTTCCAAAATATTTAACTACGCCCCATCGGGGCATTGCTCAAGATATGTTGTTCCATTTTTGTCGCGAATACGTTGGCTTAATTTGGGGCAAAGGTTTTTCCCATTGCAATGCCTTAAGGGAGGTTTATAAAATTTACCATTACAATCTTCTTTATAAGAGACAGTAAATTGAAGTTCAGGAAGAAAATCTGAGGCTGAATTGTTCTTTATTTGTTCTTAGATTTATAGGGTATAAGCAGTGCAATTGCTAGCTTTTCACTCTAGGGAGGTGTCCGGGCCTCAATTGCCAACAAAGTGCGTGAGAAAACCTTCCTTTGCCGCCATGTTTGAATATTCTCCGAAAAAGCATCCCAAGATGGGAAAAAACTCCTCGTTTTTGAGATGAAACATTGTCCAAAGTTACATTTTACGGTAGCTCAGCCTCAGCTTGTTTTTAATTTGTTCTCAACTTTTGACTAATTTTGAAGTTCGTGTTTTTATAAAATTGTTCTTATAAAAGGAGAGTGTAAAGGCAAACACATCGGTGAACCTGTGGACACACTGAACAAGGACCTAAGCGGGAACAACTTACCGTATTTTATGTGTTAGTGTTACGGTATTTTAGTGTTACGGGAACTGAGGGCAAGTTCCCAAAATTTCCAACTTCTGCCAGGGAAAGGCAAGCAAAAGAGCGTCAATAGGTGCTAAAGTTGCTTAACTTTCGGGCTTGTAAAACGGGCCCGGAAAACCTTATCTTAGCTGAAAATCAGTTTGTTGCAAACATTGTTATAGTTCATCCTTAAGACCCTTTGCATGTCGTATTGTCCTATTGAGCCTTTAAATGTCCTATTAAGAATGTCGAAACGTGCCCCATGATGAGAATCAAAGTCTTTTTATCCACAATTGGAATTGGCATGAAAACGATTCTCAGTCAAATTGACTGTATTTGACATTGCCCTCAATTTTTTGTATCAAATGACAGATTTTGAATGTTTGACTAAAACCCAAAGCCAATTTTTCAACTAGCAAGACACTATCTTCCAAGATTTTACAAAGAAAGCAACTTCTCTGCCCTAGGAGACGAGTTTATTTTTGAATAAACTCAATCTCGAAATCTTTAGAAATTTGACGAAATATATGACTTCATTCTCATCAAACGGTAATGTATAGGGGTGCCTCGGCACCTGCTAACCTAATGACTGCTCCTATCTCTACGCTATAGTTACAAATCATTTACAAAAGATATGATGCCAGTACATCAGCATGCGGAATTATGATCAGATTTTCAACATGTGCTTAAAACTGTAAACTTGTCCGAAATATATCTGATAGCAATAACATATCATTCATGGACAAATTGATTCTAAGAGATCTCCCTGCCGTTTAGCACAAATTGATGATTTTGCAGAATGATAGGTTTCTTTTGTATGAGGAACTGTGCGTAGACATGGTAGAAAAGATAAAGAATTTCTTAAAAAAGGCAGAGTCTCTATTACGGGACAAAAATTTGAAGAAAGATTGGAAAACTTTAATAGCTAGTTGTAAATTTGAAACCAGTTTTTTTAAAAACAGCCAGTTTAACTTTCCATCAAGTTTTATAGAAGGTTCTTACATGAGGAAATCAATCTTCGTCCTCAACAAGTTCTGTATAAAGTTTTTTTAAAAAGTGGTCAAGATTTTTTGTTTCAGCTAGTCATAATTGATGTAAAACTCCTGGTTTTAACGTACAAAAAGCAAGATGCCTATGAGTTGTTAGTTGAATTGCGAAATCAAATAGCTTGCCACGGACAGGCGTTCAGAAAGTATTGTCCTCTATCATATCTAAAGCAGTTTTCACTATCAAGGGATAGTTGATGGCCCAAAGATAAGGGGCTATTATTCAAGAGAGACAACATAAGGAATAAGCACATATTACTCAATCAAAAATCGGCAATATTTGAAAATTCCCTATCTTCCTAAACAACTATTTTAACAAGCTTTAACAAGTATGTATTAAGTATAAGGACCGTAAACGTTTGTGTGAATCCCCCCTCCCCTCCCCATTTTTGATTGCGTAATATGCACCAGGAAATTTCCCGGTGTCCAGGTGGGCCAGTCTACTTCTGCTTCAGAGAGTAAAATGTCAGAACATAGATCGAAAACATTGCGCTAGGAAATATATATGTACCCAATAACAAACGTTCTTTATTTCATCTTGGTCACAGTCAAGGCTTTTCTTTTCCTTTTCAACAGAACGATCGTCACTATCTATAATACATATAAAATTCCATATAGATAATAGGGTTTGTTCTAAATCTGATGATATTCTCTTTGGTGTTCCCAGGCTTGCTTCTCAAAATTTTCACTCGAATCGATATTTTAGAAAACTGATAAATACTGCAACTGACTTTTTGCTTCCATTGAAGAAAACTAACAATTGACAAAGATTATATCTTTTAGAGGACCAAAGCTTTGGAATATACTTCAAGCCAACGTTAAACAGGCCTCTTTCAACGCAAGTATCAAATGCATTCTTAGATATCAAACATTGCTGTGTTAATTTGATGGAAATTGTATTATAGTTTTGATTTGAAATTAGCATTTGCCACGGCTCCATGAAAAGCAGTTCTAAACTGAAGACCTGCAAAATATGCCAAAAATTATATGCATAGCCAGTTAATGACCTGGATATCACTAATCTACACATCAATTATATCCCTATATGTAAAAATGTAACGACTATCACCAGAAGAATAATCTCTATTCCCTGGTTTGATATTCCCACTTCCAATTAATGAGAAAGCCCTTTAACAAGTCATATTGTTTCATATTTTATCTACCTTGTTGTCTCATTAAGCAGAAACTCCAAGCTGCAGCTCAAAACCGTCCTATTTTACAAGCCAATGTTAAATATTAGAGCTTCATGAGATCATATAACATACAATAATGCTTTTCTAAACAAATAATATGTATTTAAGTAAGCTCTACTAAATAGTGGGCGGTGTAATAAATAAAATATGATATAGATATTACTCAGAATCCATTCAAGCCATTCAAAAGGTTAGAGGTTTGTTGCTTGTTAGCAAGGGGGCTCAGACTGGGGATTTGCAAGTCAAAAAGTATTTCCAGGAATAAGGAAACTTTAAGACTCAAACTCAAAAACCTTTTTCAGCAAGCAAACAAATTAATTAAAGGACGTTTTTCTCAAAATTTCTTCTTCTCTTAAAGCAAAATTTTATTTTTCATAGCAAAAAAATTATTATCTCAGGAAAATATTTTTCTAATCTAACCCACTGGATCTACCCGACAACTTTCATTATCGAACATATTGCATAACCTCTTGCTTGCTCTAGATCTGATGTAGAGGTTTTCGCAATATGGCAGCCGGCTTTTGCAAAGTTCGACGGCGCATAGCTTTAATCTTTGTTTCAGTTCTACTGTTGATCGGATGCTTAATCGGAAGTAAATCTTTGGAAAACTTAGGTGTGAAGTTCAATGAAAACTGCAAAAATGGTCTCTCAGACAGATTTTTGTTTGGTCTGGTAAGTTCACGCCGAAGGCCTGACTTTGTCTTTAGAGCTAGGCCAGAAGTAGAGGCTAGAGCTCCTTTGAATTCAATTGTAACTTAAATTGATACAGTAAATAACTTAAATTAACTTAAATTTCCCTTTCCCAATGAAAAACTTTTTGTGCCTTAACAGTTTCAAAGGGAGCACCATTTTTTCTTTTGTTATGAAATATATATAAATAAAATTTTCTCACATTTTATGTTTCCTTTTGTTTGTTTGTAACCTTATTTTAATTCGATATTTTTTCTAGCTATATTTATATATATGGATATATACACATACAACTAATCTAAATTGAAATCTAAATCGTTCCTGCCAGGACCCTCTTTCCTCTGTCTGTTTTTGACTGAAATGGGTTTTGCAGAGATATGTGGCTGTACATATACTTGTATCAAAGTTTTATGGGATTATCCTCGTCAAACCTGACAATCAAAGAAAGTTGTAGAAAGTTGAGTTTAACATTTTGAGATGTGTGCATTTTTATGTCAAGAGCAGGACCACCCAAAGGGAGGCAAATTAGCTTAGGGCCTCTTTGTCCAGAAGGTTTCATTTAGTAATAAATTCTTCATTAAGAAGGAATTAAATCAAAAGTAACAAGAGTATGCCTAAAAAATAGTTTAATGTTAGAAATGATTGCAGTGACAGCAAAATATATTCTGAAAAGTACTTTCAGCTTATCTCTTCTTTCATTTTGCCCATTGGCATCAGAAAAATCTCTGGCAGCCATGGTCCCAAGTACGTCCGGCTTGTTTCAAAGCAGGATGACAGAACCATAGGGATTAGCCGAAAGTTGACAAATCCAGCAAAAACAAATTTTCCTGGGCACCTAAATTCAGCACAGGGTTTACCGATGCTACTTTAAATGACAATGCACTTGGCAGCTTATTGTGCACTATTTCCTGTTGTCTTCAAATTTGAATGTTTTTATTCAAATTCATTCAGTATATCTTAATCAACTGTATTTTGTAAAAAGCTATTTGTTTGTGGAAAAGTAGGAGGAAGGAGGAGCAGGAAGGGTGAAAACTTAGTTTGCAGATATTTGCTTTGCAGAGAAAATTTGTTGCATTATGACGTGGAATTGCATGCATGTTGTAGGACTTTAAATATGGTCTTTCAAATTGATTTGTTCTTAGGTTTTCTTGCCACTTTAAATTGTGTGTATTATGTTATAACTATACTACAGTAAGGAAAGTTTACAAAAACAACTTATGATAAAAAACAAGGTATGAAGGTAATTTGTTTGATATTGACCCGTTTGGCCCTAGAAAAATGTAATTAGTTGAAGGAACTTATTGATCTGTATTTGACAAAGGGATTAGGTTGGGTATGTATATGCAGGCAAAAGACACATACTTAACATGTTTTGAAAAGTAGATGGCAGATGCCCCTCTGTGCCCCCAATTCCTGTTTTGTTCATTTGGCCAAATTTAATTTAAATTATTAACAGTATGCTTGAAATATCCATGACAAACTCTAGAATTGAAGAACCTCGTGTTGTGACCAAGTGCACAAAGTTATGCACTTAGATTCTTTATTAACTTTAATTGAGTGTAATATAGTAATAGTTAAAAATCTATGACTGGATTAGTTTTCTAAATAAGATAATTTAGACCGCAAAGTTTGGTCTTTGGCTTAAAAATAAATGCCCAGTAGTTTATCACACTGTTTTCCGCATAAATGCTGCAGTATGGTGGGTTATATCTTGACTCTTTGAAGAAGATGTTGTTTATTTTCTATTTGTTGATGGTAATCTAAATTCAGGACTTTTTTACAGTGCAGAAACTATTCAAGAAAATTGGCTTATGGCGATATTTGCCATTTGCTATGTGGAGGGAAATCATTCAGACAAAAAGGATGTATACACCATTCAAGCACTGTTGTGATAGGCGGGGATTTGAATGGCAAGAAAGTTGTGTTAAAGCATAAAAAAATATCATCAGATGACTACCTTTCTGCTGAGTCACTAGAAGGTATGTTTTCAATCCAATACAAACGTGACCAGAAACAGGGCTGCCAGAAGCAGGAAGTGGTTTGAAGGGAAGGGGGTCACTCCCAGCCTGAACCCATCCCCATCCCCGCCTAGCCTGAACACATCCCCATTCCTGCGCAGCCTCAACCTATCCCCATCTATGCCCAGCCTGAACCTATCCCCATCCACTCCCAGCCTGAACCTATCCCCATCCACTCCCAGCCTGAACCTATCCCCATCTATGCCCAGCCTGAACCTATCCCCATCCATGCCCAGCCTAAATCCATCCCCATCCACTCCCAGTCTGAACCCATCCCCATTCCTGCCCAGTCTGTACCTATCCCAGACTGGAAACTTTGTTTCTTGCGTGGGCAAGTTCACGTGCCTGACTGCACCACTGCTTGCCTGAAATCACGCACTTTTAAGAAATTTGTATTGTTATTAATGTGAAATGTATTCAAATAGGGACTTTGCGCGGCCAAAATGCAAAAGTGCGCGGATGGAAAATTTGAGTGTGCGTGCAATATATCGCAGGCACGCGACAAAGTTTCCAGTCTGGTACCTATCCCCATCCACTCCCAGCCTGAACCCATACCCATTCCTGCCCAGCCTGAACCTATCCCTATTCACTCCCAGCCTGAACCCATCCCCATTCCTGCCCAGCCTGAACCCATCCCCATTCCTGCCCAGCCTGAACTCATCCCCATTCCTCCCCAGCCTGAATCCATCCCCATCCACTCCCAGCTTGAACCCATCCCCATTCCTGCCCAGCCTGAACTCATCCCCATTCCTGCCCAGCCTGAATCCATCCCCATCCACTCCCAGCTTGAACCTATCCCCATCCATGCCCAGCCTGAACCCATCCCCATTCCTGCCCAGCCTGAACCCATCCCCATTCCTGCCCAGCCTGAACCCATCCCCATTCCTGCCCAGCCTGAACCCATCCCCATCCCACTCCAGCTTGAACCTATCCCCATCCATGCCCAGCCTGAACCCATCCCCATTCCTGCCCAGCCTGAACCCATCCCCATTCCTGCCCAGCCTGAACTCATCCCCATTCCTGCCCAGCCTGAATCCATCCCCATCCACTCCCAGCTTGAACCTATCCCCATCCCTGCCCAACCTGAACCTATCCCCATTCCTGCCCAGCCTGAACCCATCCCCATTCCTGCCCAGCCTGAACTCATCCCCATTCCTGCCCAGCCTGAATCCATCCCCATCCACTCCCAGCTTGAACCTATCCCCATCCATGCCCAGCCTGAACCCATCCCCATTCCTGCCCAGCCTGAACCCATCCCCATTCCTGCCCAGCCTGAACTCATCCCCATTCCTGCCCGAGCCTGAATCCATCCACATTCCGCCCAGCCTGAACCATCGCCCATTGCCTCCCATCCTGACCCATCCCGCCATTCTGCCCCCCCCTGAGATCCCCATTCCTGCCCAGCCTGAATCCATCCCCATCCACTCCCAGCTTGAACCTATCCCCATCCATGCCCAGCCTGAACCCATCCCCATTCCTGCCCAGCCTGAACCCATCCCCATTCCTGCCCAGCCTGAACCTATCCCCACTCCTGCCCAGCCTGAACCTATCCCTATTCACTCCCAGCCTGAACCCATCCCCATTCCTGCCCAGCCTGAACCTATCCCCATCCATGCCCTGCCTGAATCCATCCCCATCCACTCCCAGTCTGAACCCATCCCCATCCCCGCCCAATATATCAATGATTAGTATTTATGATTAATAATCAGTATATCAATGATTGATATTGGAATATATAAAAATTTTCTTAACTCACAAAAGATGCTGTTATGAAAACAACCTTGTGAACTTGTGTGAATTTGAACAAAAGATTTTGTGAATGCCCTGCATCAAATAAGAATACCCTTTATTTAAGAACCTAGTCAGACTGACTTCCAAAAATGTAGAGTTCATAAATGTTTACTGTGTTTAAACATTGTCCATTTTTCTCAAGTCTGTTTTTCCAGAATTTTTATCAATATTTTTTAATATCTCTATGCATTGTTGCATATAGCATATTTCATGTTTGAAACAGGTATTCTCGGTGGGACATCTGGTTCAATGGATGGTGCTCAGACAGCTTGGGAAGATATGATACTTGACAAGGTAGAAAGTGCTGTTGGAAAATTTGCTAGATTGAGCAGAAAAAAGGTCCTCAAACAAATGAATGCCCCTTTGTCTAGAAACCTGCATGCAATGGTCTCATACCTTCCTTTGGCAGCACAAGAAGAGTATGCTATGTTTGGTGTTTACCAAGATCTGAATCATATTCCTAAACTACATGGCTACTGTGGACAAACTTATGCAGTAGAAAAATTAACTCCATATAGTGCTTTATTCCCTGCAATAACAAGAAAACTTGATTGGAAAAGTACAAGAAGGCTAGCACTGAGTTTCTTGGATATGGTAATCGAACTTGAAAATGCAGTCGGTGGACCTTTGCAACATTGTGACATTCAAGAAGGCAACTTTGGTGTCACAGATGACTTCCAAGTAAAACTTATTGATGTTGACTTAATTCTTACAAAAGAGAAAGCAGATCTTTTCTTGCCACAACCCAACTGTACAAAAGATGCTGACTGTGATTTTTTTGATTGTATCTCAATGTGTGATGTAAAAAAAAAGAAATGCCTTGCAAGGCGAATAACTTCAAATTTGCAGGTAAGCTCATGTCTTTTTGAAATATTTCTATTTAGTGTCCATGCTTTTAAGATCTAAAGTCAAATTTATATTTACATATTGTAACAGCTTTATGAAATTCTGAAATATATTTTTTCAAGTGAAATACATGTTTTCATGCATCTCTATGATGAAAATGTTACTGGGATAGCACCATTGGACTGAATGCGATGCTACAGGCGTGGTCATTTGTTTTTTGTTGGTTAGCTGTGAATCACTCACTTCCTTTGTTCGGGCAACCTTTATCACGACTGGGAAGAAATGTATTTGTAAACGTACAATGGCCTAGAAGTCAAGCAAAATAAGAAAAATCACTACAGGATCATTTAAAGTAATTGTTGTTGATATTTCTTTGGGTCTCTGATGTTGACAATTTCATCTATGCATGGTTTCAATAATACCTCTCAACAGAACCTCAAATGGATGGACATTGAAGGGGAACAATTTTTCTTCATGGCCTTTTGAGGAGAGTGTCGAGGGAGCACGAGCTATGGCTCACCTTAAATCGCCAGCCCTAATGCTGCTAACTCAACTGCTTAAACCAAAATTTATGTAGACAAAGTTGATGTCAAATTCATATAAAGTTAATGTTTACAATGATCTTCATCTCATATTTTTGATGTCTTGTTAAATCTAAAATAATAGATTGAATTCGTTTTTATTCTAGATATTATGCCGTGATATATTCAAGTCAAATTGGCCATCAACTGGTCTTTTTGGAGGTGTGCCACAAAACATACGCTCAGTACTAAACATTTTGCTTGAAGACTGTGCATCAAAGCGCTTTGGATATTTTCCATTTAAACATAGAAAGGTCAAAGCCATGATTCGCTCATTAAAAAGTTTGTTGTCAAGGGATGATTACAATAAAAATAACTAGTGGATTTTTATGATGCTAGTTTCCCTTACATAATTCAATCTGACTGTAAACACACAAATACACATATTTAAAATGGAAATACTAGATAATGCACCAGATAGCCAACTACATGGTAATCTGATCCCTTATTACCGTCATTGTAAACATTCTTTACTAAACTTGTATGTTGTCCCTTTTGTTTTTAAGATTTTGTCTAAAGATAGTTCAAAGGCCTTTAGACTGGCTACCCAAAGCAAGCAGAGTACAAACATCAAATGCAGGGGCCAAGCAAACTAATTTACTGTAATTGAATTGCAAAATAATATCATAGCTGTAGGTTTTTATTTAGTTTAGCGATAGAATCTCATAGATGGTCTCCTTGTTTTGAAGAGGTGCTGTATACTTACTTGCTAGTGGAAATTTAATATTTGTAATTTTTATATTCTGTTTTAGTATTAATTGCTCCATTGTACAATTTTAAAAGGAGACTATATTTTATAGATTGATGTTATATTGAACAAAAAATAATCTATTGTTGTTTGTACAAAAAGTTTTGGTAAAACTGTTGATAAGTTGTTAAATCATTTTATAAAGAAACATAGACATCGTCAATGTTATTGTCACTGGTAGGTTATTAGTAGAAATCTTTTTCAGCATAAATTCCCTGTAAGCTACACTTATGAATACAGAGCAAGTTTTCAAATAAACATAAAACAGTATTATAAGTCAAGATAGACTTTTCACCTGTATTTCATGGACCTAGAAACTTGAGTGTATGCTTAGAAAAACTATAGAAAGTTCACTCTGTGCTCAAATTATTATGTGCCCTAAAAGATACAGAAAGAGATAAAATACAAGAAACCAAACGTAAGTTGGTGCTATCTGCCTTCCATTGAAAGAAGTATAAAGATACACGGTATGTTACACTAAAATTAACCTAAAACATACAATAAACTTAATATTAAAAAAGGAAATAAAACACTCTCATGAGGTTAATGTAAATAAATGTCCAATAGAATAGTTTATTAAGTGCCTTTTCCGTGTGAAACTTGCATAAATCACAAAGTTGATACTGCAAAATAGCCAGAGGGATCTTTGACAATAAAAAGTTCCTTTTCAGTTAAACTGCCACCAAAAGGAAGAAAGGTGCACTATAATCAGTCATTTGGAACTACTGTTTTGTTTTAAACTATTTCAAAGCAATAATGATAGTTTTCCCTTTTAAGTATTTGCAGTTTACCAACTGAATGAGACCAGGCATTGACAACTGCTAAGTATCAGCTTTACTTTAGAGCCTTTGGCTTTCACAAACAATGGCAGAGACCATTCTGTTCACACAAAGCAATAACAGTGTATATTTGCTCAAAATTTCACACTATTTCAAACTTTAATTTATTTCTTACATAACAAGCTAGTATTTTTAACTGTTCTAAATTTCAGATACTGAAATCATAAAATCAAAATGAATTTTAATAACAGAAAACTTTAAATCCTTATAAAGAAACTTTCCAAATAATAAAACCTGGCTATTTACATCTTAAACTAAAAATTAAATATGCTACTAATAGTTACTTTTTTCTTTCTTTCTCTTCGATGACTTTAAGTCTTGTTAAGACATTATTAACATCAGCTGACTTTGCTATCTTCACATAAGGACACTTCCGAACTATGACAATTGAAAGCCAGTCAGGCACCAGCTCATGTAAAAGTTTGATCTGATCTTCGAAATTGGCTGAAAAGAGGTTTAAACAAAATAAATATAAACAAACTATAGAAAAAGGTTAAAACACTACACATATTTTTCATTTTATTTCCACTTTTTCGATTTTAGGCCAGGAAAAAGTGATCATCAGCAAAATTTTGAAATAATTCTTCCCTGAAGGCAGAGACCAACCTCTCTAATAGTCTGCAGTGGTGCATTTATGGTATTTTAATGTATGGAAATTCCCAGAGGTGAACACACTGGTATTTTTTATTATTTCAAATTTTCGATTTTTGGCTGGGAAAAAGTGATAATCAGCGAAATTTTGAAATAATTCTTCCCTGAGTGCTGAGACCAACCTCTGCAAAAGTTTGCAGTGATGCATTAATGGTATTCTAATGTACGGAAACCCCCCAAAGGGTAAACACACTGGTTTTTTTCATTATTTTAAACTTTTAGACTTTAGGCTGGGAAAAAGTGATAATCAACGGTTGGGAAAATGTTGTTAGTCTGTAGTGCAGACTTCTGTCTTTTCTGTATGCTGCTGGCTGGTCGGTCTTCCACACTGGGTCCATGAGAGTGAATATGAACTTTGCCGTACTTTGTTGCTATCTTACCATATTCGTTTCATATTTTGCAGTATTTCGTTTCGTTGATTACCAGAAGCCCTATCTGGCAGCATTTATTAAAAACCCAACAACATGTTACAAAATATTGGCAAAGCCTGATCGCCACTCCATCTAGCAGTTTTGAAATCTACCTACGTAACCATGAAAAAACTGCTTTTGTGTAGACAGGAGGAGTTCGCTTTCACCTTAGGTCTTCACTGGCAACATTTTCTATAGGCAAGCAGCACTGATTGGGCAACCTCAACAGCATGTGCTCACATTTTCTGATTGGTCTATTTCAATCCACAACTGGGTATATATATTTTCCTAGCGTAGAGTTTTCGATCTATGTTCTGACATTTTATACACTGAAAAGAATTTTAAAACAAGCTTCTGCCATTTGAAGAGAGGGAAATGTTTAGTTAGGCAGTATTACATTCCCTGTAACCTAATACAACAAGAAGCTGGCCAACTCCAGGGGCATCATGGCCAATGAATTCAAAAATTTTCTGACAAAATTTATTTGAAATAGAAGCATTTCATGTAAGTGTAAAGGGGGGTGGGGCAGAATAACTCAAAACTTTTGTCTTAGCTGGAAAGAAATTTAAAATGCATTTTTATCTTGTCTCTGTTTCTTTATACTTAGAGTAAACGCCCCTGACATCTGTAGATTAGGACAAGGGTAGAAAAAAATTACTACCTGAGGCGGCACCATGATCACTGCCGAAGGGAAAAATTTTTATGATCTAATGCTTCAAATTTGTCGGAAATTGCATTATTTGAAGCAAATTTTAATAATAAATTCCTATTCTTAAATTGAATATCCACTGGGGGAAAGCGATGGTTTTGATTGACTTCTTTCTTGTTTTACCTTATGCAACATAACTGCATAGATTTTCAAATCTGGGACACAATTTTCAAAAATCTGGTGTTACGCACAAAATTGGTACTGTCCCGGTCTTCAATGTCAAATAAAGGTATAATTTATACCAATTTTGACCAGTTTCCATAACCAAATTTGGCCCTTGAAGTTTCGGATTTTAACTGACAAAATCCAAACAGCAAATCACTCTATGGTAGGAATCGGTAAATCCTGAGAAATCATTTTGTTTTGTGGAAATCTAGTATTTTCGTTACAAAAGTGAATTGCCCCTCAAATGTACGGTAAGTACTTTAGTCCAAGTAATTTATGTTGCTAAGAGTTTGAGAATTACCCACAGGTCAAGTTTCAGAATGTTCAGACAAAACAATGATTTTTCCGAAAATCCATCAAATTTTGAAATCAGAGGGGGCCAAGGACCCCCTGCCCCCTGGCCACGACGCCCCTGGCCAACTCACATACTTATGCACAATTGCCGCACACATAAATGAAATGATGTATAGTTTTCATTGCATACAAAATTTAAAAAAATGTGCACAACTAAAATGTTTTTAAAAAATTACTTACTTGATGAGCTGCTTAAACCCATGCTTTCAGAGAATTTTATGGAACAGTCTTCTAAGGGAATGGCTGCTTTCTTTTCAATGGTAAAATGTCTTTGATTGTGTTAAAGGCATCAGTTATCAAGAGAGATATGGTTTCAAATCAATTGGCTTAAACCTGGGAACATTAGTACTCTGTTAACACCCTACATGATCACGAGACAACCAATTAAAGTTTCCACTTAAAAATCCAATCAAAATTTAAGGTAAGCTAGTCTGTATGATACTGAGCACTAAAATGATTGGTTCAATAATGTGCCATAATTGGTGTCTTTTCTATAACGCAAACCATTCATGAAAAAATTAGCAGTAAAGGATACGTTTTCAAAGTACGGACAATATCTGGTAGTTGATTCAACAAGACAAGACGGCGCTCTTGTGCTGGGTCCCGCAGCATAGCTAGCTCAGCTTTTTTCATTTCTTTTTCTCGTATCTAGAAAAATCAAATTCTATTAAAAAAAATTAAAAAAGATGAATGTCTGTTTGTCTTCTCTATTGTCAATTAATCAACTAAATGATCATCTTCAGTAAAATTTGTTGATGGAAACGATACCATTGATGCAATTTTTTGATGAGATGCGCCAGGATTTTTAAAAACATCTTGAATCAGTTCTCCCTTAGACCTTAGACTGCAAGGGCCACAAATCATTTAGTTTTGTAAGTCAATGAAAGTTGGAAATAGAGGTATGCTTGTTTGTTTGAAGTGTAATAAGTTAATTCTATTGAAATATTGTGAATTGAGCTGATTTAATTGTAATAATTATAGCATCAAAGAGTAAATTGTTGATGTGAATCACAGGCAAGGGGTACACTTTTACACATAGAAGGGGGATTGTAAATATATGTACATTTCACCTATTAACTATTTGATGGGTCATTTGTTTAAAGCTTAAACACCTCTCCTCACAAGGCCCGAGTACTTCCTTTTATAATTTTTTGAAATATTATTTTATTACATCTGATAACACTTTATGCAACAAAGCTCTTGTTCTTGCAAGTGCAATTGTTTTTTGTTTACATCATTTTTCAATAAATTCAAAACAATTTGACTCTTAATTTAGTTTATTTTATTTTTAGTCTAATGGGTTATTTTTTGAACAATTATAAGTTTGTATGCTCCAAGTTTATTAAGCACCATTATAACAATCATAAAAAAATTTGATATTTGAGTTTGATGGAAAGAAAAATAATGGATCCTTTGTAACATGTGTGACATGATTTCATTGATTAATCAATCAAATAAAGATATTTTTCAAGATACAATTTGATAAAAAACAAACCATACCCTCTCCAACAGGTCTGATGAGACACCTTTAAGAATATGATTTGGGTCATTATCTATTTCCTTCCTTGCAACTTTGTTTTTCTCTACTTTTGAATGCTGAAGTGGATCTGAAGTGCTTTGTTCTGATTTCTCCTTCTTGGAATGTTTTGAAACATTTTCGAAAGCCTTTGCAACCTTAAAATGAAGTTACCACCTCAGAAAATTTTTTAAAACTATTAATATGAAAATGCTTGGTAATACCAAGTGAAAATCAGGCCAATGTTCTTTAAAAAAATCTCTTTCTTGTTGACAATTTTATTTCCTTTTAGGGTATATATGAACTATTAAAAAGCGTTTTTGCCTTCGCCACATGCATGGCCAATTTTGAAATCTTTCAAATATTTTCTACTACATACATTGCATAAATGAACAATCAAAGATATAATTTTAATATATAACAAACTAAAACTCTAGTTGGATTAAAACACAACAGATAAATGTCAATAATGAACCGATAACCAAAACCTACCTGTGGGATACAATTATTACTTTCCAACATATCTTTGACAGAAGTAATTGGTTTTGCAAAGGAGAATTCAGGCAATGATGCTTCCTCAATATCTGGAACATCCTCAAGTTTGAAATGGGGATGCCATCTTTGCAGATCGTTGTCATCAATTTTTAGGTTCAGTTTCTTCAAATATTTCTAAATCAATAAAAAATACAATAGTTCATATTGAAAGATGTAACTTAACAATGAAAGATGCAAAGTTCTATTGAAGGTTTGAGATCAAAATATGTATTAAAAAATAATAATCATAACATAAAGCAGAATATTATAACGCAAAATCTGTGTAAATTCAAATCTAATTCAAATCAAATACATATATATATATATATATATATATATATATATAATATATTATAATAAATAGAATATATACTAGAAATGAGACATGTTCTCTGTTACCCTGGGTTTCGTGCTTACGCACTCATCAGACAGACTATAATCGGATTAGATTATAGACTGATTATAGTCTGTCTGATGAGTGCGTAAGCACGAAACTCGGAGTAACAGAGAACATGTCTCATTTCTAGTATATATTCTATTTTATCATATCTATTGCTCTGTGCTTTTGCACATCGAGCACTGTCACGTCAGAATAGACAACGCAATCTGGAATATATATTGGATTATATATCCAGCTTTATTAAAAGAGTATGCAGCCAGGAAGAAATATTACAGTCAATTTTCACACCATAGCAGTAACAGAGAAGATGAATTTAAAACTCATATTCACAGGATAAAAACAATAACAGAATTTTCAAAGAGTAATTTTAAGTTGTTTACCATTTTTCGGAACAGTTTTCACATAGCACTATTTTTCGGAACAGTTGAAAACAGCAAATACTCTGTAAGACAATAAAAATGACAGCTAAAATTACCTGGTGATGTTTCTTTGTAATTTCTACTAGGGCTGATTCAAATTTGTTCCTCCTGAGAATTAATACAGTTTGGTTGATGTCCTTTCTTTCTTGGGCCTTTGAAACAACTAGTTCCTCAAAATTGGCATCAATTGTCAATTGAGGCTTGCTCGGCATGCCTTGAAGATCTCTCAATTTCTTTTCAATTCTAAATGTAAATCCTTTAGGATAAACTGCTTTCATCTGACCAAGGTGCTTCTCCATAAATTTTCTAAAAAAATAATTTAAAAAAAATCAAATGTACAACATCTGGTAGCCAGAGACCTTTGCAAATTGAGAGTTCCCCCTCTAGCTATGAGAGAGTTTCCCCTCAAGAAAATCCCCTCTAGCTATGAGAGAGTTCCCCCTCAAGAAAATCCCCTGCATACTAATCCTTTACGTTGTTTTCTTAATTAAATTATAAGTGGGGGCTGGTTTTGTGGGGCAGTGGTATAGGTTGTCTTTGGTTAGCGCTGGAATTTGGGGTGATTGGTGTGGCTGGTCTGCTTGGGTTCTTGTTTCAACCAGCAGAGGCTAGTGTTGTTCTGCATTGCAGAATCTGCTCTTTGTTCTTTGTTATTTAAGTTGCATGGATACCTAATTCATATTGTTCATTGTACATAGTGGAATTTTAAATGAAGAAACTGAACTGAAAAATCAACATAGGATATTTACAGACATAATGCTTACTTTCCCAGCATTGACTGGACAGATGTTTTGAGACGCTCAAATGTGCATGTTTCTGATCTTCGGTACAGCAAGAATAATACAGAATCTACACTTCTAAACATCTCTAGCAATGACTTGTATTTTTGAGGCAACACAAATGTAGTTTCAGGTTTCTTGGTTGTCAAATGCTTGTATCTCTGATGGGCTGGTAGTCTTGCACTTCTACTACAATTAAAAAACCATTAATTCAACATTAAAAAACATTATTAAAATACCTTGTTTATTATAGTAGGAATTTCTTTATGAGCATTTAATCAATTACTACCAAATTACTACCATGAATTTGTTGTGGTAATTGAATAAAATGCCATATAGGCAACCTCAGATGGCAACAATCATGAAATGGAGGGGCCCAATTCTACAATTTACGGTAGCAGTGGGGCTTATTCGAGGGGTTGCTTCTTGACAATTTGTAGTTCTAGGTTGGGGGCTTATTCAAGAGGGGGCTTTTTCGAGGGGGGAGGCCAATTTGAGGATTTACGGTATATATGCAAATAATACAATGTAACAGTACTCTTAGCAACCCATGTGACTTTAATTAAGATATTTAGCAGTAAAGTCCAATGAAATAAAAAATGTTCTAAACAGACTCACATCAAGCTTTTGAAGGGAGGCAGAGGATAACTTACATTAGCATGAAATACCAAGTAACAGTGACCACGTCTCATCCATAGCTATACTGCTACCGTGTCAATGGTCTAGTACTTCTGTGCACTGAGCACCGTCATATCAGAATGTAATAAAAACATCAGGGCTGGCACGGAGTGATATCAAATTGACATTACCTCAAATATATGTACCCTGTGAATTCTTTAACAGTGAATGTTTTAACAACTGTTTTAGGACCTATATCTCTTTTCTCAAAGTTCGTATATGGATATGTACAGGTGGACTCAATAATTCATGGCTTTGGAATATTGGGTCTATGCATAGGCTGATAACCTTTGTGAAAGTGGCAAATGATAACAAATGAGGCAATTACAACCAGAACCATGGTTGAAAATGCTTGTGTTCCATTCTATCTTTCCTATATTGAACAACAAGTGACCTTGAAAAAATTTGCTATTAAAGTAAAAGCAATAATAGCACTGTCCACTCCCCCTGACATACATACATATAAAAAGTGTATTTAGAATCCTACCTAGTTGATGAAATAGACTCCTTTTCATGTCTTGTGCTAACTGCAATGTTGGATTTTGGATCATCAGCTGCAGATGAAATCAAATGGGAAAACTTTTGCCTCAATCTTCCTTTGCCAGATACAGCTTTCTCTGCCTTGATAGTTTCTTGAAACTTTTGCAAGCACATTTCCCTTACATTGCCTTTATTTACAACTTCTTCTGAACCAGGCTTAAAAACTTCTGAAGGCTTTACTGATTTTGATGTTGTCTTTTCATTTTTTCCTTGAGAGGCTTGAACTGCTTTACTGCCTCTACCCATCGCAAGAACAAGTTTTGCCTGTTCTGATATCCAAGGATCAACCTTAACATTACTGTGTTGTTCAACTGCTACAGAATTAGTCAGCTCCTCACTTTGTGAATCATTGACAGTTGAATCTAGAATCTGACTTTTCTTGTCCATTAAATTTGATGTATTTTTCCTTTTTGGCTTCTGATGTCCATCTGCAGAGGATGTTGTTTCACTAGCTGTTTTCACAGGTTCAGCAGACAAGAGCTTTGACAGAGATAATTCTTGATTCTGTGATTTAGTTCTCTTGTTTGAGCATCTGGCCTTCCTTGTCCTTCCCTGCATTGATACATCAACCTGTTTCATCATTAAATTGGAATTAACAGACAGCAGTTCAACCTGTAAAAAGATTGATCATTTTCAACATAGATAAATAGCCAAATATATAGTCAATCCGGGTAAAAAATACGCATGTGTCTCTGCGGGGAAAAAATTACGCACCGCCTTTTCAGCCACGCCCAATCACTTATACCGTTTTGCTTGTGGTTCCCGTATAGCCTAGAGAAGGCCTGTCAATTTGACCTGCTTTTCCCTTTTGTAAGGATTCTTGATTTAGAATAAAGCGGAATTGAATGTTTACCTTGTAAATTGGCCCAATATAATGTTTTGTCGGAAATCATCGAACTTTCTTATTGTCGCGTCAGTAACTGTCAAGCCCACAAAGTCAAGTGTTCTCAGTTGTTCTAAGGGATTAACCTTTTGACCTATGATAATTACATTTGCTTGCTATCTTTTGTTTTGTCTACATGGCATGCGTATTTTTTGGACACACAATTTTTGAGCACATGGGGAAAAATTACGCACTCCTGATGTTGATTGATGTTGGTATGGGACCTATAGAGATATGTAAATATGAGTCACAGAGGCACAAATTATCATGAGATATTACATAAGCTTATATTAATGGGAGTTTACAATGTATTTTTGGCACTTAAGTCATAGACTCGCTTTCATATGCCAAAGTTTTTAATAGCAGACATCCTCGTGCTTTTCAACTTTAAAATCACTTAGAAGCTGTTCAAAACTATTGCTTAACATCGTTACATGGAAAATCAAGTATTATATGAATGTTCTTCATAAACAAGCCTCTAGGATTCATTCTTTTATGTGTGCGTATTTTTTCCCCACCTATCCGCATTTTTTACCCCATTTGATGGGGGAAAAATTTCGCATTAATTTTCTTTAATTATAAGAAGGTTAATTGGATTAGCAAGACAACAAAGGTTTGGTTAACAAGGTATTACCATTCAAGTTTGAAAAATAAAAGAATATTGACAAGATATCTTTTGAATATTTTTCTGGAGCAAACTTTGTGCAAAATGCGTATTTTTTCCCCCAACTGACTATAATGATATTTAAATCTTTTTAAATTGTTATTTACCAAGTCAACAATTTAACAAAAAAATATATAATGGGAAATGTAGGAAATCATATTTTATATTTTTCATTCATTTTTTGCATTCTAATATTCTAGTTTATTGTAGGTATCGCTGAAATAATTTATATTGAATTTTTTTTGCCATTAAACTTGTTATCATTTTCCTTTAATATTTTTTATAATGAATTTTGTATGTTGTGGAATATCAAAATGAAACAGAACTAAACTAAAAAAAATTGAAGCAAACAACAATCACACACCCTATGCTGTTGATACAACTAACTTTTTCACAGGCTAGACTGGTATGTAAATTGAAGGGATAGGTACTTGGAGGCAAATGGAAATGAAAGAAAATAATGCAACCCAATCTAGATGCTATGACCTGACTCAGTTATAACTTGAGCTTCAAACTCCATAGAAATGTTATAGCCACCTCTTTCAAAACCTTCAAATGAAAACGTTTGCTTTCAAAAAGTCAATAAATCAGATCCCAGATTGGTAACAGCGTATGTTATGACTGAAATCTCATGTGCTGATCTACATATATACATATATCATATTATTTGATAGGCAGGTTAACCAACTGACAGGACAAAGTTGATGTGGACCTGCTTATCTGCTTTCCAGGACAGAGGGTTGAAATATACACACATCTTATACAGTTTGTACATGGAGCAATAAAAGGGCCTAATCAACATTAAGTCTTCAACCTAGAAATCAGATCTTGAAGACCTGTGATTTCATCAATTTATCTAATGTAAACTTGAGCCACATGGGTCCCTTGATCAAGTCTTCTCCTTGGAAAAGTGCATTCGACATTTGTCATCTTCATTTGGGTAAAGAAAATGAACACTAATCTGTCACTCATTTGTAAAAGAACAGTGCACTTCTAAAATAATTCTAGACATCAAAATAAGGAATATAAGAATAAAAACTTACAAACCATTTTATCTCTATGCATGACCTATACAGACAAGAGCTGGGATATTGTGGATGTTGTTGGCCGATTGGATCTAGGCTGAATCACTGATGACAGTGTCTTGTATAAAATTGACGTGCCAAACTTAAAACAAATAAGGTTTTTACAGTGTAATTCACAGTTCCAGGTTGATATCATCGATTCTGGATCTCGCTATCTATAGACCTTGTTCAAAAATGGACTGCAGTGAAAATATTTCACTACAGCAAAAAATTCCATTGAAATGTATAGGAAAGATACATTATGAAAATGGGGGGGGGGCTGAGGTAATTCACTTCTTTCACAGGCTAATTTGAACATGAAGATTCCGATTCTGTGATCCGTTTTTGGCAAATACGAAGATAAAAAATTCCCCGGAATAGAGAACAAACTTGTTCTAATGTTATCATTTTTCGCTCAAGCTAACACTATAATCAGTGATGTACTGTCTGTATATTTGGATTACACCAAACTTAGGCCGGGTCGGAACAAGAAACAAAATGGGTCTTACCTTTCTTCGCTTTGCTGGATGGCTTGCAAAATTACTCTTGTTGCTTTTGACAATAGGGAAAAATCCAGTAACCGTCGTTTGTTCAGTCATTTTTACGACAAAATATGATAAATGAGACCAGCTAAGTGTAGCCCTCCCTTCGTTAGTGAGTGCAAGGCACCAATGAACAGGGTGATGCGCGAATTGGCGCGAAAAGTGTTATTGATATGAACGAGACCATACATAATTGAAAACGAGACTGTCTTGTTAGCACTTCTCGTCGCTAAAAAGCACTGATCCCCGGCGGGTTCACGACTGTTAGACACCCTATTTACCATGTGAATTCCAAGACTGGAATGGCCAAGGCTAGAAAATGTTTGCGGCTTCGCTGCTTCGACCCTATTTATACGTGCGTATGATTTTGACAATGTTTTTTCAGCGGATTGCGGCTTCATTACAAGATGCGTCTTGCGTCTTGCGGTGTAAATCGGCAACGGTCTACGACTTTAAGGATGCGGATTCGTTGCCACGAAAACATGCAATCAATAGATGTTGAATAAGATATGGAACAATGAAACAACATGTTTTGTGAAAAGAATGAGAACTAGAAGAATTGATCTTGCATTTAATTCTAAAAATGTTTCCTATTTTCTTATAAACGGATAGTTGACTGTTTTGTGCAAGTGCATGCATCACTATTGCGGCCGCCTCTTTTCGCTTTATTTCATTGTGGATTGCGATTTTTGGCTGATTTTTGCACGGTTTTGCGGCCCTATAATAGCCCACTCCCCTCTGCTTTGGCCTGCTTGCAGACTCTGTAATCGAAAAGGGGAGAAAAAGAGTGGCACGTAGGCTACCCTGCTTCGGACACTTAGCAAAAATTCAAAAGTGAGCTAAGCGCCCCGATTCAAGTAAACTGTCAAATTTATCGTACAACGAAATTGAGGTAGAAACAGTAACAACAGCAGAGACGGATCCAGAGTGAGTTCTTTGGTGCGTAGAACTTAGTCAGTTTTCCAACCTATAGCTAAAAATAGTGTTGCCTGAAACAAGTAATATTTAAATTAAAAAGTGAAACCTAAAAATTCTAAGAATGAAATTTTTGTTTGGAACATGGATGGAAGTCAATCAAAACAGCATCTGGAACTCGGAAATGATACCATATTTGTAAGAGAGCTGCACAATAGCCTGTAGTTGATTGGCTACCTATTGTTTCTGCTATATCACTGATATAACACGCGAGCAAAATTCCACTTCACATAATTGCAGTGTGTTTAGAAAATCGTCTTAATCGTTAGCTTCCGCCTACACAAGCTGGTTTCAGAAAAAGTCGTGGCATACGTGATCAAATAGCAAACATGTGATGGCTTTTCGAGAAGGCTTTTGAAAATAACCGCCGTATCTTCATGGTCTTTATTGACTACAGCAAAGGTTTCGATTGCGTGGACCACAACACGCTTTGGGACATTTTGCAGAAGATGGATTTCCCACTACACATCATACACCTATTCAAAAACTTATATTCATCTCAGGGTGCTGCTGTTAAAACCGATGATGGGATCAGTGACTTTTTCAAGTTGGGTGAAGGTGGACGTCAAGGATGTATTTTGTCGCAGCTTCTTTTTAACATCTACGGCGAATACATCATGAGACAGGGGGCACAAGAAGAAAACGGCGGTTTTAGCATCAGTGGCACAAGAATAAACGAACTCAGATACGCAGATGACACAACACTTATAGAAACCGCCATCGACTTGATGCAAAGACTTGTAGACAAGATCAAAGAGAAAGTGAAAAGGTAGGACTGTATCTCAACAAAGACAAAACTAAGTTGATGGTCATTGGTGACGAAACTCAAGATACAGTGACGGTCGACGGCACACGTGTAGAACGCGTCAAGGATTTCAGCTTCCCTGGGTCGTTCATCACTAAAGAAGGTGAATCTACACAATTATCAATGCATTATCTGAAAGTCCCTAGCCTTGGCTTGGAACTCAGTCTGAACATTATAAAAAGAAACTAGCAAAAATATTTTTCAACATTTAAAAAAAGGAATAAAAAAAAGAAGAAATCTGTTATACTATGTTACAAGCGTTTATTGTCGTACTTCAATTACTAAACTTGAAGTTTTCAATCTCACAACAGTTAATCAACAACATCCGCATTTTAAATGTATGTAGATTGTTAAAATTGGAATTTTTAATCGGAGTTTAATAACCAGTTTTTTTAATTATTCAGCAATGATGAATCTTGTTAGTACTTGTCTAATTTTAAGAGGTATTTCGCTCCAAATCTTCACTCCTTCCACTGGAATAAATTTTGATTTATGGCTAGTTCTATGTTGCATGGAGCTAAATGACTTAAAGCAATCCCTAATTGTATTGTCCATGTTATTATTTGTATTTGTAATTTCGTATATAAACTTAGCGCATTCAACTCTATAGCAGCTTTTGAAATCTAAGATGTTTGATTGTTTAAATAGAGGGTTGCTATGATCAAACGGTTTTAAGAAAATCATGGGTCTTACAGCTTGTCTTGGTTTTTCTCTTATTTAGATTGAAGAAAGTTTCACAAGCATCTCCCCAGTTTCTTAATCCGTAGTTTATGTATGGCATTATGAAAGCAAGATACATTTTGGATTTGTTATGTCTTAGGACCTTTTTATATAGAGAAAATCATCCCATTTCCATCATGTAGGCTTAGAGCTGATATCCCACCCTGCTATAGAATCCTTTATGCGGCAAATGACCCAGCCAAGTTAGGTGAGACGCCACTGCATGAGGGGGCTAGAGGGGGAATGAAATTTTCATATACACGCCATCAAACTTCGTCCCACTTGTCAGCACACAGGCTGGAAGGTGGATGATTTCCTCTCTGTATAGCCAGAAGGTTGGATAGAATCAACATGTAAACATTCGATAAATTAATCCAATCTATCAGATGATAAGCTGGGAGGTGATAGAAAAAAACCTTTAATTGAAATAAGGTAGAAGCAGCAACAGAATTAGAACCCCATTGTGTTCGTCAGATCTAATAGCTTTAGGTAATTTTCTAGTTAGTTAACAAAACAATTTCCAAGTCTTTACATCTGTAAAAGGGTCAATTATAGAGCTATAGTAAAAATTTTCGGAATTTTCAGTTTCTTTGGACAATTTGAACAATATTTTAGCTGATGCAACACTAGCAAGCAAAGTCAGAGACAACCTTAATGCAATGAAAACATTGGGAAATAAGCGCTTTAAATTCAAAGACTTAAGCTTGTTCAACAGCTGCATTGGTTGATGCTTCTTAGAAAAAGTGACTCCTCAGTGATGTTAAGAGGTATGTCATCCTTTTTTGCTGTGCAAAATTTCGCTCTTTTTTGCTAGGTCATCTTCCTTCAATCTTGTGTTTAATCAAAGAATACTGAACCCCTCCCAAATCTCGCCAATTGACATGAATCGCCTAATTATCTTTGCTGTAGCATTATCAATAATAACAATGCCGACATTATCTTGAATTTCACCAAAGGTCTTGGTTTCACTTCAAGATAGAGATAAACTTGATTGATTTCTCTTGGTCTTCAATATTTTGGGACATCTAGCCCTCCGTCTAAACGAGCTTCTTCCAAGATCAAACCAACTAGTTTTTTATTAAACGTTTTTCACTTCCTAGGTTTCTTTAAATGTAAAGAATAACATATTTTATAGTTAAGAACTGTATGACGATAGAATACCAGTCATACTTAAATTATATTGAAAGAACTAGAGGAGTAATAGCTACCATCACAATTTCAGCAACCAAAATAGCCGCAATTTTAGCAACCATCGTCTCAAAAAATTCCCCCCCCCCGGACCCCTAAAAAGGGTCGACTCCGCTGTGCCTTGCTTTTTTCTTTTGTTTTGACCCGGGGCCCAGAAATCCTCTGCACTGCCCTAGTTTGATAAAATATGGTATAACAAGAACAAGAAGTTTGCTCAGGTTATTCAATTTTGCTCCACCCACTCTCCCCCCGCTGGACTGCGGGCAGATGTCAAGGCCACAGTTGCCAACAGTGGCCAACCCTCTGCGTGGACGGAAATATTATTTACATTGTTTTCTTAATCGAGGTTAAACAATAATGGTTTCTTTATAAACATACATTCAAAATCGAAAATCCGTGAAAGCCGCACAGTAAAGAATTTGAAGACAACCCACGCACGAAGCTACTGCCATATATGTATTGAAACGGGTGCATATTACATTTCTTTTTATTCATAGAAGGTTTTCCTCCTCGCATCAGTAATGGCACGAATCGAATGGGCGATCTGGGCAAACGAACAGGGAGTTGCGAGTGCTGCAAGTAAGTGAATATTTTATATTTTGCCTGTGAATTGTCATTCCGGACGATTTTTATCGCCGATGTTACTTTGTTTGCTTTTGAAAAGCCGTGATTCAACAAGATTTGGCTTATCTTTCACCCAAGTCGTTCCTGATGATTTATCCAAATTTTTACAGTTCTCGTTGTTGGTGGAATATTAGCTGTGATTGGGAAGTTCAAGTTATGGCAAATTGGAGCTTATGCAATGTATCCCTTTCAAAATTGGAATTGTACGCCTAGAAGCTGTAAAAACCGAAAAAGAGATAAAAAGTGAAAGCTTTTGAAAATCAAGTAACTTAGCCTGTATTTGTTTATGGAATTCCTTATTAGCTTGCTTCCGGAAAAGTTTTTGTTCAAATTTGGACCCTTATTATTTGAAATGCAACGCATGTTATCATTCCTTGATTTTTAAATCAATGAATTTGATCTACAGAATGTATCTTTTTGCAACATTGGCAACATTAGGCACTTTAGGAATTAATGAAAAACATTTTCTTTTTCAAAAAAATTTGTCATTTTCTATCAATACATCCTTATGTTTGATGATTAACAATGCTGATTTCAATTTCTGGAATGTAAATTGTTTATCAATTTATATTGAAGAGTTATAGTTGAATTGTTTGCTAACTTTAATGATGTTAAAATTCAAGGGTTAGGGTTAGGGTTAGGGTTAGGGCAACCTACAGCCTAAAGGCCAGAATCTATAGATAGTTTTAATGGAAAGATAATTTATGGAAAGATAATTTTTGTGGCCTGTGAGATGAAAAATATCATATTATAATCCTTTTTGTCCGCAAGAATGATTTTTCAAGGGGTCGCACATTTTGAATGAAACAGATTGATTCAACATTAGATTATCTAATGTCTTCATCAAACCTGGCAATAATGGAACAATTTGTTCACTGTCCTTTGTCATGAATTCATCCAGCTTAAAGACAGGACAGCAGAGTTTTTGAGAGATTAGGCAAAAGTTAAGAAACACAGCAAGAACAAATCTTACTGGGAGTGCTCATGGCAGTTAAACATGTATCATGATTGTCCCTATTTTGTCCTGCCTTAGTTGCTAGTGTGCTGGGGATGGCCACTATATTCCATAAATTGGTGTTCACTTAAATTTTAATGGCCTGAGCTAAATTGCCAATGCTAAATGTTGGTGGATGATTCTGTATTTGAACGATTTCTCCAAACCCTGATAATGCTAATGCTAAATGCTAAACCCTAAGACGATTTCTCCAAACCCTGAATGAAATCCTTTTTTATTTTGGTTGGTTTCTTTACAGCTTTCCCTTTTGCACTTTCGATTGTATAGTCTTATCTATCTTTGTAAACTATCTACATTTGTAAAAGAGAGGTTTGTATTTATAGGGCAGTTGAATTTAAATGAAAGTTTTTGATAACCATTATTATAATTTTATTACAACTATTGTATTCATTTTTCTTACTACCTTTGGCCCCTTTAATAAAAGGGTTTGAAGGATTTGGCTTAGTCTCAAAAAAGGTTGCCCACCCCGGTTATAGTAGAAGCTAAAAAAATTCCATGAATTGGTCATGTTAGTAAGACAAGAAGCTAGTTGAATTACTACTTTCAATGTCAAAATAACACTATGAAAAATATCCTAAATGTAATTTTATATCACCAGTTCATTATGATTTGCTTGTCTTATTTAACCTACTATATAGCAGACACTGTATAGTTTTTGTCAGTAAATTTGGAAAGTCACTTGCAATTCCTTAATATGTTTTGAAGAGCTGCAGGTGTGCTTGTGTTTGTTATTGAGTATCCCAGAGGCAAGAGGTCAACTGGAAGAACCACAGAGAGGGGGTAACAGAGATTTTGGCTTTAGACTTTTATATCTATTTTGTAAATTCTTTTTTCATTTACTTCATTCAGAATCATTCTTTTGTTCATTGGAGCATTTGATCTTTGATCAACATTTTCTTGCCATCTCTAAGATTGTAGTTGGTACCAAACCAAGTCTTTCTTTTATTGTATGTATCATTCAAATTTCCAGCATTAAATTTTCTTATATCATATGTAAAGGAGATATGGTGTTGAAGTGGGTATGTGTGAGTTAGAAACAAAGGCAGCAGGAGCTAACTGCAGATTGCTTTTTGCAAAAGTTTCACTAAAAAAGTCTTATGTATAATTTGTTGCTCAATCCCCCAAGAAAAGTACAATTTAGTGTTTTCCTTTGTTTCTACATAATATTTCATTATTTTATATCAGATTCTTGTCTGTTTTATGACTTAATTTAAGGTTTTTTGTAAGTTGAAATTAGATTTTTAATTCATTGCAGGGGACAGGGTATATTTGCTACAATGGTAAATGCACTTGGTCCTGTTGGCAGGAATTATTATGTGAGGTTTCTTGTCTATCTCCTGTGAGTTAATGTTTACTTCAAAAACTCTTCCTTGTGTGTACTTTACAACCTAAAAACGCTCTCTGCAGATTCTCCTTTTTAGCTTTAAGTAACAAAAGGCATACCAGATGTCAAAAGGGCTACATTTTTTGTATATGCGGTTTTACTCTGTTTTTATAATCTTGTTTTGTTTTTAACCTTTGTGTTGTTTCTCAAATGATTATCTGCGGGGGTCCTGATGACTTTGTTTCTGTCCCTATCAACAGTCACTTAATAAACAGAGGCCAGCTGTGAGAGACCAAACTGACAACAGGAATTTGTTATTGTTAGGCCCAAGCTTAGGCCCACAAAATTGAAAACAAATGTACATATGTTACTGGGATGAATCAAATATGCTAAATTCTTATGACAATGCTTATTTTAAAAGTTGGTTTGTCTAAGGTTTTTTCGAAAATAAAGTTGTGTAAATTATAGAAGGCCAATTATAAAGTTAAATATTAGTTTAGAAAGTCGACTTTACTGTGAGTATTTGATTTCTTTGTTGGTTTTGATTCATTGGCAACGGTCAAGACCTCAGTATGATATTCGGTTTTTTAAATTTGCAGCAGGACCATTTTGTGCCATCTTCAAATTTTGTGTCACCAAGAGGTTATAAAGACAAAAATGTGGCGTGATATAATTAATCATAAACTAATTCAATTGATGTCAAAAATTTCATTGTTCTTAAGGTTGATCAAAATAACTATAAGAAATTATATTCTTTGAAGATCTTTAAGGCAAAAGTCTTGAATACGAAAGATTGGGTAAATAGCTTTGAAAAAAGCAAACATTTAGTAAACTAAAGCTTTTCGTCTGACACTCTTCAGAGTTTAAAACGTCAGAACATAGATCGAAAACTCTACGCTAAGAAATATATATACCCAGTTGTGGATCGAAATAGGCCAATCAGAAACACGAGCACATGACTGTAAAGGTTGACCAATCAGTGCCGCTTGCCTATTAGAATGTTACCAATGGAGTCCTAAGGTGAAAACGAACTCCTTTTGTCTACACAGTAGCGGTTTTTTCGTGCTTATGTAGATAGATTCTAAAACTGCTAGGTGGAACGACGATCGGGCTTTACCAATAATCCGAAACATGTCGCCATTATAGTTTTTTGCACAATCTGGGTTTTCTAGCAAATGCTGCCCGATAGCAGAATCGCAGGTTTTATTAGTAATTTTGGATTTGCAAGACCGAGGTGGCTGTTCTCTTTGGGGATGTGTTTTGTTTCTAATATTAGATGGAACGTGTTGTTTTATCCTATCCTCCAATCTTTGGGTGGTGCGTCCTACGTAGCCAGAATCACACTGGCACGTGAATTCATAAACAACAGAACTTTTTTTTGTGGCAGGAACGCAGTCCTTTTGAATGGACGGAAGGGCCTTTTTTGTACTGTAAACAACACGTGGGTTAACCGCGAAGAAACAATTTGTTATGGCCTGTTTTATTTGGCTTTCAAAACGTAGGGAGCTGTTACCGATCCAGGGTAGTTTTAGATAGACCGGGCACTTTTGAGGACCAAATTTCTCAGCTGACGTAAAATTTGGTCCTCAAAAGTGCCCGGTCTATCTAAAACTACCCTGGATCGGTAACAGCTCCCTACGTTTTGAAAGCCAAATAAAACAGGCCATAACAAATTGTTTCTTCGCGGTTAACCCACGTGTTGTTTACAGTACAAAAAAGGCCCTTCCGTCCATTCAAAAGGACTGCGTTCCTGCCACAAAAAAAAGTTCTGTTGTGTATGAATTCACGTGCCAGTGTGATTCTGGCTACGTAGGACGCACCACCCAAAGATTGGAGGATAGGATAAAACAACACGTTCCATCTAATATTAGAAACAAAACACATCCCCAAAGAGAACAGCCACCTTGGTCTTGCAAATCCAAAATTACTAATAAGACCTGCGATTCTGCTATCGGGCAGCATTTGCTAGAAAACCCAGTTTGTGCAAAAAACTATAATGGCGACATGTTTCGGATTATTGGTAAAGCCCGATCGTTGTTCCACCTAGCAGTTTTAGAATCTATCTACATAAGCACGAAAAAACCGCTACTGTGTAGACAAAAGGAGTTCGTTTTCACCTTAGGACTCCATTGTTAACATTCTAATAGGCAAGCGGCACTGATTGGTCAACCTTTACAGTCATGTGCTCGTGTTTCTGATTGGCCTATTTCGATCCACAACTGGGTATATATATTTCTTAGCGTAGAGTTTTCGATCTATGTTCTGACGTTTTAAACTCTGAAGAGTGTCAGACGAAAAGCTTTAGTTTACTAAATGTTTGCTTTTTTCAAAGCTATTTACAAGTTTTGTACCACCAAAAGATTGTTTAAAGATTGGGTAGTCAGCATACTCAGAACACGAAAAGTTGATTTTTCATCTTGCCATAAAAACATCTCGCCCTTTTCCTGTGAAAATATTAATGCACGAACAATCATTTGTTTTCATGTAACAAATTTGTGATTTGAATTTATGGACTCTTTGTAGATGCTGTGTTCCATGCGTTTTTCTACTTTCGACTGTGCTTGGTGCGCTCTGTCTCCTAGCAACAAGTCTGATTTACCTCCGAGCTGCAATTGCAAATGAGAAATGGCAGCAGTGTAATAAAGTTGCAGTGAAGAAGGAAGGCGGAAAGTCCATAAAACGATTACGGCCCCCTTCAATGGCACCGCCACGAATGAAGCAAGCTCGCGAGAACAAAGCCGCTGAGTACGACGAAGGAGCTAATAAAGTCTGATTTTGTCCATTTAATGAACAATTTTGGCTGTGTATTTATCAACTGACGACAATAACGAGAGGCCAGGACCAGATAGTAAATTGCGATCCTGAAAAACTTTTCTATCTATTTTTGTACAATAAGTTAATTTGAGGTATTTTTATATTAAATAAATCGATTGGTTTAATGAGTCATTATTTCATATCAAAATACTTTCTTTTTATCCTCTACTTGGACTGCAGCCCATTGCCGTTGGTCTTGCCTTATCGTTCTACGCCATAAGTATAAAACATTTCAACAAGAACTCAAAAAAATTAAAGCAGTGGGAGAAGAAAGGGCTTTGAAGGTGTTCCATTTTCAATGTAAAGGCTTGATTACAATAGCAGTAAAGGTTAAGATTAATGAGATTAAAAGCCATTTACAGTTTAGCCCACGTAATTCGAAGGAAAGGTCCACATTGTATTAAAAAAAGAGGAGGGAAATTCATTATGTTTTAATAAAAACAGGTACAAGCCGACATTCTACCTTTTATTCAGAAAAAGCATGTTTCAAATAAAATAAATGCATTTCGCCAAGTTGAGGAGATCTTCAGTCGTTCATTCCCTGTGGCTTTGAACTGCCAATTACGGGATAAACTGTTTCATTTCGAAAAAGCCTCGATACCTGCGTTACTGAAACGATCACATCATCGGGTTTCGACATCATGGTGCTTCTAAATATCCCCCTTTTTTCTTTTTTAATTTCCAAGGAGAAATAATATGCCCGAGATTTAATCTCTCATAATAAAACTAAGCACTAATAGCAGAGTAGATAATAGACTATTCTGAAACCAATTTTCTTGCATATTGTTTATAGATGGCAAGTGTTTGTTTCTATACTATTTCTGTTTCTATGACAAATTTTACAAGAGTTGACACGGAGCTAGATTTAACTTTGTAGGGTTGGAGAGTGTCCAGAGTCGTGCCTGCAACAACATCACATCCTTAAAGCAACGAGTTCGTAGACTGAAAATTAGACTTGCACTACAACGACGATTTTGCACCACGCAGCCATCTAGTGAGCTCGAAAAGCTAGTACGAATGAAGATTATTGTCTTATGAAGACGCTACAATTCTAAAGTATTTAACGCTAACTGAACAGAGTTTTTGATGAGAGGTTCGAGTGAGAATCAAATAACAGTCCGATAGAATCATGGTAATGGCTGACCATCTCATCAATAGACTTCTCCCCATCTATGACCTGCAAAACATTTTTAAAAAACGAGGTGTTAAAAAACGGACAGATCAAGAGACATACTTATGTCTAAATGGGGATTATGCCTGACATTTTGAAAGCATTCACAATCATCCAACGATTGCTGCAAAGTTTACCAAAGCAGATGAAAGTGAAGGTATCTTGCCCTGCTCACAACATTTTTCAAGGAAAATTACAAAGGGGGCGAAATAGAGCCGGATGAAGAAAATTAAAACAACGAAGATATCAATGTTGACACGATGTGGATGATGAGTATGTTTTGTAATTGCTAAATGAATTTAGTTGTCACGATACGATACTGTTTCACTTTGCTAGCTTTAACAATACGATCCCTTAATATGCTAAATGTTTGTAAGTTAGACATTCCATTTTCAAATAGTGAAAAACTTTGCTATGATCTTCCTATAGCGTAACCAATTTCGGACGGTACGCTACTTCTGTCCCAAAATAATATTGGGAAATTTTGGGAAATTAAATTGATAGCTGGTGATGTAGAGCAAATGACAAAGCCTATTTTCTTATAGCGAACTTGGTCGACCAAAATTTCTCATATACGGCTCATTTTACGCAGCACTTTTAATGATAAAGACACGAGCAACTATAAAAAAATTCGTCCAGATAGCTCCTTTTCAAAAGGAATAGAAAGTAAAGTAGCTGAAAAGGAACTGATGTATGTTGTAAAACTTGGTGATACCTGCAGAGTAAAAAGACAGAAGAGCGCAAAAATGCTGATGCTGTGGTAGTTTCTAGGGATATCACAGAGAGAAAGATGAAAAAAGTGAGTAGATTAGTTACGATATCACAAAAGATAAACGAAGGCCTTATGATAAACAAAGAACTTATGAAGACAGCTGGTTGACAGTGTTGGGAGCCAGGAGAAATCGGAAATTGTTGAGAGAAACTCGAGGTTAAATTCTATATAGAAAGACGGCAGGGCACGGAAATGCGATAAATTATTGGACCATTTCAGCGTGAGTTGATAGCAATGTTAGTATAAATCAAGATAAAAATTTGCAGGAAACTTACAATAACGGGTGCTGGCGTTTCGAATTTGGTTCTTTTGACGAGCCAGTCTTCGTATCGCTCATGCAAGTCTTGCAATAATTTCTAAAACAGAAACCAATTATCATTGGTTCGTGATATGAATTTCAGCATATGATAATAATAATATGATAAATAGTGAATAGTGCCTGTAAGACAATTGATCCTCACCAGAGGTACTCCTTCCTCTTCTTTCCTGCCTCGAGCTTGTAGTCTTGCCAAACACTCTCCTGGAGGTGTTCTTATGTAAACTAAAGGGTTTGAAAAAACAAAGAACGATAAATGCATGTAGTAAAGTTGTTGATTCTATAATACTACAAATCATGATAAAGTCTACATTCTAGGATGCATACATTACATCGAATCTTATCATTCAAAGCACAACCTCTTGAATCCTGTGTAAAAGGTCCTGCTTGTCGGCATATCTTCTGGAAACAATTATCAGGTTACGATGTACTTTATAGATTCAACGATAAAAATGGATAAACAAATTTAGTTTTAAAGTGGCCAAATGACTTAAATCAGAGGTGAAACGCCGCATTAGTTTGCAAAAATGCCATTTCTAACATTTGGGTGACTTAAGAGGCATTATTCTTTTTGGTAACGAGGCCAAGATGGCCCATACCTAATTACAATACAACAAAAACAAAATTAAACGCATGTTAAAAGAACAGAATTTACAGTGTAAGACTACGTATCTAAAGAATATGAAAATGTACAATTACACAGACACATTTGATTGTCATTTGTTGGAAATAATTAACTTGAAAACGTGCATTAATTAAAGCACAGCAAACGAGGTTTGTGGAAGCTTCTAAAATGATGAGAGTTTAGCTAACATCGATACCTGGGTACTTCTTACAAACATTTTGCTAAATGAAGTAGGCAAGAAATTACCGAGAAGATCAATTTTCGGTGTTTGCACTCTCTTCAACCAATCAAACCATTCGTGATGTATTGTATACTCAACTTTTGATATATTTCCACTAAAACAATTTCCAATATAGAAAATAAATCAAAGACTTTTAAAAACAAATATGAGGAATTAGCTAACGAAAAAGATTATATTACAAGTAATGTCAATTCAAGATAAAAAAGATAACACAAGAAATATAAGAGACTACGGATAAAAATAGCTGAAAAGAAATGAGATGTAAAGTAAGGTACTTCTTAAAATCTAAAAATCTGTACGAACACAAACGGAACATCCAACTCCGTGGCAAAAGAACTCCAGCAAAAAAAATCTAGCCATGATTTACAAATTCCTTTATAACATTACCCTAAAATCATTAAGCAGTAGCATTTTAATGAGATAATAGCAATTTCAGTAAACTCAGCTCACCTCAAGTACAGGTTTTCTACAAAACAGTAAACTGCACTGTAAGCAGACCGTTCTATCAACCTGTGTTCTTTAGTCTAAAATGAGAAATGAAATGAGGACGTGTTAATCAGACAAACGAAAAACAACTCCTGTACAGGATTTTGATGCTATAGCAGATTCAACACAATATGTAAACATTCTGGCCCGTTTCACACCAGCCGTAGGTCAAATCTTGAGTTCTTGCTGCAGTATTCATCATCACGAGTATCAGAGCCTTGGAAGTTTGATATCCAAAGTGAATTGAAGGATGCAAATGAATTCCAAGGCAAAGAGCTCGCTTTGAGAAATTTCAATAGGCTTAAATTTTAAGAATGTCTTTGAAAAAAGCAAAAAACTTTTAAAATGCTTAGAAGATCTAATATACGAAGTTATGAAACATATATCCAATTGTGGATCGAAATAGGCCATTCAGAAACGCAAGCATATAATCATTAAGACCTGAATGATTGCTGCATGCCTATCAAAACTATTAGCACGGATTCTAAGGGTAAAAAAATACTCCTTCTATCTACACAAAAGCGGTTTTTTCTTTCTTTTATGAAGACGGATAATAAGACCAAATTTACATTAGAGGAATTGGCTTAGATTGGTACAAGAAAGATAAAATAAGAGAACTATAAATAACATAAAAGTTCTCTTATATTATCTTGGTACCAGTTAGGGTCCTAACTAGAGCCAGATTTGGTCCACCTTGAGGCCGCCATATTTTAACCTATTTTACAAAATAACTGATATATGTATGGTGCGGAAGAGGGATTCCATTTACACTGGGCCTGCCTCAACACGAAACACTCATGGCCCCGGACGGAGCAAATACTGGTCAAACTTCGAAGTAGAGCCAGTTCTTGTCTCCCCACGATCCAGACCTGTAGAAACGTCTTTTTTGAATGTGTCTGTATCGGATAATTATAGTTATAATATACTTGATACGCGGCGGAAAAACTTCAGAGAGAATAATCTTTATCTTGTGCAATGACTTGGGCATGTTTTTCAAAGGGAGTTTTCTGAGAAAGGAAGAAAAGTGCAGGAAAAAATAACCCCAAAAGGGTTTTAGTAGAAGGAGGCGATAGAGTATTGCTGCAAATATGAACTTTGCACAGCCCCAGCCCAGCGAAGAAGCTCATGATCGCTATAATAAAAGCCCATTTAAAAGCTATCAATGCGATACAAGAACAGATAAAAGACTCATTTATCGGTTAAAACTAATCAGTATAAATAATAAAACTCATCGTCGTAAAAATAATGTATTTGTTTGTAGCATTTGACTGAATTGAAAATTCGATTGCACTTCTCTCACCTGTTCGTCGTTGTGGGTTTTCATCATTGTTAGTAATGTATATGTTTGAAACGTGTAGCTCCATCTTTTCGGGTCTTTATACATCATTTCCTGAAGTTAGATCAACAGGTTTTGGAATTCAACGAATCGAACAACAATGAATTCTGAGAAACGAAGAAATCCTTGCAATCAAAACTTTGAAAGGTTAAGGACTCACAAATAAATTATTGCCACCAATATTTCGCCATAGTTTCACTGGTTCTTCACAGACCTTAAAAAGATTTCAAAGTTTATTATCCCAGTCGAAAATGTTCTCGAATAAAAAGATGCAAAGTATAACAAATAAAAAACAATAACATCAAAGTTACCTCTATGTCGGAAAAGCTTTCCCGAAAGTGATTAAGCATAGTAGTTTTACCACTTGCAATATTTCCTTCCACACATATCTGAAAATGCAAAAAAGCCTTGAATAATTTCTAAGTTTACTTCTAGCTAATGCAAATATAAAACTATTCAACAGCAATGTGGAATCAAAATGGACAAAGAATGATCAGATTTGTGGAAGGAGATTGAAAAAATATAGGGATGACCAGATAACACTTCACAGCAGCTGCCGATGCCCCTTTTCTTAAAAAAATCATTTTCACAAGATGAAATTGTAGTGACTATTGTCTAAACGTAATCATGTCCTCCATTGTGTGTCTGTCATTAACACTTTCCATTGTCTTCGTATCCACGTAACGTAATAAACCCATTATTTTTAGGAGATTTCAGCGTCATATTTCATAAAACAAGTGTAATATCAATGCATTAAACTAATACCCTCACTAACTGTGGCGAATCTAGACAAAAATTTTGAAGGGTTCCAATATGGGCGTGGTCCCAATTTTTCTGACAACGTCCTTGAATTTCTTCCAAAATTGGGCGACGCCGATTTTAGCTTTTTGAGAAGGTTGACAATTGCAAGGTTTAATCTTAACAAGATAATACATTATTTCATCATAATTCAAGGCAAGTAAAAAAATAAATCTGTAAACCAAAAAAGGAATTGTCATTATGAATTCTATAAGAATGGTTTTGATTTCTTGTCAAACAGAGGACCTTAATAAATTCCTTTAGCTGGTTACAGCAGGACATAAGCTTACTGAGTGTTGCAAGATTTGAGTGAAATTCTTGTTATAAATATAACCAAGTAATAAACAAACAAGACAAGTTTGCAAATGTTCACCAAGATTGTCAAAAATGGATAACGATAGACGAAGCCTCTAATCATATATAGCAAACAAACCCAATTATCGAAAAGTGCAGATTATGACATATGAAATCATCTTATCCAATTCTCTAAAGTCTTCAATTTCATCTTGATAAAGTTCTTACCCTAAAGATAAATATATTATGTATACGTCTTCAAGAGTTCTATAAACTTTGCACGTCAAAGAGAAAATGTCTTCGACATTCCTGAGCTTCCTGTCAAGAATTATCTCCTGCTTATTGTAACATTTCGTGAACATCACTTTACAGCTATCTGAAATGGGCTTTTCGCTTGATCCATGAGCAAAAAAGGGGTGATCTGACTTCTCTGGGTTAGCTAGGCTAGTCAAGAAAAATGAGCAAATAGTTGGCGACGTGTGTTGAAAAAGCTTTGTTGAAATGAAAACAAGACACATGCATGGTCAACGGCTTGAATAAGTTCCAATCAGAGTTGGAAGATTTTTGGGGCTTCAAACCAAATCAATGTTGGAAAAAAGTCAAACGAAGCCAAAATGTAAACGAGGCAGCAACACAATAGAAAACTTCAAGCTGTAAATGAGGCTAGAAATACACGTTTTCTGTTCAATCCATAAGTTGCTTGACCCCCTTAACCCTTACGTATTTCTTTACCCACGAATTAAGTCTTCCACTCTGATGGAACACATTTTCATTGTGTTCATAGAATTCCAAGACATGATGTTCATGTAAGGGAACGCATTTTGAGTAAAATTAAAACAAAGCAACAGGGAGGCAAACAAAATATTTTGAGCTTAGCCGTTTTTGCTATCATAATATTTTTCCATCCCTCAATATTTTCTCATCGGATTTAGATGAAGTACAAAGTCAGTCCATACGACACAACCTCTTCCAAGTCCCCCTTCTCCCTCCCCCTCTTCGCATCGCGACTATTAAACCCTGCTTCAACAGGCAGAAAGAATGAAGAACAAAGGGAAAAACCAAGTAACAATATCGGATCAGATGGATGAAATTGCAGATGCACAACAAAGTATCACAGTAAAATATATGCATTTACTGGTTGAATTGTATGATAATTTCTGTTAGGCTGATGAAAAAAGAAAGAAGGTAGGGAAAAATATTAATGCCCGTATTTGCAGGGAAAAGCCAAGTAAAGCCAAAAAATGACTTTAAGCCAAAAAGAATTCCTGAAGCAAAACAAGTTCGAAAAAGTCAAATTTCTGGAATTTGGCTTAAAAAAGCCAATATACCAACCCTGGTTCCAACGAGTTCGTGAGATGGGTTCCAGAGGATTCTTTTGTTTGTTGCCAAAAATTGAAGACAATCGATTGCTATGGCTACGCCAGGGTTCCTTTCTTAAAAATACATTATAGTACAAAGGGTTACCTTGGCTAGGACAGGGTTTCTTTCTTTAGATAATTCGAAAGTAAAGGGAAAACTTGTGCTATGGGTCTTAGGGAAATTTGACAGGGTTCCAGAACCCTTGGAAGCTGGTCTGAATCCACCACTATCCACCACTGCTCACTAACAGTTTCCCTTTCAACTTTTGAGCCTCATATAACATACAAAATGAGACATGTCTTGTAGCAAATAAATAGGCAGAAAACCTATAATGTTTTGCAATCAGTGATTTTTGAATTGATGTCCTTCTTTTTCATCTCATAAAACCACTTGAATCAACCTGAAGCATTAGAATTTTCCAACATTCGCAAAATTGCCTCCAAAATTGGTAAATATTTTACCTGAGGAAAGATCTGTCACAGGTAATAAAATATTTTTCAAAAAAATTTGATAAGATAGTTTCATTATAGTACCGTCAAATTTCTTTGTTTTTGTCCAGACTGTAACATACTTCTAGCTGAAAATTTGGTGCAACCTAGAAAATACAATGGAATAAGAACCAATCATTATTAAATGTTAGGCAGTAATTATTATATCTGAAAAATAACTCATCCTGGTAATTTTACAACATTTGGTGACTTGTATTGCGTTGATTTGTTGCTTTGTTGTTACATATTTGCAAACCACTCTTTATTTATTGCTGAAAATCCTTTGCGCACTTTTCAAACTTTCCAAAATAGTGAAAGCTATGTTAAATCATCACTGCTTCGAAATATGACAGAATGGGTGCAGTTTTTTTCTTTGTTTGTTTGTTGGTTTGATGGTTAGTTACAAACACAACTCAAATTCATTTATTTGACACATTTTACAGTATTAGGTACATCCCAAAAGTATACGAACGGTCGGGCAAAATTTTGGGCCTAATTCTTACAAATGCCATGTTAGTGAAAAAGTAAGATCAAATTTTGGCGGCAAAATAAAACGATGGCGTCAGGAATTAAGCAAGATATAAACAAGCAAAAATTTTGTTTGGAGAAAGTTTACAGGAAAAATGTTTCTCAATAGCGCAAAAATGTTTATCTTTGGGCACTGGTAAATACACAAAATATGGATGAAGCTAAGTAAATGGTCATAAAGTTTTTACCCCAGGCAGGTCATACATATGATGAAATTGCACAGCAAGTGGGCTACACGAAGTCTACTACCCAAAGAATTTGCAACTTATGTAAAAAAGCAGTTTACTGGAGAAAAAGTTGAGAACAGGCAGGACAAAAAATTTTTTCTTATAGGAACAAAGGATTGTAGCAGGGTTTGCGAAGAAACTTGTTTGTCAATTTTGAAGGAGTAAATATAGCGAGTAACTTTGAAGTTTTATGACCAAAATTGGCTCAAAAACTAATTTAGGTGTACTCTATCGAAATACGGAATTATAAATTGTGCCCTAAAAAGAAAGCTTGATTTTTCAGCAAATATTTGCACTCACCGTCAAAACAGAGTTAAAGTTATGAAGGAACGACCTGTCGGCGACCAGGGCGATAATGTCTTCTTGAACAAGCGTAAATATAAGCAATAAACTTTTATTTTTGTTTTCATCATCTTGACCCGGCACCGTCACAACATTGGCTTTCGCTCGAATACTTTTGGGAGGGGAGTGTATACTAAAAACACCAAGAAAATTAGGTGCACAATCAACAAAATTAAGAATATAAAGAAAGTTAATATACATTGAGTGTTGTCAGGGACATTGAGATGGGCCAATGTTTGCTAAATAACTTTTTGCTTGGCTGTATTCTTATCTCAAGAGTTCTGTTCCATATTTGCTTCCATTAAAAGCAGTAAGTTCTTTTGACTATTGGATGAAAAAGTTGCAAAGGTAAGTTGTCGTTTGTTGTTTGTTATGTTTTGTAGCTATTTCTTGTGCAATTTTTCCAAATAGTTCGGTGAATATAGGTTCATTGTTCTCATTTATTAGCATTATCTTCCTGGGCTAAACATTTGATGTACCACTCAATGCAGAAATCTCCAAACGCATTGCCAAAAGCCGCTGCTGTCATGGGAAATTTGGGCAGGATAGTTTGGGGCAACAACAAGCTGACACTGAAAAACAAGCTCAAGGTGTACCAGGCATGCCTTCTCAGCACCATGCTATATGGCAGTGAATTCTGGACCACATATACCAGACAGGAGAGCTTCCACCTTCGCTGTCTATGACACATCCTGGGCATCTCATGGCAGGATAAGGTCCCCAACACTGCAGTGCTCCCTCAGCATGCACCTCAAACTCACTCAGCATCAGAATCACATGGAAGACTTATATCACATGGAGATGGACACATCCCAAAGGATATTTTGCACAGTGAGCTAGTGTCAGCAAATGTCAGCAAAATTCATTATTCTGACTGCTTTTTTATGCTTTTAGCTTATTGAACTTGGTCGTTACTGATTTTTCCATTTTACCCAAATTTATGATAGCCTTATCAACAATTTATGAGACCACTACTGTAATCTAATATTGTAGTGGGGGAGGGAAATTCATCATTGGGGCTCTTGCTCAGTATCTTTAGACTCTACCACTTTCCAACTCCCTACTTCTTTGAGAAATGATTTCATACACCTGTACATGTACAAATATAATAGCCCCATGAAATGTTTTTATTGCATAACATAACATTGTGGTAACGTTTTGCATAGAAAATAGCAAGGTAGCAAAAAGGCCACCTTGCTAAATTCATCTTCATTCAAATTCAAATTCATTTTATATTAATCAACTTAGTTACAAATTAATATCAATAAGGTAATAATAGTAACTTACAGTCCATATAACTAAATAATTTTTACAATATATAGTTGCCTAGGAAGCTGAGAGGAAACAGAACGGTTTTGGAGCCTAGCCCCTTAAATATTGAATAATGTAATCTAATAATAGCAACAATGAAAAAACAAGTATATTTTGAAGGGTAAACTAATTATTAAAAAATTCCAAGTTATTAATTTATTTGGATTCTATTTTAAAACAAGAACAGAACAGTATAATAAGGATTCGTACAGAGAAAGAGAATATTAAAACCAATAAAGTAAATGGGGTGAAAATAAAGGAAAAGGGGGAAAGTGAAGAGCCAGTCTGCAGAGTGTGGCATGTGCACATACAATATTTTTTCAGAGGCTTGTCTAATGCACACCAAAAATAGGGCTGCACACACATTTTTCTCGGTACTGAAAATTTTTTAAGGACCATCCTTTTTTAAACGTTGCTTCCCCATCTTGGTCTAAAGAACATTTTCTTTGAAACTTTGAAATGTTGATGAAGTGGAACTTTAGTATCCATAAAACATCCATAAAACAACTTATGTTGGTCAGCATCAGAACCATCTGATTGTCACAAGTTGAAAAAGTTGCTGTCTATAACTAAGTTAGAGAACATGTACCACTTTTGCTATGTGCATATTATGAGCAGGCTGAGTTTCAACTGGACACGTAGCTTCTGTTCAAGATTTTTCTATTCTCTCCAAAACTAACAACTCCTTTGATCTACTTATTCATGAAATCCTCCTTGTACACCGGGACAGACCTTTGCTTAATTCCCAACAGACCTTTATTCCTATGATTTTGTTCTGACTTTCTTCCCCGACCTGGTAGGGGTCCACGGGGCGAAGCCCCTGGAAGCTCCTGACACGTGACCTTAGGAAAGTTGTGACAATCAAAAGAATTTGTTACGAAGAGCATTGAGCAATAAAATTCCAGTCTGGCGTCTGGCTTTTTCCGATGTTGTAACTATTATAATGTTGTGAATACATTGAATCGTTTCGTTTGTTATGAAAAGGTTGCACTGTTGACAGTGATCTTGATTCTTCTTTATATTATACCAGCTTTTTATTTTTATTATAAGGTTTTTTTAAAAAATTGGGAGGATTTTTAATTGTCGGGAGGTCAGGAGATGACCTCTGAAATTGGGAGTCTCCCGGTCATATCGGGAGGGTTGGAACATATGTCTCCTAGAAAAATCTTTAAGGGCCACACCCTTTGGATTACCTTAGAATGGCCCTGGAATCACCTCATATCTCAGTATTTTGATTTGATATTTTGAAATGAACTATGCTTGCTCTAAATCCATTGATGCCCAAAATTATCAATCTACTGACTAGCATATTCCAGTTCTCTCCCAGTGTGGTACGCCAGATATATCCGGCATGGACTAACAATTTCCCATTGTATTATTATTGGTTACTGGTGTATATCCGGTGTGAGCTTCACATGGATTCCACCCTGGTTTCTCTCAGAAACTACAATCTTAGGTTTATTCTCAATTATCTAAACAAGGGCTGATAAGAAGAGGCCTTACTGGTTTCAAAGAAAGTAAGATTATTTGGGAAACTGCAGTATATGATTTGTGCTCAGGCATGACTATAGGGTCAAGAATTTTCTCTGTAGAGACCATTCTGTGGACTGAATTACGTTAAAACCAACTGACTGAGTGAACATTTAGGGGGTTATATTTCAATCCCACACCCCCACTTAGAAGTTTGACTAACTACAAGGGAGAGAGGTCGAAATAATTGAAATTTAATCACACACAAATTATTGCTGCGCACACATTGTGAGACAAATACTTTGCCCATTAGAAGCTTGCTGCAAACATTGTATCAAAACTGAACAGTGTGCACACATTGCACAATTTTTCAGCACTCTTGCACACATGTACACATTTACATTTGCTCTTGCACACACAAGATCTTGTCGAGAACTGCCATGCTCTGCAGACTGGCCACGCTCTGCAGACTGGGAAGAGGAGGGCTGCAAGTTTTAACTGCATTAATGAGTGCAAGTTTCTATAACTGCTCTTTATAGGAAATTAATAATTATTCCTCACCCTTAATTAATCGAAAGCATCGATCTGTCATTTTCAAATTTTCTCCAGTTTTAATGATAATTCCTCTGAATGCAATGGTCAATTTCGCGCAAAATTTTCAGTTTGAGATTAGGCTTATTTTGATAACGAGGTCATGGCTTTCCTAGGCAAAGGCAAAATGGCGCAAGCCATGAGGTTGTCGTTGTGTTGTAAGATGATCAATTTTCAGTTACAGCGTTTGTTTATTTGGAGATCTGAAGTTAAGGTCTTAATTGTCTGGCTGACATTTCTTATTGGATCATTCATTCATGATTTTTCCCCGTTGCCTCGGAGCTACTTATCCTACAAGAGAAACGTCTTCAACGTATACTTTGCCAAGAAAGGATGGGGCTGGACCTTGATGCTAGTTCTTGGATTCAATATCCTGATTCTCATTCGTCATGGAAAATATGATCCAAGACTCACCTTTAGAACTCTGTCTAGAGGATTCTATGCAACTTTGGCCTGGTTTTGCCTAACATCAACATTTGTCTTTTTTGAGGAGATGACAGGAATTTGTGAAGGAAACTCAACCAAGAAAACCAAGCAATCTTGTATTTACGGAGGATTAAACTGGAATGGATTTGACATCTCAGGGCATTGTTTCCTTCTCAGCTTTTGCATTCTGATAATAAATGAAGAATTGTTTCCCTTTGTGCAAAAGGCAGAACTGCAAAACCAAGCTAGCAATGTGGCAGATGGTCCTACAGATAGCATTAAAAGCACCTTACTTGATATTGTTTCTTTGTCTTTAACAATGCTTATGATTTTATGGGAGTTCTTAATGTTTTTCACATGCATTTACTATCATACTTTATTTCAAAAGTTTTTAGGTATTGCTTTTGGCATATCTGCCTGGTATGCAATATATTTTCTTCTTCCAAAAACCAAGTATCATCTTGCACCACTTAAACCACTCTACTTGGACAGATTATCTTAATGTTGTAATATTTTGCTTGTATAATCTACGACATTAAATTGTACTGTTTTTGACTAGTGTGCAGAGAATGGAAATTCTTGATAAAACTCATATGTGCATGGTAAATTCATGGAAGTGCGCAACATCTCAGGGCTTTCAATGGGGGGCGCGCAATAGCGCACGAGCGTGCAGGCAAGCGCCCAATGTTACCTTTGAGAGTGATTAGTCGCGCGCCCAGTGATAAATATTTCCCGTGAAGAGCGCGATTGCCGGATGCTGATAGGTCAAACCTCTTGAGAAACTCTTTTTAAAAACGTAAGTTTATTATCAAATCTTTGTTTCCACTGCTCTGTTTTTGTATGTCTTCAGATCATTCAGTTTCCGTTATTCTTGAGCCGTTCTCATTGCTCCGGCCCACACCGTTTTGGCCAAAACGAAAACAAAGGTTTTCCCATTACTCTATTTTGTCCGTTTTCGTATCCTTTGTTTAAGCTCATTTTGATTTTCTCATTAAAACAATTCGTTTCTAAATGACTCTGCTCTCCAATGACTTCTTTTTCGCTGTGTCCATTAAAATGATTCATTTTCAAACGTTTTTGGTTGATAACTTGGAACATCATTATAAATGTCTTTTTGAGCATATTAATGGGAACCAAAACAAACAATGATTCATTCAGCTCTGTATTCCTATAAAAGCGGAGTAATAGGAACATGGCCTGATTTCCAACGGACATTGGCTAAACATGGCCTTCTTTTTGTTTTATTTGCTAAAGCTATTTTTGTCTGTTTTTTCATTAACTTTGCTGAACATAATTGAAACTTTGTCACCTTTCTTAAGTCACTGAAACCTCTCTATATCGCAGAGTACCGTTCACGATAACTCGTGAGGGAAACACAAACATAACTATACAACGTGTAGCATTCAGTTCATTTCAAAAGTTTTGTCACGTTTAATGTTTCAATAGAAAATCTTTATTGTTCTGTGTTAACAAATAAATTTGATTCACGCACCCCACTCTTATCAGGCGAGTTTTTTACCGTGTGCGTTGATTTTTGAACGTGAAAGCCCTGCATCTAATTTTTTACAACTTGCAAATAGAAGTTGTTTCTTTAGTACTGCAGTTGGTAACTTGACATGCAATTTTAAATTTTGACTAGCAGCTCAAGACAGATATTAGGCATCTGTCTGACCTACTCTACACGCTGGTTTTAACAGTCATTTTTGGCATTCACTTTTCAAGTTTCTTAAAATTTAAAAACTAAATGGAACAGATCTTGAGTAAAACTTCTTCAGTGGCATCTTTAATGCTTAGATGACTTTTTGTGAGTAATATTGGCCAAATTATTAAATCTTTTTATACCAATAAAACACTGCATTGATAGGACTCGTTCTGCCATGTGGTTGTCAATTAGAATTACAGTCAAAAACAGTTATTCATAATCTACTCAAGTCAATCTACAAGGAACTGGTAGATCCTGGAGGTGGGTGGGAGTAATATGAAGGGGATTTTTCCCAGAGTGTAAGTTGAGGAATAAGCTTTTATAAAAAAGCTGTAGCATTGAATATTATGGTATGGTGCTTTGAATATATAAATTACCAATTGTTGGTATATCATGGAAAGATTGTATTTTTATTCATTTTTGGTGCTACAGGACACTATATAAGTAATAAAAATTATTCTTCCAATCACATTTTATAATTTTTAAAAGATTGATTTCACTTTCTGATTACTAGAAAATTTAAAAATAAGCTCCAATGTTTGTATACAAGCAAATACTTAATATCTGTGATGATGATCTGAGTGGAAAAACAAAAGAGTCATTCTTTTCGATTTGTCTTGCTATAAAAATAGTCTCTTCAATGCTACAGAAAAGGTTGTAGAGAAAAAAAGGGAAATCATAAATGTTCTTTCGATACTAATCTCTGAAGCTCTGATCTAGCCAATCATAACCCTTTTTCTACCTCTCATTCTAACCTCATCTAGTTTGGCTATAACTGCCTGTGATGACTTTTTGGTTGAGCTGGTCACATAGCTCTTTAAAAAAATTCTGAAAATGTCTTCTGTGTTTGGATGTGTACTAAGGAACGCTCTTTCAAGAACATAAAGGTCAACTCCTTTGTCCTCTGCCAAAGTCGATATAAAGCTGAGTCCGAAGTCAATTATGATTAGTGATTCAGTTGTTCCGTTTGTTTGGATTAGCATATTTGAAGTAGTAAGATCTCCGTGAACTACATCAGCTTCGTGCATTCTTGCAATGGTTTCACCCATTTTTCTCGCCAGATCTTCCAATGCCACATGCAATGAAGTCTTTGAATTTTCACTCAATAAACTGTTTATAAAATCACGAGCAGTCACTGCTCCGGTAATCTCTTCCATATAAATTGAATGTGTTTCGTTGTCGAGATGATAGACAACTGGCGTTCTAATACCAGATTTCCTGCATCGCAACATTGACCTAACTTCTTGCAGTGTTCGACGATGTGTCAACTTTTCATCAAGCGACGGGTGTCTGTATGTCTTGCGAAATCGCTGTTTAACTATTGCTTGTTTTCCCAGGTACTCAACTTTGAAAACCTTGGCTTCAGCGCCTTGTTTTATCAGTTCCATTTTATACAATTCCTAACCGAATATTTCGAACTACAAAATGTTCAGACGGAATAATGGTTTTGCCTCGTTTTAAGTTTAGAAACCACGCATGCCCAATAACTTCAACTTGAGCGAGAAATCCTTCTTGAGGTGGAAAATTGGCAAACTGTGGGTATTTGTTGTTAGGTATGCCTTCTTACCTTTACTTATTAAACATGTAATACTTTAAAGAAGCATTTTGCAAGCAATTAAGTGCTTGAAATTAAATGGTTTAGTAAAGTACCCGAGTCCAAGTTGTAAAAAGTTTGACTCTCAAAGAGCTGCCCAAGCCTTGGTTGGTATGGATGTGAAATTATAATTTACAAGCATCTCACTGATTATTACTTTTTCTTGTCCTAAAATTGAAAATGTGCTTAACAAGCTCTATAAAATTTTGAAAGGTAAATTTTACCAATCTGAATTCAAGTTTAATATCCTATTTTATTTCTTTGCTGTTGCCACACAAAGTTTGGCCTAGGCCATGAAAGAAGCAAAGAATCTGTGACATAATTAGGGACCTAGTATCAGGTGGTTACATCCACATGAATGGCTGTTGAACTGGTGTTAACAAAAGTTTCAATTTCAATGTCAAGTAAATAAATAGCTAGGTTAAATGTTTATAGGGAAAGTAAATTAATAAAGTCCAGTTCACTTTTTCACCATCTGTGAGCTTTAAGCATGGTCATAATTGTTTCTGTGTGGCTAGGCCAAATCAAATCACTGCAGCAGACGGTTTGTTATGGTGGTAGCTCTCTAACTCTGGTTCGAAACATGTTGGGATAAATGCTATTATTTCCTGGTTGTATAAGGTCGAAAAATTCCTCATCATGAACTATGTTTCGCTTAATACAACAGGGTCATTCCATGCCAAAGTGGGACAAAAAAATTAGATTTGTAATGCACCCTCTCAGATTTTTCTGATACTCCTGTCAAATGCTAAGTATCTTGAGAGGAAAATAACCTGAAAATTTCAAGTTGATATCTTAACTCATTCAGATATTATAGTTATTTTAATTTTTGCTGATTCAGCATAATATTATCCACATATCCGCCATTTTAAATGAGCGGGGAAAGTAAACTTTGAGAAATTTTGATAAAGCAGATGGAAATCACCAATAAAAATATCACTTTTGGATAAATTAGGGGCAAGGAATTCAAAAATTGCATTAAAAATTCACTAAATCCATTAGAAAACAAAGTAAATTATACTAGAATATAATTTCTTATACTCACAAATCGCTTTTACCATCCATCAAACTATGAAAAAATTCACCATGTTGGAAGAATGTGACAAATTTCAAATTGTGCATCCAAGAAGTACACAGGACAGACTTTAAATTTACAAAGAACCAGCAAAAGGTTTTTCTTGGTTTCTGAGATATGCACCTTGCAAATCTGTGAGAAATTCATGAAAATTTGGTATTTTTCTCAGTTGTTTAAAGCCATCTATATAGCAAATACACTGCATGTTGTTGGAATTGGTGTTTTACTAATAGGTGTGGCTCTTTCTCTGCAGTATCTCTCTTGATAGATGGTTCAAGAGTACTTCTTGAAGGGATGTTTTTAGGCAAAGAGTCCATTGAAATTTTGAAACTGTATATTCAAAACATTTTTTCCGCTGTACTTTATGCTACTAAAGGTTAGATAAATTGATATTCAAGCAAATTGTCATTTCTCGTTATTTAGTTATAAAATTGTTTATGTATGTAGCTATATACTCACAAGCAGTTCTACATCCTTTGAAGACATCTGTCAATCCTATCTCTATCTTTGCCATCAAGAATATACTGCCTACCGGTATGAGTTGAAAGTGTTGGTGGCTCGATTTTGAACAATATTTTTGTTTTCGGTACCCAGCATGTATCATCTCTTTTTGGCCACTTCAAAGAAGTGGATGGGAGGCTGGGATGCATGAATTTTACATTGACATCATGCATATCATTGTCTACCTCTATCAACATTCCTGCCCAGTAGAGTTCGTCGTAATTGCAAACCACAAACTGGCCAACTCTAGCCTCGACACCTTCCAGTTGCTCCTCTCCAAAACTGAATCGAAGAGCAAAATCCACTTCCTCAGAAACTCTTTTGGCGCCAATAATAGATGAGCTTATTGGTATAAATTGGTGGAAGCTTCTTGTGCCAGGAACTGTCTTTGCTTGACTGAGACGCTCTCTTATATTCTCTCGTGTGGATTGAATTTCCTCTATTGGAATATATTTAAATTCAATTCCACTTATTTTTTCTTGGCAATAGAGGAACATTGCCTCTGCTGATAAAATTTGGTAATTTGAAGGCCTTTGCAAGCTTGCCATGGCAACAAGCTTCTTCACTGTGCCACCGATTCCGTCACATGGTGACTTACCATGGCTGGTGGCAAATAAATTCCACTCACATTCAATGGAAAAGTCTTCTTGATGGTGGCACAGGTTAATGAAGTTCTTGCAGTTCTTGTACTGGCCTGCGCAACCGTCTGAAAAATAGCTGATCTTCTTTACCTGGCTTGAGAGCTGCTTTATATGAGCAACAGTTTCAAAAATAACTTTGTACACAAAATTTACATCATGGTCCAAATCGTTTGATATGAAACAGAGGGATTGGACAGAAAATTGAGCAGCATCTTCAAATTTGTGGTAAAGAACTATTGCTGTTGATTCCAATGGTACCCTTGAACCTCATCCTGTATTACAAACTTGTAATTCTTTGAAAAATCCCCCAAAACAATCACTTCTTCAGCACACAACGACTCTTTTTTGGCATTTAAATATGCTGCTTGTGAAGGTGCTATATATGAGTGAGCTGTTACTTTATCCAACTTTTCACAAAGAATTGAAATAAATTCACTTGCAGAAACAGTTTGGGAAGTCAGCATAGAGCGATCTTTTGTTGTCCATTGATTGAATTCAATACTTATTTCATCCAAGTCATTGTCTTCATCATCTGTAGACGTTTCAGATTCATCACAGTAGTTAACTGCGCCAATTTCATCTGACAACGGCATCTTTCCTGGGTCAACTCTTTGGAGTTCCCTTTTTAGATATGCTTCAAATGATTCTATGCCTGGACAGGAGGCACACCTATGAATCATGCATACCTTTGATTCTCGGTTACAAACAATCATGTCTGTAAGTTCATGATAACTTTTGTCTATACTGATAGCATCTAACATCAGTTTTAAATTTTGATGGATTGTGCAGACACACACTGATAAGTACCTTTGGGGCCAACTGAAATGCACCATTTGGGACGTAGGCTGGCAAACTTTGAAAACCCGATCTTTAAGTTAGGATTTTTAGTTTTAAATAATTCATATAGTTCTTTCAAACTGCACAATATCAAACGCTTTGCCACATATTGCTTCTTTCCGATGCTTAAGCAATCTTTCTTGCCAGGTAGCTGACGAGTATAATCATCATTGCAATAAAATTCTTTAACTGCCGCAACGATGTCGTCGTTCAACTTCTTTGCTTTACAGGCTGAAGGAAGTTCTATAATTCCCTTTTCATCTCTGAGGCGGATAGCTTTTTGGATAGTACTTTTGGAAACTTTGAATTCTGTTGCTGCTTTTCTGAGTCCCCAAGACTTTGGAGTCAGTGTCAAAATTTGAATCTTTTGTCTTCTAGTTGACACATTCAGCTTTTCTTTCATGAGAGAAACCAGGTAATCCAGGTCCCTTGATTTTTGCTCTGTTTCCTTTGCCGCTAATCGGTACACGCTTTTTTTATAAGGAACCACTTTATAAGGAACCTACATGTATAAGGCCGAAATATTTAAAGAACTTTTCGATTTGCAAAATTTTTATAACTGCAAGCATCAAGAACTAAAAAGCTGGTTCCATTCATTTGCAGCCAATAATCGCATAGATTGTTTGCTATTTGTGTGTCAAGTGCTTTGTCGAGTAGTTTCCGCATATGCTGTCTCGCCCCTCTCCATTAAGTGTTAAGGCTTATTGATGTGCAGTAAAAATTAAGGAACTTTTAAGGAACTTTTGGTAATAAAATCTGATGATTTGAAGTATACGAATAAGGAACTTTTGGAACTAGGCCTTGAGGTAGGTACCTTATAAAAAAAGCGTGCACTTTAAAACTTAAAACAAATCTGCACAATAACATGTCATGATGTTAGCTTTTGGCAGATAATAATTTTGAAATAAATTACATCCCTAGAAAATTTTACCTTGAAATATGCATTTTAGGAATTGCTGAATTTTTGCATGGGTTTTCGGATTTTTTCAAAATTTTGAACGTTTTTGTAGGTCTTCGCACTCCCTAAGCATGTATAAAAGTAAATTTGAACCATTGAAAATGGGTTGTATTGATGGGAAAGATATATTCAATTATAAACACCATATATTATAATAGTTAAATTCTATTTGTAAAACACCAATTCCAATAACATACAGTGTATTTGCTATATAGATGGCTTTAAACAACTGAGAAAAATACCAAATTTTCACGAATTTCTCACAAATTTGCAAAGTGCATATCTCAGAAACCAAGAAAAACCTTTTGCTAGTTCTTTGTAAATTTAAAGTCTGTCCTGTGTACTTTTTGGATGCACAATTTGAAATTTGTCACATTCTTCCAACATGGTGAATTTTTTCATAGTTTGGTGGATGGTAAAAGCGATTTGCGAGTATAAGAAATTATATTCTGGTATAATTTACTCTGTTTTCTAATAGATTTAGTGCATTTCTGTTGCAATTTTTGAATTCCTTGCCCCTAATTTATCCAAAAATGATATTTTAATTAATGATTTCCATATACTTTATGAAAATTTCTCAAAGTTTACTTTCTCTGCACATTCAAAATGGCGGATATGTGGATAATATTATGCTGAATCAGCAAAAATTAAAATAACTATAATATCTGAATGAGCAAAGATATCAACTTGAAATTTTCAGGTTATTTTCCTCTCAAAATGCTAAGTATCTGATAGGAGTATCAGGAAAATTTGAGAGGGTGCATTACATGACTGTCCCTCATTGGCATGGAATGACCCAACACTCGCTTTTGCTCCATTCCATTGCTAGCCAGATGTACTGTTATCGTGTTGGTTCGTTAGGCCAATTGTATTTTTGCCACTATTCTATGTTTCTGTGTGTGTGTGTTCCAAGCTTTTAACAGCATATTCTCATCTTATCTTGAAAAATTATCTGAATTGAAATCAGTGAAAAATTTTGCATTGGTTACAAATTAAAAGAGTGTAGTGATTTTGAGACCTTAGAAGCACTTTAAATGCTTCAGGAAAAACAATGAATTGCTTTTCCAAGGAGGAGTTTTAGGGAACATGGCTAAATTATCAACATGTCACCAATTATTTGTCACATTTGGTGTTAATTTTTTCAATTGTGCAGGCAAGTTATCAGTCAGATTTATTGAAAGCTCACATGAAATTTAAACATGAAAGGCCTACACACACAAATTTTAACTTGAAAGGCCTGCTTGCATGAATTTTATGAATGAAAGGCCAGCTATTGTGAAATGACCATGAAAAGCAAAAAGGCATAAAATGCATACTGATTATGCACTGCTCATATGGCAAGAACAAATGACCTGGTCTTTCAAAATTCTTGTAAGAGATGATTGGGTGAAAATTTGTTAGCATAACAGTTTGTTGTTTATAGATTCAAAAATGGCACCGTCTCCTACACTGCTTGCAAGAGTTATAAACTATGTAAAACCAGCATTACCCTTGATGAAGCCATACACAGAGCTCTATATTGCATTTGGAATAACTGGCTATGTGATCTGGAAAATTCCAGTAACTGGTGAGTAAAAAAAGCTCATAATTCACAAGTTCCTTGTCCAATTCACATGTTAGCATAGTCAATGAAAAAACTCTGGTTGGAAGTCCTTTGTTTTATCCTTTTGTGGATGCTGACAAACTTTAATGAACTAAAACTGAAAATCTTTTTCACTTTATGAACAAGTTTCTCACAGGTTATTGAAATCTAACAAGATATTTTATTTAAGTATAATTATAAAAAATCTTTTTAAAAGACCATGTATCATAAATATGTTGGCTGAAGGATACATGGAAGAAACTCAAATAAGCTATCTAGGCCATGTATCCTATTGAAGTGTTTTAGATTTACTAAGATTTAGGTTGAATACTTAACAGAAAGAAATGACTAATTATAAATAAGAATCACAACAACAAAATTTAACAAGATGAAATAATACTATTACAGAAGTAAGGTAATAACACGATAAAGTAATAAAGTAGTAAAGTAATACTCATCAGGGGTGGCTTACAACATTACTAGTACTATTAGTCTAATAACATTTTTTTTCCCAAAAATCATAGTGGCCCTTAATGTTTGTTTTCATAGACCCTGATTCGGAGCTAATGCTCATAGCTTTGTATGTCAGAAGTCTTTTATTGAAATTCTTTTGCCTTCAATCTCTCTCTTTGAAAATGTCAACAATAGCCCTTGCTGACATCTCTGTTTTAGGATGGCATATGTAATAAGGTGAATGTGTCATAGAATGGCATATGTAATAAGGTGAATGTGTCATAGAAAACAGGGGCTGGAGCCAGTGTATAATACTGGCGTGTTATTAGCTTCGGGGGTTTAATAATGCATTCTGAGATATCAGCTGCTTCCTTCATGAAAAAAAATCACAAGCAAAATAACTACCATGAATCAAATTGATCCTGTCCATTGGGTTGTTTCTTAAGTTTTTCTGGTTTTTTTCAACTGGTAAAATCTAACACATGAACAACTTTTGCACTAAAAAAAAGTTGATGTAAGGCCATACCCAAAGAGTTATTTAATTAAGATCATCACAGTGCTTACAAGCAATTACCATGTAATCCCAAAGAAAAATAGAAAATTCTTATTTTTGTTGGGTGTGTCTTGTGAAGGTAGAAAGTCTTTTCAAAAGGATTGCTTAGAGCACTATTATAACTTAACTCCAGGATGGTCTGTTCCTTCTATGGCTCTTCAATGGCCCCCTTAACAGAAAGCCTTTCCTAATAAAGCAGTGCCTAAAAATGTTGCTGGGGCCACATAATAAAGCACCTGAGGCATCAAAGGTCAGTTGCTCCCTAAGAATGCATTGTTGTAGCAGCCCCTTCCCCATTATGGTTTTCAAAACCACCACTAAACCTATGCCCCAAGTGTACATTATTTTCCTTTTTTGACAAGACAACAGGCTCAACATATAAGGGGTTTGAGGGTCCAATTGCTATCAAGAAAAATATTTCCTTTCTTGTCCTTCCACATCCAGGAAGCCAGTGTTAGCTCCAGGTGTATAATTAGTAATGAAAAGTATAATTAGTAACCTGATGATAAGCTGAAAATATTATGAACAATTTTTTAGAAGTACAAAAATTTGAAAATGGCTTTGAAAAAAACAAATTTTACAATCATACTAAAAGCTTTTTTGTCAGTGTATAAAACGTCAGAATAAGGTAAGATGGAAAATACATACCCAGTTATGGATCAAGATAGGCCAATATTGAAATGTTACCTAAAGTGTGAAAATTGTTCACTCATTTTGATCATGTGATGCTGTTGGTAAGAAACAATAAGTTAGAACAATAAGTGAGGGCTTTCAGACCAGAGTTATTTCTATTGACTATGTTATGAAATCCATCAGGCATGACTTCAATTTTTAAGTTTGTATCAAACACTGTTCTCGTGAACTTTTGTAAGTGCAACATATTATTCCAAATCATGTTCAAATAGTTATTTGGCATTTCAGTTCTCTACTTTTTTATTTCACAATTAATGTGATCTGGCTAGCCCGTTCTCCATATTATCAAAAGTTTGCTAAACACAAAGCTATTTGCTACCAGGATCCAACCAAAAATATTCTTGGTTAACCCTGCAAGCCTGCTCCATGTAATCAGCCCCTAGGTGTTGCAAGGAATGACAGATGGGAATGTTAGGTGATAACTCTCGAGTTTTTAAATATTAAACTCAAAAGTTCTCCAATCATATTGTAAATGCTCTTCTCTTCTTTGCAGAGGAAATGAAAAAGAATTCTAGTAAGTGCTCTAAAATACTTTATAAGTATTTTTTCGTTGTTATTCAAAGGAGAAGGACAGCTGGGAAAGGCTTGGATATTCTTAAGTTCTTTATTTATTGATAAGGTTGTAGAAAGCTTGAAATTGCAACCTGGAACCATTCAGGTGTTCACCGCAAAGTGTGTACTTCCCTGCCTATTGACATTGAGCACTTTATGACACAGCCTTGAATAACATTTCTCAATTTTATGCTTCACTTGTTCTCTTTGAAATGCCTAAATTGCTTCTTAAGAAGACCTGGGTCAATTGCTACAGGTTTTAGCAAAAATCCATTTGAACGTTTTGAGGTAGTTTGCAAACCAGTGATACATCTACTTATATAAAGAGCCTGTTTCCTTTCTAGAATTCCTTCACCCTGATCACTAGAAGTCAAAGTTTGGAATAATGGAGTGATGAGCAGTCAATAGCAAACATCCTGACAACCCTTAATGTTATTATAACTTTGTTCAAATTGTGATAAATGCTTGTTTATGTGTTTCTGGTGCATTAAAATACTATTTTACTTCGTTTTATTTCTGTCTTTCTTTTCTATTCACAGTCATAGAAATATATGTCACAAATAGAAATATAATTCAGTCTGAGCTTTTGCTTTTGTGCAACTAGTGGGCAATTTATTATAATGTCCTAATTGTTCTATGTAAGTAAATTTGATAAATGGCTTTGAAAAAAGCAAACATTTAGTAAACTAAAGCTTTTCGTCTGACACTCTTCAGAGTTTAAAACGTCAGAACATAGATCGAAAACTCTACGCTAAGAAATATATATACCCAGTTGTGGATCGAAATAGGCCAATCAGAAACATGAGCACATGATTGTAAAGGTTGACCAATCAGTGCCGCTTGCCTATTAGAATGTTACCAATGGAGTCCTAAGGTGACAACGAACTCCTTTTGTCTACACAGTAGCGGTTTTTTCGTGCTTATGTAGATAGATTCTAAAACTGCTAGGTTGAACGACGATCGGGCTTTACCAATAATCCGAAACATGTCGCCATTATAGTTTTTTGCACAATCTGGGTTTTCTAGCAAATGCTGCCCGATAGCAGAATCGCAGGTTTTAGTAGTAATTTTGGATTTGCAAGACCGAGGTGTCTGTTCTCTTTGGGGATGTGTTTTGTTTCTAATATTAGATGGAACGTGTTGTTTTATCCTATCCTCCAATCTTTGGGTGGTGCGTCCTACGTAGCCAGAATCACACTGGCACGTAAATTCATAAACAACAACTTTTTTTGTGGCAGGAACGCAGTCCTTTTGAATGGCAGTGGCAGGAACGCAGTCATATGTAAATTTGATAACATAATAAATGATATCTGATGGGTGGGTCTTGCTAGAGATCTGTATAGTAAAATAAAGTGCACATGTTAAAAGATTCATTGATATTAAGTAAAAGAGTATGGAGTGATTGTGTCTTACTAAATAATTAATTCCTAATTAACAGATCAACCCACTCACTCATTCTTATAAGAATAATGGATGAATATTGTTTCTAGTTGAAACCACATCCTCCCTTGCTTTGCTTTGACCTACAGAATGAGCCTTAATAACATTGATAAAAGGGGGAGGGGGTGCTTTCTGGTGTTGTTTGCTGACATAACTTCTGAATAGAGGATCCCTTCAGCATTTTCATATTGTAACTTGAGAACTGTAAATTGTAAAATGGCTATGTAGTTAATCTAGTTTAATCTGCTAAAATGCCGCCGCAATCATATATTGCAAAAATACATATTAACATTCACGATATATTTTCCTCATTAGGGTTAGGAAGGGAAAATCATTCTGACATACCGCAGACGCGGACCGAACCGAAAAGGAAGTAGCGACGTTTTACACAACTTTAAGTTTTACAGTTTATGCCAACCAGTAGAAAACCGTCTTTAATAGTCTCTCTACCTTCTCATATCGTCAGAGCTATCTTTCTGCAACTAGTTACTGGAGTTTTTAGACTTAAAGCGATGAATAGCCCTTTAATAGTTGACACAACAGGCTATTTATTCGATATTTTGAGTAAGTTTTAAAAATATAAAGATTCTTGATCTTTGAAACCCTTTTTTCTAATAGGGCCTAGCTTCTATTGAATCTAAACCTTGAAGAAACAATTAAAGAATCAGTTCACCTCACTCTACACTCATAAATTTAGGCGACATTTCTATCCACTACACTGTTTTTAATATAAAGAAATGCTTGGTTGCTCCAATGTTCCATTTCAAATTAGAGGCAGATCCTTGTGGATATCCAATGCTTCCCGATGCCAAAGCTAAGATTGTCATTGGAATTTTTGACAGTTGAAGAATGCTGGTGCATTTGATCTCTATATTGCATTTTCAAGGCAAAAAAGTGATTACATTGATTTCTGGTTGTTTTCCGAAAAAGTTCTTTATTGATCACATGCTGTATCATTGAAGATGTGCAAGCAGAAAGGGTCAAATGAAAGTATCTACAAAGATATAAACATTTTAATGCTAGCGTTCACTACCTGTGCAGTAGTAAATTTACATAAATTAATAAACAATATGCAACATAATTTCCGCAGATACATGATCGCGTTCATTCTTTTGACAGCAATTTAGCGCAACAAACATGCTTATGGATTTACATCAACTGCGAGAAAACATTACCGGGCATGAATTTCCTGCTGTAGAATATAAATTTCAGGGGGGCGGTTATCTTGAGCTAAATTTAGAGTAGATGCGTCAACTGGTTTTTGGATGGAAACGGGAGAAGATTGATAAGTCGAATGGTTGGCGCTTCTTACGTTTCATACCAGCCAAGTAAAGAAACGATGCTTTGACCAAGTCATTATTATGTGGCTTTTCCTTGTCTTTGTCAACTTTTTTTTGAGCAGCTGAGACACCCGTCTCACTCTGACCATGAGACGTCACTTGGTCATCCTTTTTCGAAGACACCTTCGAGGAGCTCGCCTCCACAGTGGGTAATGGTGAGGCTTCATGTGACGAGCCGTGACTTGCATTCGAGGCGCTTCTTTTAGCAAAGTTACGCTTTTTCACGATGAAGCCATCGCTTGGTCGAAACACAAAGCTCCGGCTTACCAAGTCGTGACTTACATCTGCAGGCGCCGATCCGTTTTCAGCATCATCAGCTTCCTTTGATTTTCCAGCCTGGACGTGTATTTCAGGACTGCCCACCAGATCTCCATCACTGAATGACACACTTTCACCATTTGCTTCACGGGAACAGTGGTGACCCCTTTGGGAATTTTTTTTTTCGATCGACGTATTCTAAAAAAGTGCAAATAAATGCAAACGAAAAAGAACTTAACAGCTGAAAATACCAGTAAAATGATCAAACGAGAGAAAAAATTGAAGTCAGTTAAAGAACGCGTTGCATTGAATTGCAATCCATGATGAAAAAATTTCACGGAGAGCTTAGGAGAATTTTCAAGATGAGGTACTGTAACAAAATCTGCTCAAAAATCACGCATGTGCTTAGCTAAGAAATGTTGCTACGATATTTTTGGTATAAATAACTTGGAAACAAGATTTGGCTTTTAAGCTGTTTAGAATCTGCCACAAGGAAAAAATACCAAATTTTTATCGTTTTATCATTCAAACCCATCACAATTGGCAGCGATAGGTCAAAACAAAGAGCCAATGAAAAGCACCATTTAACCTCTCACGTTATTGCCCCTGCTCTTCTCCGGCCGTATGACAGAAGTGATGGAAAACGACTGAATCATTAAATTGATTTACCGTTCTAGCGCCATTATCTGCAAAACGTAGCGTGGAAATGTTGGAACAGTTTGTTACATTGCAATTTCACAACAACTGATGGTCAACTGATGGTTGAAGATGTAAGCTGAAGTTCTACAAACCTGAGCTGGGGTAGAGGATCTTGCCCGCACGTCCCCTCGAGATTGATCCAGCACACTTCATAGAGCAAAAAAAGAAGGAAATTTTTTATGGCAATCATTTTTTCTGTAAATTAAGGGCCTGTTTGTATGGAGAAAATCATCCCATCTTCCAGCCTGTGAGCTGAGATCCCACTTTTCTATAGAATACTTTGTGCTTTTTGTTTTGCGTTTTTATGGAAAATAAGTCAGCCCGGTTAAGTGAGATACCACCGCATGAGAGGTGGTATCTCACTGAGGTTGGATGAAATTTTTCCATATATAAACGCTGGAAGGTGGGATGAAGCTGGAAGATGGGATGAGATTTTCATATAACGCGAGCAAAGTTCGTCCAAACAGGCTGGAAGGTGCGATGATTTTCTCCATTAACAGCTGGAAAGTGGGTAGAATCTGCATAATCGATGACTTCATCCCACCTGCCAGATAATGGGCTGAGAGATGGTCTAAATTTGCTCATATAAACAGGCCCTAAGAAACTGATGAGATAGATATGAGTGCTTTCAGAAAGATGAAGCATCTGACAAAGAAAGTGCTCATGATGAAGCTCTTGAGATAGTTCAAGGGTAGCAGCCAATCATGCGTTGTCAATTGACATACGACAGTTGTTTTGATGCACTTTACATCAACTTATAAAATCAAGAATGTATAGGCCGTTTAGTGCCACGGTTTCTATTCCTGACGCTTTCCTTTTATCGACAAGGGTGACATAGCATTGCTTACAGCCCACAATGGGCTATAATAATAAGGGCTATAATAAAAAGGGCTATAATAATAAGGGCTATAATAATAAGGGCTATAATAATAAGGGCTATAATAATAAGGGCTATAATAATAAGGGCTATAATAATAAGGGCTATAATAATAAGGGCTATAATAATAAGGGCTATAATAATAAGGGCTATAATAATAAGGGCTATAATAATAAGGGCTATAATAATAAGGGCTATAATAATAAGGGCTATAATAATAAGGGCTATAATAATAAGGGCTATAATAATAAGGGCTATAATAATAAGGGCTATAATAATAAGGAATAACAAGCAGTAGATGATATTAAACAGCTAATAACATGCTATAAAAGTATAATTAAAAAATGTGTACCTGTGTTGGGAGCTATTGTTGTAGGCAGCTAAAAAGCAAAACATGATTTGTGAAGTGAAAAGTGGTTTTGGTTTAAACATAAAGGAACACTTAAAAGGAACGAGCATATTCAATGGTAGAACAGGGGACCAAGACTGCTGCAAAGTTTACCAAAGCAGATGAAAGTGAAGGTATCTTGCCCTGCTCACAACATTTTTCAAGGAAATTTACAAAGGGGGCGAAATAGAGCCGGATGAAGAAAATAAAAACAACAAAGATATCAATGTTGACTCTAATGAAAGTATGACAGAGGACGATATACTGATTGTGAAGGATGACGAGTATGTTTTGTGATTGCTAAATGAATTTAGTTGACACGATACGATACTGTTTCACTTTGCTAGCTTTAACAATACGATCCCTTGATATGCTAAATGTTTGTAAGTTAGACATTCCATTTTCAAATAGTGAAAAACTTTGCTGCGATTTTCCTTTATTTCAAAACATTACGGACGATGAAAATCTTGGACCATGAAAAAATTCAGGCGGGAAAAGTTTTGGACGCTCAAACTGCAAGAAAATATGAACGTTCGAAATTTTTGGCGTTGAATGTAGCGGACAGAATAAAAGAAGGAAATTATACCTTTCTTTCCTGAACACCTTGAATAATCGGAAGAGGATATATAACGATAGGAAATTTAAGGCAAGCTGCCAATAAACAAGCCGATGGATAAGGAAAATGTCTGCCTAACACAAAATAAGTGATCAGCGTTTGAATATGAATTTGACAGAGAAAGTTATTTGCGCATTTTGCTGGACCCCTTTAGAGATCACAGGTGCAAGAGAATAATAGATTTCAGCGTATATTAGATGTTAACAGCTGCCATCAGAGCGCTCCTTGCTTTGCATTCGTCAAATTGATCTGGTGTAGCTTTCTTCTTGATTCTCGACCAAACTCCAATAACAATCTGAATGAAGATTTGCCGTGTGCAAAAATTATCGAACATCTCCTCTAACTCTTTCCTCGTCTGACGGAATCTATTTACTTCATCTCTCCGATTACTTACTTCATCTCTCCGATTACTTACTTCATCTCTCCGATTTCGGGCAGAAGAAGCCTACCCGGATAGGATAATCCCATTAATCTCGTGTCATGCATGTCAAAGAGTTTTTGGACTATATTTTCAAATCATAGAAAGCATAGAGTCAGGCACACTCTCCGGCAAATATGACAACAAGAAAAATAGGTCGCCTTTCCGAATAAGCTGTCTGCTCGATTTGGTTGTGGTTGGAAATTGGCACTAAGTTTATGTCTGGTAGTATTTAGCTAAAAATTCCGCAAACGGAGACCTGCTTGATACAAAAAGTGCTAGTTTACGTCTAGCATCACGAATCCAAAAGGCAGTCATGCAGTATCGAAATCAAAGCTCACGCCGACGTCAGTCTCTGAGTCGAGTTCTGCAATTGGTACCATCTTTGATTTTCGAACAGGCAACATGATTGATCTAAATACGCAGAGCGAAAAGTGAAAGAAACACACGTTCATTCATCAAGTGACCATAACATAACAGTTAACAAAAGAGTTCAGACAATAATGAGAAATACAGTCAAAGGAAAACGCCTTGTGCCTTGGACAATCATATCTGGTACACCAATACAATTTATAGCATTGTTTTAAAAATTAGTCTCAACTTTACTGAACCAATCCGATTCTGAAGTCAAACCTTCAGTACAAGGAAGCATAAAGTATTTTCTCAAATGATGCCGGAAATTGAATTGGTGTACACACTTTATATGTTGAGCCTAACGTTATATTTAAACTATTCTCGAGTGACACAAGGAGAAAATTCACCTGAAGATAAAAAAAGAAGTCAGAACTTTGTTGAAGTATTATTTCATTACAAAAACAAAACAGGAACAAAACAGAACAGAACAGATAAATACAAAACCTAATCTAAAAAACCATTAGAGCAGAAGACCTGATCTAAAAAACCATTAAAGAAAAAATTAATCTAAAAGGACAATTTCAACTCTGTCGTTCATCGATCCCGATGTTGTCCTCAATATTATCTGCATTTGACTTTCTCTTTGCCAAGAGATTTATCAAAACATTCAATTCTAATTATTGACCACCCACTCTCGTGACCTTGTCAAAGGTAGAGCCTTACACTACTTTGGGCTTTAACATTCTAATAGAGACTAAGCTCTTACACAAAGAGTGATTTTTCAATGCCAATATATATTACAGACAGGAAATGCAAGAAAAATGGAAAAGCTTTCCTAAATGAAATGGGTAGAGTGGCGTAAGACCAAATAACAAACCTGTTTGCACATTTTGTTGCACCACGTAAGGATCACAGGTGTAAATCTATGTTAGATATTAAGAGCGGTCACTTACTCGTCTGATCAGGACATCCGCTACTCCCAAAAGATACTGTCGAAATTCTATTTTGAAGTTCTATTTTCGCTTCAACTTCGCAAGGTCCAACGACCTGCAAAACATGAAGTAAAAAATAGAATACTGAAGTATGTTGCCTGACACTCTCCAAAGTATAAACGCCAGATAATAACTAAAGTTCAATTGTGCAGACAGAAGGAGTACGTTTTCTCCCTTTGATTCTTCGACTGGTTGAGTGATAGGCGGTTGTGATTGATACTTTTAGATATTATCGACCGTTAATACTCTGAGAAGTGTCGGACATGAGGTACTCTGGGTTGCTATGTTTACGCTCTCCGTGCTGTCTTCAAAATAGTGAGTAAATCTTTTTGGAATATTCGTTTCCAGCTCGCGGCCATTTTACAAAAAGCAGAAGCCATTATACAGCCATTATACATACATTATACAGAAGCCATGCATTCTAAAATTTTCTTCTAGCACGGCTCGCATTTTTTATCAGAAATTCAAATCAATTAACAAAAAGCTGCTATTTTCTAAAGCTGACGTGGTAGTCCCTAATTTTAGAACAATATATAGTAAAACAAGTGTTCGAAAAAATGATGAAAAAGAATTCTAGAAAGTCACCTTAGAACTGCTTTGTGATTGTGCAATACAATGACTACCATGGCCATCACCCTCTATTAGGTCTCTATTCTCGACATCCTCCAGCTCCAAAGACCTATCTAATTCAGTCTTAGCATCGGTATATTTATTCGAGTCCTTCTGTTCTAGGAGACCATTCGAAGTGTTATTCGATTCCATTTCATTTGCAATCTGGCGTTCAGATTCGCTTTCTTGCCCATAAAAAGTTAACTGAAGTTCTCTTCTTACACTTTCGACCATCTCTTTCATGAACACATTCAAGGAAAGAAATGATTCTTGAGAGTGGCTACCTTGGTCTACAGATTTAACCTGGGTGGAAAGGCCTGTAGTGCTTTCTTCTGCGATTCTTTCTTCTGCAATCCTTTCGTCTTCAATCCATTCTTCTGCAATCCTTTCGCCTTCAATCCTTTCTTCTGCAATCCTTTTGTCTTCAATCCATTCTTCTGCAATCCTTTCGTCTTCAATCCATTCTTCTGCAATCCTTTCGCCTTCAATCCTTTCTTCTGCAATCCTTTCGTCTTCAATCCTTTCTTCTGCAATCCTTTCACCTGCAGTCCTTTCGTCTTCAATCTTTTCATCTGTAATCCTTTCGCCTGCTTTCCTGTCGCAAAGGCATTCTGAAGCTTTATTCCTGGCCTTTCTCCTTCTTAACATCCTATGAAAAAAGCTTGGGCGCCGCCGAGTCGTTTTCTTTTTTTCGATTTTTGGGCGAATCTCACGCGCAAGACTTTCTCCTTCATAAACGTCAATGACAACAAATTCTTCAAGCGGCAAAGATGTTAGTGAGTTATCGGTATCAAGCGTGACTCCTGCAGTTTCTTCTTTTCTGCGCTTTGCCACAACATCAGAACTCTCATCTTCCGTCCGTTTTGCTTTAAAAGTCACACCTTCTCTGTCTTCATTTTCAACACTCTCGTTGTTACTGCATTCTACCTCGAAATGTACTTCTTTATTGCACTGTACCTCAGCATTCCTATCATTTCTGCTCTCTGCCTCAAAACTCGCGCTATTTCTGCACTCATTCTCTACACTCTCGTTTTTTCTGCATTCTACCTCAAAATGTACCTCTTTACTGCACTCTATCTCAGCATTCCTATCATTTCTGCTCTCTGCCTCAAAACTCGCGCTATTTCTGCACTCATTCTCTACACTCTCGTTTTTTCTGCATTCTACCTCAAAATGTACCTCTTTACTGCACTCTATCTCATCATTCCTATCATTTCTGCTCTCTGCCTCAAAACTCGCGCTATTTCTGCACTCATTCTCTACACTCTCGTTTTTTCTGCATTCTACCTCAAAATGTACCTCTTTACTGCACTCTATCTCATCATTCCTATCATTTCTGCTCTCTGCCTCAAAACTCGCGCTATTTCTGCACTCATTCTCTACACTCTCGTTTTTTCTGCATTCTACCTCAAAATGTACCTCTTTACTGCACTCTATCTCAGCATTCCTATCATTTCTGCTCTCTGCCTCAAAAATCGCGCTATTCCTGCACTCATTCTCTACACTCTCGTTGTTACTGCATTCTACCTCAAAATGTACCTCTTTACTGCACTCTATCTCAGCATTCCTATCGTTTCTGCTCTCTGCCTCAAAACTCGCGCTATTTCTGCACTCATTCTCTACACTCTCGTTGTTACTGCATTCTACCTCAGAATTTTCATCTTTACTGTTCTCTGCCTCAAAACATTTGTCTTTCCCACACTCAGTCACTGCACACTCTTTCTTTCTGCATTCTTCCCTTAATCTGGCCTCTTTTCTGCACTCAGTCTCTGTCTCATCTTTTCTATATTCTGTATGAAAACTCGATTCATTTCTACACTCCGTATCGACGCTCTCATCTTTTCTGTAGTCCGATTCAGCCGTAACACCTTCTTCTTCCCTGTGCACTGTCTCAAGTGCATTTGCTGCTTCGGAGTCAGCGGTTTGCACTTCACCTTTGTCGCTTAACTGCGACAATTGGTCATCAAAATTTTGTTGAAATTCTTTCCGATTAACTTGCGAATAACCACTGCTCTCTCTTAGTTCTAGTACACTCGGGACGTCTACAGAGTCTATTTTTGTAGAAGCATTGCCTATAGTGGATCTCTCATGCTCAAAAGTGTTTTCATTCGCAGAAACACTTTGTAGATTTTCCAAACGGTGACACGGAAGTTCCTCGGTTGTCAACGGACCTCCAGTATCCACATCCATATCTATGGCATCACGAGACATCATTTGGGAGCCTGGCCCGCCGATTTCAACATTAACTTCACACTCAATCAGAGGCAGTTCATTGTCACAATTCTTAAGCACTTTTTCATCTCCTTCAACTCCACAAGAAATGGATGCGACCACAACATCATTTTGTTCTGATTTGCGTATCGAATCATCATAATGTGACGTAGAATCCGGCTCTCTTTCAAGCACAGCCCGTTCGTCTTCTGTGATACCCGATTTATTGCTCTCTACGATGCAAGCCTGAACATCTTCACCAGCTGAATCTTCAGGAAATTTCTTATGATTTGACCCTTTCAACAGCTTATTGATAGATTGTGCACTAGAGTCAAAGCCTTGTGAAGCTTCAATGTGATCAAATTCCATCTTAAACTCTTAAGATAGTACTGCTATAGCTCTTTATTTGGTATGAGAAAAAGCTTCACTATCGCAGAAGTGTGGCTGCCAGACACTGAAAAAGAGCCAAAGATCCCATCAAATCACAACTCATAACAATGAAGGGAAAATTTTGCCTAATAGGGTCATCGTGTAAGATGCGGTAAACCGACAAGCGACAAAATTAGGGTTTTAATTGAAAGCAGTTACATCAATGGAGGTACTTACAATTCGGTGTCATGCCGAAATGGTTATATGCAAGTTATTTGTCAAGTATGTGCACAGTTGAAAAAGCAGCTAAAGAAAAAAATCGCATATTCGAAGTAGTATACTACGACCTTCTGAGTTATTTCAACAATTCTAAAGAATACGCCGGTACTGAAACATCCAGATCGTGCAGTCAAACAGTTTGGAGAGTAGAGAAAGCAGTCCAATGCGCATGCTCGTTGGTGACATGGGCGGGGGATGGTTAAGTCAAATGAAGATTGAGTAAGCCAATGAAATTTAACTCCGTTCACGAGTTTTTTTAACTGGTTAAAACGAGCGGACAATAGTCACTAAACAACCAAAACTTTCAAAGAAGTAATGTGCAGATTGGAGCTTTACAACGCAGTCATTTTGAATAGATTAATATCAACTCGAGTTTTTGACTTCTTGAAATTTCAGCACAAATCTTATATTGCTTTGTAGAGACGAATCAAAGACTTCATAGCAAAAAAGAGCTGAAGGTTACATAAAAAATATCTGCAAAGAAACATATGTTTGTCTTGTTACATGTCACGCTTTCAAAACTCAGGTCCACCAAAGATTGTTGTTTGTGTTACCCTACTTTCTAAGAACCAAAATCATTTTTCTAGCAAAAATGAAATATCACTGTGGCAAAGTGTTAATTCTGTAAGGTGTGACATGCTTAATTTGAAGGGACCAAATTACCACAATGAACAGATCACTATGCATTAACAAAACTCAGGGGGTTATATTTACTCCCTTCCTCATATTTCAAATCTTTGTCAAACATGATAACAATATTGAGCAGCAGTTACCACAAATAGCAAAAACAGCTACAATCTGAGAAAAGGTTTTCTAGATGTTATGAATAAAATGTACAAGATTTATAACCTAAAATATGTAAGAACAAAAAACAAACTATGAATCAACATATCTTAAAGCATACAAGACAATAAAGAATTTACTTGATTTTTGTTGTCAAGATATTCTTCCTTAAAGCTGTTGTCACATTGTTTATAGTAGAAAAATAAACATAAAATAAAAATGCAAATATTTACATTTCTAGTTTGGTTCTTTACCTTGTAATTGACTAAAAAATGTTGATTCAGGCAAAAAGCAGCTTTGTAAACAAATAATTAATTATATTTTCATTTAGTTGTATACAGGTGTAAAAACATCAGTCTGTGAACACTATTTCAAACAACCTCTACATACATGCCTGGAAAAATTAAAACCCTAAACTTAACAAAAGAAAACTTTGCAGAAAACTTTTGCAGATGTCTTGCAGCTACATACATTACACAAAAATAAGATTCTGTTAGAAATTTCAGAAACATCAATTTGAAAAAAGATTTCTGTAATTCTAACATTATAAATCATCTTATAATAAAAATAACAATAATAATAATAAATCTTCCATCTATTTGAAAATATTGGCCCGAGAAGCATGAGAGGTAGGGAAACAGTAACAAATTATCTAAATTTGACTGGTAAATAAATAGAAAACAGCAACATTGAATAAAAACAGCAAAGAGCTGTTCTAACAAAGCTTAAAGATGTCAACTTTGTCTCAAAGAAAAATTTCCATTGTCAATTTCAACAGGAATTCTGAAAAATCTGAATGAATGAAAGCTGACATAAAATTTAATTCCAGTTGAATAAATACCAGTTATTAAATATATAGTTACTTCAGAGTTAGCATCTGAAAGAAATTGAAATTCCTTAAACCACCAGGAACATAACACCAAATATTTGAAATTAATAATAAACAAACTTCTCAAGAAGACTTTAAGCCAAGTTTACATCAGGACACGTGTTAAAATCTAAAATCCAGAATAAAGATCTGTCTTATAGAGAATAACACCTTCAAAGTGTAATTTAACAGATACCTGATGAGTGCATCCACAGATAATTTTATCCCAGTTGACAGTAATGGGTAGTTGAGATGAAGGAGGCTCAGCTGGAACCCATTAAAAATTGTGCATCCAGGGAAGAAATGAAATGTTCAGATTTATCTTATTATTTGTAACACCCTTATTTTGCAATTATTTGTAACAGTGCTAGGTCAAAACCTTGACCTGCCTTTTCAATAAGTTGTCTCTAAACCTTTCAAGAGAGGCTGACTCAGCCTAGATTCCAGGTAGAAGCTGTTTGTAAATTCTTGCCATAAAAATTATCATTAATAGTATACACAGGCCTTAACTAGTGGTAACAAATAAGACTGTCCATCAAGATGGGAGCATGGTTAGAGCTGTTGACACCCAAGAGCTCTGTTAACTGGGACAAAAAGATTGTTGATGACTGCTGAGCAAGAAATTCAGAATTGCAACTTTGAATCATCTCTACCATTTGGTTTATTTTCAAAGAATCGATTTGATTACTTGTTTCCATTTAATTTTGGCATTCTACTCCAATTCAACTAATTTGTTGTTGTTTTTGTTTGTTAGTTTCACTTTATTTTGCTGACTGGTTTTCATTAGTTTTACTTTATTGTTGCCTTGTAATTCCTTGATGGTTGAAATGTCTTATGTTTCTATTCCTATATCTAGAAAGTCTTATGTCTCTAATCTCTTAAGCATGGTTGATAAAAACTAGATTAAAGAATTTTGTAATTAAGAAAAATGCATTCTGCTCTTATGTGTCATTCTTGGGTAAAAAATCACTTAACTTCATTCTCCAAAGTCTTTTTACGGAAAAAAATCTTTATCTGGTTTTGAGGCAAGTTACAATATAATTTCTAGAGATTTTTAAGATACATTGATCAAGCTATAGTCGACTTGGCTTAAAGTTACTCCACTAAATATCACACTACTGGCTACAGTCAGCTATTAAATTTGGCACTGTTTACAGTCACAGCTTTTCAAGCAACATTTTGTGAGACTATAACCTACCAGATTCTAATGTATTTTGCATGCCTCTGACCACAGTCATTACAATCAGCCCACTAGCAGTAGTGAAAATGATCCTTCCTTGAATAGCTAATAAATTTTATAATGAATGCACATAGAATGCAAAATGCAGTTTTTGAATTGTAACATATGCAGTGCCTAATCTAAGCATGTTTTCCCCACATATAGTCCAGACTGGCAACTTTGCTTCTTGTGCAGACAAGTCTACTTCGAAAATTTAAGACTGGGTGCCTGAAATCATACATTATTTGCTTTTTTAAAGTTAATAATGGTACATATCATTATCTAGGGATTTTGTCAATGTTCAAAAGCAAGCAGAGGTTTTCAGTATAGTCTGTTGGAATTTGAAAGTGGTCAGAGAAAAGCAAAATAAATGGGAAATAAGAAGAAATTATACTGTAGCTCTTTAAAGCCACAATAATCAAAGCCAAATAATTGACAGCTACGTATTGCTTATTTTCCCTAGAAAATACAATTCTCAAATAGGTTCCCCTCCCCTCTCTCTTCTCCCTTCTACTTCTTCGCAATTAATACTTGAAGCTGCCCATGTAAAACGTGATTTGTTGATTTCCCAGAAACAAATTAGGTTTAAAGCTTGACATTTGTTCAGTGTCTTGTTTCCTTGCTTAATTTAGCTATTTTTGGATCAAGTTAGTTTTATTTAAGAATATCTTACGAAGTCGTGGTGTCATTCTAAGCCAATCTAAAGGGCATGGCATGGCCACAAAAAATTTTCCTTGATCAAAATAGAATTTTATTGTTCTTGGAAATTACCCTTTGATTGGGCACTGTACTAGAATTTACCAAAATTTCAATTAGTATCATTTGTGAATATTTATCAGAGGAAGGAAGGTCAGTTTACCTTTAATTATTCGCTTTTTGAGATGTAATTCTTAACCATCGTATTGTAAAAGTTCACTTGGCGCCAAAGGTCTCCTTTCTATTCCCGAAACGAGGCAGCTTAAAAATAGCGCCCATTTCAGTCTTGCGGAGGAGCAGTTGAAAGATAGATCTGTTCATTTATTCATTCGAACGACCTTGATATTTATTATTTTTTATCGACAAGAGTTAAAAACTTCACAAAGTCTAAATGTTTAAGGCATTGCGTGTGAAAAATATTGGAAAGAGTGGCTCGCTGGCAGCTAAGCATGGTTGGTTTTGCGTTTCATCGCTCTCACGGGAGCAATATTGAGATCCTTGAAAACAGACGTGTTGCAAGACGGTTTCGCAGTTTTGCAAATGCTATCGCATTTTCTCATCGACCTTTGGCTCCGGGAGAAACTTTTTTATTCGAAATAGAGGAACAAGAGGTTGGATGGGCAGGACATGTTCGGTGTGGGGTGACCGCTCACGATCCAAAAAAGCTGGATTCCTTGCCTCAATATCTGCTGCCTGATTTTGCCCAAATGAATGAGGGAAAAGGCTGTTCATGGGTATTTGCTATCAAACCATCAGAAGATATGCCTTTTGGAGATGATGCTTGTGGTGTCCCTGCTGCTTGTAAGAGTACTGACCCTAAATTTATCAAGAATTCGAAACTTAATTACAGGCTATTACGAGCAGGCGATGATGTTAAGCCTACTGATATAGGCAGCAGGATTGGAATTCATGTCACTTCAAGTGGATCTCTTTACTTTTTTGTAAATGGAACTCAATTTGGACCATTTGCTTCGGAAATCCCCGTGGAATATGGGGAAGTTTTTGCTGTTGTTGACCTTTATGGAATCACAAAACAAATTAGAGTTATTCAGGTTGAAGGTGAGCAGCTTTTGTGGATAAATTGAAATTATGTAAAATATGTAAATATCAATTTTTTGAAACAAAGCAACATGTTATATGGTCATTTCAAATGTTTTGAACCTGAATGGTTTGGTGTAATTAAGTTAACACTATTAATAACATTCACATTCCTTGAAATATCACCACAATATGGCTGAAAAGATAAAAGGGTTTTCCTTCATGTACCGTTATCAAAGTGTGCAATTATGCTTGACTTATATAAAACTAAATAGTTTTATCTAAGAATCCAAACCTTATGATGTGTGGAACCTGGCAATGGCAATGTCCACAGAGTGATGCAAAATTTGCCAAGCTCAGGAATTTTTTCTGGTAGGTAATACACATGTAAGCAAGTCAATGGGTAGGGTGTAGCTAGCAACAAGAGAGGATGGACGCCCTGAGTACTTCATGAGTTGGTGGTTAATCTTCAGCAAAATGGTCCACAAAATCCTTAGTTTATCGGTAAAATCATCAATCAGTAGGTGAAATAGCACCGAAGTTTTCTTTTATCTGGTAAAATTGTTGACCCTCCATCCCCCTTATCTTGAATGTTAAGTGAAGCCAATGTTGATGAGTTGTCATATTGATTAGCTTTCTTGTGAACCATATGATTAAAAAAATACCAATGGAAATTATTTACACAAATGCACCCATGTTCATGCTAAGAAAAACATTGATAAAAAAATATGGACTTATAAATGGCCAGTTTTGGCAATTTCGGCATGCCAACCACAAGTGGTAACAAGTTGACAACAGAAGAGCGATCCAAGTGACAATTTTTCATACTGCAGAATGCTGACTGAAAATAAGATGGTGTAATTTCCTGATAGAATATTACTTCATTAATTTGATATAAAAATCACCTAATTGACACCCTGGTATTTGACGCCCCCTCCTTAAATTGTGTTTATAGAATTGATCAACAAATTTTAATAAAATAAATAGTCCTAATCCCATATGTACTTAATTTTCCTGTATTGAGAAAATAGCACATTTTTGGTCATTTCTTATAGAATTAATTAGCAGTGCAGACAAAATCATGTCAGTATTTTATGAAATTTTTGTAACTTCAATGAGACTTTCTTCATTATTCTTTCTGAAACCAAAATTTTTTTTAACCTTTTTTTGCAAAGATAAATAGATTAAAAGCCATAGTTACCAAGTCTTGTGAATCTGCCATGAGACTCATAGATTTCAAAGCCCTTTCACGTTCTTTCTTTTTAAATTGGATTGCTTGTTAGCAGTTAGGCACTTGTTTTTTAAACCTAAAATCCTTTAAGTTAGAAAAATCAGGGAAGCTTTATGTAAAATATTTCCATCTAGGGATACCTTTTTCCGATAACAGAGACCTAAATTCTCATTTAACATACTTCAAAAAGTTGGCAACTATGAAAAACTGAATAAACTCAATTGACAACATTTTGTAAATTATGTTTTTGCAGTTCATGTGTTTGTATTATTGCTTTTTTTTATTATTTTTGTCTGCTGTTGTTGTTTTTATTGTGATGGTCATTATAGTTAATAGTATAAACTATTTAAAACTGGTGGTGTAGTTGTGAGGTTTTAGGAAGAATGGCACAAAAGTTCAACACAACCAGCACTTTTTTCTCTTCAGAAATACAAAATCTATACCATACAAGTATTGAAGAATAAACATTACTTCTGTTTTACGGACTTGAAGTCATCAACATTAAGACCCTCAAAGTAATAATGCCCTACTAAAAAAAGGATATCTTTATATGACTTTCACAAATTTCATTCTTAATCAAACCTTTGATGAGACATATCTTGAAAATCACATCAATTTAGTTGTAGAATAAGCTTGATGTCTAGAATTATGCTAATTTTTAAGAAACAAATGCCACTATTCATTTGAGATATTAGTGTAATGCTCCACTGTTTAAAACTGAAATTGAGTTCTGTTGGAAAATATATTAAGGTGAAGCACAATAAGAGTGAAATGTAGTTTCATAGGAAATTGATATTGACTTTTGACTCCTGTACTATCCAGTGCCATAATTTCCATGTTTTGAAAACTGCTAGAGACGAATTTAACCTAGATTCTCATTATTAGTTCTGATGAATGTAACAAGTGTTGGCTTGTTTTTTAAAGATAAATTTGTGATTTTTTTGCAGTCCCCACATTAGAAGAATTTTCCAGTGCTGTTATCAAAGAGCATATGACAGAGGAAGAGATAAAAAAATTGGATATTCCTGGGAGAATTCTTGAGAAATTGCAGTCTTACTAACATGTGTCTGGGGGTGAACCTCACTCTCTAACCCAAAATATCTTTGGATGCTTCTTTCTAATGCTCCTTTTAAAATGTTAAAGCAAAAAGTTGTAATAATTGTTAGACAAATTATCACCACCAAACTCGTAAGTTTGAAATTTAGCAAATTTACCATATATTATTAATGCAGCAAACCAGTGAACCAGTTTTAGAAAAAAGAACTAGACATTATAATACAAAGTTGAGAAATTAATTTTTGAAACTGGAAGTAGGCATCAAACACTAGGAGTATGTCATCAACTTTTCAATTTTAATACCACTTGCCAGCTTGTGCCAAATAAATTCAATTGTTTGAATTGGCATTTGCATGGCAATAAATTTTCTGTACAAAGTAACTATATCAAACCATTGATATTCAAATATAGTTTGCTGAACAAACGAAGAACTTTAAAATGTCATCAAATTAAAGTTAAGACATTTACACAAGCCACATTCTTAACTGTTCAACACAAGAAGAACTTTGTATAGCAATAATTTTTGTTGTTAAATGACATTTAGTTCTAAGATGGCTTGACAATTATATCTCACATGAGAATATTCTAAGTTGAGCTTTTTTCAATGTAATCAACATTTTCGTCAATGATTCAAGCCCATTCCTTCAAAGTTCCAGAAAAAGAAATATTTTTTCGTCACTGATGTCACCAACCCTGTTTTTCACAGTTCCTGGACAGAAAAACTTTTTGCGCCAGACAAAAGTTCCACTTTCAAAGCAGTCAACAATTGCAGCTGCAATACCTCAATAACTTTTCTAGGTATTCCAATAAGAAATAGCTTTCTATCTTCAGCAACTTCTTGCAAGTTTTTTTTAAAACTCAAAAGTTGATGTTTCAAAAACCTACAAAATTTTTACAGTTGATGTTTTTGGGCTACTTCCAGTCTTCAAAGTATGAATAATACCTTTTTAGAATTTTGTGGAAATATGTGCTGTTTAGTTTTTAGTGATTAAAAGCCTTGCAAAGTTCATTGCGTAAAAAATTTGAATTTTTTATGACCTATACTTCAATACTTTTTGAAAACACAGGTTCTTTTGGAATTTAGTAAGCTGTGAAACAATTGACATTATTTATAAAACTTGTTGAACTTGTGTTTAGGTTACAATAGACATTAAAACTATTTTCTTACATATAATGATTAATGTCATTCTTTGTTCAATACATGATAATTTGTTCAGACTGTTGGCTTGTAGTAATGATCACGGTCGATGCTTTAAATGTTAAGATTACAAGATGACAAAAAGTGAACAGGGCATTATTTGAATTGAAATAGTTTCATTCCATATCCTTAAGACTAACGAGTTGTTATTTCTAAAGGTTAAATGTTAGGAAAAGAACATATTTTCGTAGAATGCAGCCTTAAAATACAGCTAAATTGGCATCCTATGCGACCTAGGAATGAATAAAAAATGAACGTAAGGCCTTAATTGAAAAGGTCATGGTGAGCTTTGGAAACACTTTTAGAATGAAGTTACAGTAGTTTCTTCTTAACATTATGCAGTTAGGTCAGAGAGACCTTGTGTATATTCGTATTTACATCCGTTTTCTCCTTACTGGCTGTTTCCACTATTAGATTTTCTGCTCAGATATGTTGACGCCATTCCCTAAATGGACTGTAGTGTAATTTTACTAATTTATGCTTTTCCTTTTGTCCGTTCGTATATAATCAAATAGAGTCTTTACATAATCTGCCAGTTATCGATCTCGATTGGAGTATATTTCTGTCCATTTCCTATCATTTCAGGACAACTCGCGGCAGTGAATTTTTCAGGAAGTTTCAGTCCTATTGTAATAGCACCACATTACGTATTTACGGCAAATTTGCAGGGTTTGAATTTTTATCCGTTAGACAATTTTGTGAATATTGAGGCTAAAAATTGCTAAAACTTACGATAACTTGTTTGCAAAAAAGTACGATGTATAGGCATGGCTCCTTAAGATCTAAGCAGAATATCTATTAAGGTAACATGGTTAATCTATAGAGAACTGTGTGAAAGAAAATGTATAAACGTCTTCAACTGCTCAGATAATCTTTTACAATCCTCATAATTATTATTGATTCACAAGAAAAGTCATTCACAAGAAAAGCCATTCACAAGAAAAGCCATTCACAAGAAAAGCCATTCACAAGAAAAGTCATTCACAAAAAAACATCCGTGCGGAGCCAGATTCGGAAGATTGTCTGAGACAAGGCCCTTCAGAGCATCACAAGACCTTTGTCAAGTAGTTATCCCATATGGTAAGAAACCTTTTGCTTACAATTGGTACGCAAATTTTACCCAAAGGACGGACATTAATTGGCGCTTATTCCTGTTTTTACCGAGTGTATATGATGAGTGAAGGAATCTCGCACATCCCTTCGATGTACTTACTGTTTGATGGACGAAGCCCCCCCAATAAATGTCAAACTGTGTTGTATTTCCATAATACAATGGGCAGCCCTCTTCCCCCTAATATGGATTCCATTCCGACGGCACTGCTTGGAGATATTCACTGGACATAATTGCTGGAGATGATGAAATGGGTTTAATTTCTATATGATACCAGTTCCTCTTTGTCGGCCTGTTAAATACTGATTGCAAAGAGCGATAAAGCTTGACAGCTCTATTATTTGCCTAAAATCGATATTTCATTTTCCACTGCTTATTTTCAGCTGTTTACTATGTTGATCGTTACATTCGAACTGACAGGCAGAATGTAAAGAAAACCAAGGCAGGCGCCATTTGTGCTGCTTTATTTGGACTCGTACCAGTCTCTCATTGAAACGGGCAGCTGAACTGCACACTTGAAGCCGTACTTAACAGGAATGGTTAATAATGCATGGGCGCAATTCTGCGCTTGTAGATAGAATAATGTGAAAAGACTTATAATGAATAGTTTTACCAAGGTAGCCACTGACTTGGATATACCACCTGTTCGTAGCGGTTGCTACCTGCTTATTTCTCATGCAAATAATGTTGGTGCGATCTGATAACGAAAATATTTAAAAGACACAATTCCAAAGTCGCTCAAAATTAGCTGGCTGAAAACAAACTCAGGGAAAATCACATGAACTTATGTAGACCTTGTTGACCCGCAGAATGTTTTTGAATGAAAGAGCTTTTGGACATATAGAAGGTTTATAGTTCACGCGTTAATGACGAAGTTGATGAAGTTGAGAATATCAGCCCAAAGTGAAGAGGCAAACAGCAATTAAATCGTGCCTATCGCAGCGATACAGAAAGTCAGGAGTTGGCAGCAAATTTTATTGTTTTTTGAAATGCGTTCGGCATTATTTGAGGTAAGTGAAATGAATGTAGGTGCAAATATACTGCCAGTCTAAATTTTAATCTTCTTTGTAGATGATCCGAATAGCACACAGTTGATGTTTTTCTCAAGTCGCTACAAATCCTTGCTCTAAAGATCAGGATGCCATAAATAACGAAATAGGAATGATTTTTGTGTCAAGTTAAGTTTCTGCTTGTTTCTCCCAAAGATTGCACCATCAAAATTGTTTGTTTTGATGGTATTCCCATATTTTAAAATTGAAATAATGTGTTAAGATACAAAGCGTTGATATATGCAAAAGTACTACACACATTTCTTCCTTAGAAAAAGGCTAGTCGGTTTGATTTTGTCACAACATAGCATCTTAGAACGCAAACTAGCTTAAATGGGACAAATTGAATATATTTGGGAATATTTTATGATATATACCTCCACAGTGAAACAGGTCCTTTTAATGGAATCTTCTAGAAAGCTGCTGCAATTTTCTGCAAATTGAACTTGCAATAGTTCTGCTTCCCTGTGGTTTACTTTAAGCAGATGTTGTCAAACGTTCTGAAGACAATTTCATCTGTTGATGCTTTCGTCTTTCTTCAGGAATTTTGATTAATTGTTCTAAATTCAAGGGTTCTTAATTCATTTAGACAAAAAAATTTTAATGGTTTTCACTCGGCCTTTACATTCAGAGATATCCTCAGTATACCTTTAACTATGCTACCTCATTAGAATTTAACGGCTTTCGTGAATTAAATTACACGATTCTCCGTCAACAGAAGCTGCAAGTGAATGAAAGTAAAGCTTAATCTCGTTTGAGCATCTAAACGTCTGACCTCCGTTGGCTAAGTACTTTATAAGCTTCTTTTTGCGACTGAATACTCATCCGATACTCGCTCTTAAAAGATACAGGCTTTGATGAAAAGTAAATTCATCTCTGGAGTTCTTACGATGCAAAGAATAACCTTTCTTTATGAAACAGGAAAATAGACTCCAGATGTTATTGGAGATGTTCTGCTATTAGTGTTTTTCTTATTTTTTCAATGCAATGATTGAAAAAAGCTCAGTGAAAGCGTTGACTGAACATAACTGAATTAAGTACACCAGTAATTAAAACTTTAGCTGTACAAAGCATTAGACACAACTCCTATTCGCATTCCCAAAGAGCTCTTCGAATGACATATCAATCTTGAAATGATGAATACCTATAATGTGTTTGGTTGCTTGAGTGCTTTCGAAGATAATCAAGCCATTGCAGCTTAGAATCGATAGATCCATGTCAATATTTACAATAGTTTGCTAATAGTTTATAGATGCACAATGCTATCTGTTCCACATTTCTACCGATTAAACAAACATGGCGACACATTTTGACTTTAGTGATGCTGCTGCACGAGTTGCGAGTTGTGAGGTTTTCGCTAAGTCAGTTCCATCATTGTTTTTATTTGTTGATGGCTTATTCTCGAATTAGCCACAAATGTTCCATCCAGAGAATATTTTATGGAAGATAGAAAAAAGGTCATCGATTTTTGCTGCAAATGTGCATATGATGCAACATTCTGAATGCCGAAAGACCTTGGAATAAATGCTTGTTCATTTTCCCAATAAAAACGTTGCATATATTCTTTGAAACATTTTCTTATGCTTAATGAATTCTTGTAACATTTTATGCTTGGCACATGAATCTTTCTTAAATGAGGATTCATAATGATGGCCTCATTCATGAGGCTGGACAAATATTTGGTGATGAACTTTGGGGTTTAAAATCCAAAGCAGATAAAGGCTAGAGTTTGGAAGGCAGTCTATTTAATATGGTATTTTCGCAAAAATCCTTTGATTTGCTATTTGATTGGATTAGATTTAAACTTCTCTGTCTCTAGTCTTGTTATCTTATTTATTGCCAAAGCCACTTGATTTATAGTATTATGTCATTTAAACTATCTCAAGAAAAATTGCCATTTAATCAGAAACTGTCTGACTGGAAATGGGCTGACCCACAGAAACTTATAATTTTGATCGTAAGAAAGTTGAAAGGCCTTATAAACATACTGACCAGGGTCGGTGTAATCGCCTCTTTATCCCCGTTTTTCCTCTTTTTGATGTAACAATGGCTCATCTACTCTGCTGATTTCGTTAGGAGAAGGCTGTGAGAAATTGTCATCTAGTTTAATTCGTTTAATAGTAGATCTTCGGAAATCATTTGCAAAGCAGGTCAGAGCAGACCAGAAAACCACTACCGCGCAATGATTTTGCACCATGACTTTGGTAATAAACTGACGATGGAAAGAGTAATTAAATTTAAATCATATTTTAGAAATGGCTCAATTTTTCTATGTCCGGGGTGTGTAATTTACAGTCTTTTTTAGTCTTTTTAGTCTTTCTACCACAACTTTGGTCAACGCAGTCAACGATCTCTAAGCAAGACTCTATTTTTGCTGGCCCTTTTTCCAGTGCTTTGGTAGTTTGAAAAATAACCATCTGTCATTCTTAAGAATCACATGCCTTTCTTTATAATTAGAGCAATGTCCTAGAAAAGTTATTAACATTTTCACTGTCAATCTTAGCCATGACGAAGTTCAAAGATAAAGAAAACGAAGCAAAAATCGAATTTAAATGTTAATAGAGATGGGTCTGTAGTCCGCGCTTCTCTTTAACAATGCCTCCTTCCACTATGTGATGGAACCGATGGAACATCGTATCGTATTTCTTTCTTTTATCTCCTGTTCTGTTGCTTGCTGTTTATAATACTGAGATATTGATACAGGAAATGCATAATTCATCACGGCATACTGCATATTGATGCAATTGTATGAATGTGAAAGGAAGACCATTTGGTTCTTAGTTTTTGATTGAATCCATCTCCAACTCTTACTATAATTCTTCTCTGTTATAATAGTATCTTCGAATATCTTTACATTTCTTCCGATCAGTGCTGCCTACATTTTAGCTATTTTAGACAAAAAATAAAGATATCAAGACCTTGATTCCTTTTTGGTTTATCATGACTCTACCTAACATATTTTGTACTAAACGACATATTACTGCTTGATATCATCGTAAGGTCACAGATTAAGCAAATACAATTACACAACTTTTAACAAAATATCTAATTTTTTGCTGAGCCTCCATATTCTTAATTTTTTAATTTGAGCCTTCTTTTAAATTGTTCTTACGCAACACAACACAGGGGCGGATACAGAATAAAAGATTGTGGTAAACATGATTGCCTTATTTCAATGTCTGAAGACTAAAACTAAATTCTGAAAACCTGACGGTCTTCCGTGCGACCTGTGCGACACCCTGAATCCGCCCCTGACACAAAATGTAACTGAGTCGCATTATATGGCTCCAAGGCCGGATACGTCTATTTCAATCAAGTAGCGTGAAACTCGCATTTGTCTTGAACAAGCAAAATATTTGATTCTGACAAGGCTTGAGCTTTGCATTATTCTTAAATTTCAGAAATTTTCAGCCTTAACATTCCTATATTCTTACATAAAGTGTGTTTTCAAAGCCTTTTCTAAATTTTGTGCCACAAAAAAAATTGTTTGCAAAAACGATTAATTAATATTGTCCGATATTGTAATTGCAAGAAACTATAACTATTCTTGATAAGACATATCAACAGAAAACTCTTTTTCAAAATGAAGGTAACTTAATTGTTATGCATGCTAAAAGTACATATCCATAAAGTCTTCAGCAGGCCTGCTTGTGATCTTCACATTCGACGAAATGTTACTTGAATAGGAACCCATTTGTTCAACAGTAATTTATATGGCAAACAATTCTAATGCAACAACACTGGCAAACAACAATATACTTTATTTGATAATTAAGAAATTTCAAGCAAACCTGTAGAAACCAAGTCAGTTTTACATTGAAAAGACGTAGCATCTGCTCCTATGATTGCAAGAGCGAAACTTTTCCTGCTCTTTAAAAATAAATGTAAATTAGGGAAATGAAAAGACCCGGCAATGGGCCCAAGCGTCACTGAATGTTTAGCTTGTAAGTTGTTTATAAATGTCAGAATCGTGTATTTATTCCTGGGCTTTAAGCGGGCCATTAGTGGTTACTGTATACTGTGGATGGTACACGAAACACCAGTCACATCAATAGGCAATAAATCATTTATTCTGTAATTGCCATTCGATAGAATTGTGGTAAGGCCGAAACATCCAATCAGGAGCCCCACTGGTCAGTCTTAAGCTGTTATAGATGTAGGACTTTGTCGACCTCGCAGTCAAAGGTTTTTTCAATCTACTTTTCTTTGTGATGTTGTTAAGCATTGAAATCAATCTATTGAAAGCTTTAATAATTTAAAAAAGTCATTATGGAACATTATAGAAAACATAAACAAAGTTTACAAGCTATCTCAAACACAATCTAGATCCACCTGCTATGCCAACGTTTGAAAGAAAATAACAGTCATTGGTGAGTAGGATACAGTTGAAACATCGGCAGCTCGCAAAGAGACGGCAAAGAGACGGCAAAGAGACGGCAAAGAGAACACACACGTATTAGCACATGAATAAACCTAAACATCGTTAGCGGAGAAGACTTGGCAATCGAATGCGCAATGCTAGCGAGTTGACATTACATCGAATTGCCTTGTTAGAACTAAGTATTTTTGAATTGATTTCTGGCTGCGTTGATATCGACAGAAGAGAAATCTAACAAAGGCTTTGAGTTGAAAGGAGGCTCTTCAAGGAATCACTTTGAAGACGTGTATGTATCAAGTATGCTTGATATTATTCAGATTTTATAGATTTTTTGGAAGTAAATGACAAACACAATGAAATCCCTTTTTCACAAGCACCTTCTGCAACCCGTCAGTCGCAACTCAGAAAAATGGCCTCGGTACAAAAGCTAGATAGCACTATGCAGCACAGGAAAGCAGCTGGTCTTGAATTCAAAACTGTTTACAGAACTTTCCGACCAGGAATTTGGCAACAATTTCTCTTATAAAAAGAGTTCTTTTATATCAAAATTTCTTCTACGTTCTTACTTCAATAGTAATTGCAAATGATATCGTTGAGAGGCTGTGGCTGTGTATGCTTGAATTATGAAGAATAAATATCAAGAACTTCTTGTTTCTTGCTAATTTAATTCAGAACTGAAGAGGCTTCTTAACCTAAAGATGTAATTCAAAAAGTCAGCTGTCATTCCAGATCGACTGTCAACATTCGATTGTTGTCGCTTTCACCTGATGAACTAGAAAGCGTATGTTGAAGATATTTATAAATACGTCGAGCGAATCCCCTTGATTGACATAAATACTCATCCATGGAAAGAGAGAGTGAAGACTAAATCTTTCATGGACAGTATGACGTTTTTATATACAATTTGATCATTACCGTAAATGATTATAGCAAGATTTTAAAACATCGAAGAACTTTGCATTAGGGAATGCAACATTTGTTCTGTTACAACTTTTAAATAAAATCATGAATCCGATGAGGATAAAACGTATGCTTAGATATGCTAAAATATTCATAACACGATGTATGAATAATAAAGCTGTGTGAAAGTACCAACTGACTCTTGCATAATTTACAGATTCCGTAGTAAAAATGACAGCCTTCCTGGGGACCAATGCAGAGTAACAACCCCTTTTTTATCATGAATGAATGAGACATTTTTCTTCTTATCAACAGCTAAGAAGGCAATAATGATACATTGCTAGCGTGGTCAAAATATCCAATTTGATCCAAAATATTAAAAAGAGCTGATTCGGTTAAATAGATATATCATGAATATTTCAAATTTGATATCTTGAAAACATTCAAATTATGCTGCATAGCGATGCTATAAGAGTCATCCAAATCTAGAACATTTCTTCTGTACTGTCACAAAATGCAACCGTCGACGGACAAATATGATGGGAGTTTGGGGTCAATTATTGCTTTTCTTCAAATCAGCATCAATTGTTTAAGAAATCGCTTATATTTAAAACAACAAGAAAGAACAAGTTTTTTGGGGCCAAAAGAGATAACTAACCTTCTGCCTTTGCTACCAGTATGGCGAAATGGCGCGAAAAGACTGAAGCGTGACGCATACGCCTAGTCCCGACACTCCTAAGGATATAAAAGACCTGGTAATGCTCAAAATTGTATTATTTCTGTAAATGCAAAGGAGAAACAAGACTTTTGGCTACTTGAAAAAAATTAAGATTTATTATAGACAATGAACATAGCTGCAGCTCTATTGTACTTTAACATTATGTGAACCCCCGGTTGTTTTTGACTACCGGATTTGACTCACTGGAACCTTGTCACCTCAAAAAGGCTAGGATATAGTCGATTGATAGTTATCAAATGACAAGTTTCTAGAATTTTGCGACAAAATTTTCTTTATCATACTTCATTCAACAGAAACTATTCTTTTTGCCTAAGTGCAGTGTTTTGGTTTAAGAGATCCTAAAGATATAGAAGAAGGATATAGAAGAAGGATATAGAAGAAGGACACAGAAGAAGGATATAGAAGAAGGATATAGAAGAAGGACACAGAAGAAGGATTATAAAGATGAATTGAGAACATGCTGCAACATGAATTCAACATCAAAGTAGAAAAAGCGAAAACAATGTCAAAGTGAACCTGTTGTGGCTGACAGTTGGTTCCAAACAATGTTATTGTGCTCACGTAGCCGACTTTAATTTACGCGCTCTAGGTTCACCTAATAGAACCACAAGTTGGCCGTTTTCAAGCGCAATTCTGTGCTTCCAGCGGATAATTAGGTATTTTATTAAAAGACAGCGAATCTGAAACTAAAGCCCAGCTTAATTAAAACTGAAGATGGACGATTTTGAAAGGAATGAAAAAAGATTGAAGCAATAAGCATAGTTGAGGATTTGAAAGAAATTCAAAACAACAGTTCTTTTCTTAGTTGGACCAAAGAGTAATAAAGTTTCCAATTTGAAAAACAATGAAATAAGATTGTGTAACATCTTTCTATAGAAATTCGAATCCCTAAATTACATGATACAGTAGCACAAAAATCTACAGGCTGTATTGCCATCGTTACTGTAATAGGCAGAGACAAAAGACCCTGCCGCGTTCAGTATGATCAAGACTAGGGATAATTAGTTTCATTTGAGCTTTTTTAGAATCACAGCCAATATGGTAGACCATAATTGATATGTATACTTCACGGGAGTCTTTAAAATAAGCATATACACAAGTATACACATGGACTCGGTTTTGTAAATATATCTCGGTTTTGAAATACAGCTTCACTTCTTTTTAAGAAATGCGATTTGAAGAGGGTTGACAACAGAACAACCGAACTTTTAAGTATTCAACCTGGCTACATTTCTTTGCCTCGTTTGCTAAAGTTGATAATCTCTTACCTCACTGACCTTAATGCTTTTAACGCCAGGGTTAAATTTTTCTGAGTTTATATATATAATTATATACTTCACTCCTTTGAAGTATAAATTTGAAGAAGTATACGGATTTGCTCGAAATATCCAATGCATGATATTTAAAGAAGTATACATTTCATGTCTCAAGACAATGTGATATCATGGGCAGTACATTAAGCAATTTCACAGGTAGTCAAAAGCCATTTATTTTGAACATCATTCAATGGTCTGATCATTAAAAGAATTATAGCAATATTCTTCAAAGAGCATATCTGTCCACGTGAAGCATTCAACGTGCAACATTCAACGTGCAACATTCAACGTGAAACAGTCAACGTGCAACATTCAACGTGAAACAGTCAACGTGCAACAGTCAACGTGAACCTATTTGGAGACTATCATTTATCAGCTTAAATGGTACAAGGCAAATAGTATTTTCAAGCAAAAATTCTTTCTTGTACCTGATTTCACTTTCCAGATCTTTCATGATCTCAGAATCATTGTGGCCTTGTTCAGTACTTGTCTAGGAAAGATTTTCATAACTTGTCGAGTTACCGAGTGGAAAAGATAGCGAAAATTTGGCAAGTGAAAACTTGTAACTAACGTATAGGAACATGAACTCCGGCATACAGTACCACTCTAAATCGCAAGATCCCAAGAATCGGAAGACAGCCTACATTTTCACGGGCTTTTCTGAAGGCCCCCACTTCTTAATTTCCATGGACAACTCTTATTCCACTGATTGCCTCATCCAAAAGTAACAAAGATATAAAGTTGATGCATCGCACGTTAAAATAACGTTATTCATTACGTAATGTTTAGGTTGAGCTTCTAACCATTTGTTGAATGTAACACAATGGCTTTTTCCTCCTAGATTTTGAAATAACGCAAACTATCAGATAGTATTATAGAGAAGACAGGAACATGAGTCAACACAGAGGGTACGTTTTTGATATTTAATAATTCTCCTGCAATAATGATTCTGGGTCATACAATCAAAAGTATTTTCAGCATTATTAAGTCGGTCATATGAGACACTAGGCCCAGCTGATTGTCTAAAAATACTGTATCTATGATATCAGAAATATATCAAAGCATTCTTTTCAATAAGATAAAAGGCACTAGAGAAAGGTATGCAATAGTAAGTGCACAAGTTCACAGATTATCACAAAATAAAAAGACTGGGTATACGAACTATAAAGGATGCTTTAGAAAACAATACAAAATGGTTTTATAGAAGAGATGGTATATATTGGCATGACTTAATTTGCATTATGAGTTAAGACACAGTATGCAATGACGATTTCATATGAATGCGATTTGGTGTGAAGGACATGGAAGCCTTGGGTGGCTTATCCACTTTTCACGCTGAATTTAATCATCAGAAACGCTTAATGCATTTACTGGCTCCCTCTTCATTGATACATGATGTTGAACAAATTCTTCTCTGCCCTTACTTACAATGTGAAGATATTCTGAGCTTGATAACGTAGCAAATATATAAACAGCTTCACGACTGACAATAATTCAAACACATTTTTATTATGGCTTATTCTAAAGGTTTTTATAGTAGCTTTGTTGTCTCTTCTCATCTATAGTAGCTTTAGATTAGTGGCAAAGCAAGACGTTCTGAATTGTATCAGATAAGTTTGAAGTTTAATATATAAACACAACAATGCTAAGTTTGCAAACGGCGATAAAGAGTTACAGCTGACGCCACATCCTTGTTTTGCAGGACTGATTTTGAACTGACGGAGCCATACCAACAAAACGATGTTGAGTTTGAGTACCAATCTGTTCCTTTTGATCTCCAAAGCACAGATATCCCTCCAAACTCGACTAGCACCTCAGCTGGTACGAACACAACCGACTGCAATTTTTCATCTGACGGTGAAGGGTCGGCGAACGGTCAACATGACGCCATGTACGATCAATCACCAATTAACGAGTGCCACAGTGCGACCAGTTATGCAAGACCGCGATGGACTGGAAGGGCGGATTTTCTATTGACTTTAATAGGCTATACAATTGGACTAGGAAATGTCTGGAAGTTTCCTTCATTGTGTCAGCAGAATGGTGGAGGTAAAGTATCGAAAGTCTTTTTTCGAATTATGTAGCAAGAATTTTTTACACTAAGCGATATTTTGCTTTTGGATGAATTACGAAGTTTGAAAGTTTTATTCTCGTAAATGATTACATTTTGAATCAAGAATAAAATAAGGGGAGGTTCACAGAACTTATTTGCTTGTAAGGAACAACATGTCATCGAAGCTGGCAGTATTGGATCAACTAATGACAAACTATATATCAGCATCAACATATTTCTTTGGCAAGTTGTCCGCCATCATTACTTAGATTGGCTGAATAAATTTCAGCAAGATTTAAGCAATGATGACAGTTTCATTTCGTTTTCAGCCTCGTTTTTGATCCCCTACTTCATAATGCTCATAGCAGAAGGGATTCCATTGTACTACATGGAATTGTGCATTGGACAGCGCCTGCGCAAAGGCTCTACTGGAGTGTGGCATGCGATTTCTCCTTACCTCGATGGTGTTGGGGTTGCCTCGGCAATTGTTTGTTTTCTAGTCTGCTTGTATTACAACGTGATTCTTGCTTGGTGCCTCATATACTTTGTCAATTCTTTCAAAGACCCGTTGCCCTGGTCGCAGTGCCCCAATCAAACAGTGCGCAGAGGTACGTTTCACTAATAAATAGACACCATTGTTAACCAAGTGCCTGTTTATTCGCAAGAGCACTTCGAAATACAGCCCTACCTAGTAGTTTCCTAATGGCAGCCTGATTCAAAATATTGCTATTAGTATCCTGACTGTTCTTGAACCTGCAGGCGAGGGTGAATCTAGTGAATGGTAGTGTTTCGGTCAAAAGTGGTGGTGGGTCCGCCAAATGTGAAAACTGCAGAGCCACTGACTGTATAAGAAGGTCATTAAAACAAAGTATATTTAGCAACCGCATCAATGTGACGCCCTATTTTGGCTTTTTAAGGATATTTTGGATGATTTAGTTCCAAGGCCGGAGAAAGGTTAACGCTATCTGAGCTTCAGTGTAAACTTTTTTTAGCATAGAACTATGTATATGGCATATTTCCCTACAAATCATCATTCCTTGGTCTCGAAATTGGTCTCGCACTGGTTATTTTGTTGTTGCCCCCTTTATCCATTAATTATCTCACTGATATTTCCACCTAACATGACTCGCTAGCTAAACATCAATGTTGAACTAAGCACCTTGCAAAATGATAAAAGTATGGACAAAGGATGAAATTTTGTACATGTGATAAAATTATGGGCCTTTTTGCAGGAAATGAAACTCTCCAAGAAGTGGTGGAAGAATGTGAAAAAAGCAGTCCAACACTGTATTTTTGGTATCGATCCACACTCGACATCTCGAGTTCAATCGATGACGCAGGCAAAATGAACTGGACTGTTAGTTTGAGTCTGTTAGCTGTGTGGTTTTTGTGTTGGTTTTGCATGATTCGCGGCATAAAGTCAACTGGAAAGGTATTACAATATTTAATCAAAAACAGTGTGTTATCATTATCATTCGAAACCAAAAATAAAAATTTGGATTCTAACTAGATTTATAAGTTTTGTTTTTTAGCATTAAGTGTTTCAGGCTTTAAAAATACCAAACTGTTTAACCGATGTCCAAGTAGTTCACCAAAGAAAGTCCTTCTTAACCTCTAAATGCAATTGAAATTAAAAATCTTTTTAAAAAAAAATACCTCGCAGCTTCTCAGCAAAATAAGATCTTGTTAAAAATTGCATGTTATTGAAAATTCCTGCTCTAGATCATGTTCTATCGTAGCAGTTTTCTAGCACAGTCATCTACTTCATTTCTTTTTATCCAGGTTGTCTACGTCACTGCAATTTTGCCGTTGTTTATTTTGGCAATAATGTTCTTCCGAGGAGTTCATTTAAAAGGATTTCAAGAGGGTCTCACTCTACTCTTCATCCCAGAAGTAAGAATTTATCCTTAACCTTCAACATTCAATATTATATATTGAATTGGTATTATATTAGATAATAAATAAAACTTCATATCACCATTTCTTGCAAAAAGGCTAGCCAAAAAATTGATAGAGCCTTCATAATATCACAGTTTTGGTACTGTTCTCGAATTAGGATGAATCGTGACAGAAACACGAATAGAAAGATTAAACGCATACATAATAAGGCTCTACAATAATGTATAGGAGTAGTCTTCAGATTTCGATACTTCAGTGCATAAGAACGCTTCAGTACCTATATATGTACAGAGCCTGCAATTCCTAATGACAGAAAAGAACTAAGCTATAAAAAATAAAACAAAAGCATATGGCATAGAAACAGTCTCATTTTATGGTGTAAATTATGGAATACTATACCCCACGAATAGAAAAGCTCTCGAACTATAAATTAATTCAAAAGAAAGTTAAAGGAAATGGACAGACGCACATGCAATCGAAGGATTTTAGAAGTTATGTAGCAACTGTTGGTTTTATTGATTAATAACTGTAATATTTTATATCACCAAACAAACAAAAAATTGTATAGAATTATCTTTATTATGTCATTCTATAGCTTTATTTGAATCAAGTAGGCTTAAATTGGCTTTTAGCTTTTGCTGTTATACATTTTTCCTGCCTTCTGTGAATAAATTCATAATAATAGTAATCATAAAAATAATTGGAAGCTAAAACGCGCGTCTGTTTATCTTCAATGTTTATAATTTGTAAATGACAATATTTTCACAAAGTTTTAAAGCTAGTAATCGCTTATTGACACAAGAAATGTTTCAGTACTACGTTCATGAGTAGATATAGAATTGTGAAAATAGCAGAAAAAATCATTGTGTGATTACGAGAAATAAATATGTTAATGTCGAGAGACGCTAATTTAGGATATTAAGTACGTTTATACAATTTGATTTGCCACCAGATTTAACTGATTGCTACATTTATTACAGTTTTCGAGGCTACAAGAGCCTGAGGTATGGCTTTCGGCAGCCTCCCAGACATTCTACTCCCTCGGGGTGGCCTATGGTTCTCTAATCTGCTTTGCAAGTTACAATTCATTGAAGAACGACACAACCAGAGACGCCATACTCATCTGCGTCATCGACGCCGGAGTGAGCATCTACGCAAGCGTCGTCATATTTTGTTTCATTGGGTATCGAGCGCAAATCAAAGTCGATGAATGCCTAGCGGGACAAAAACAGACGTTGCAGTTGCTTTTGAACGAGTCAAATTACCGTTTCGGGACTTCTTACACCTACGAAAATTACGAGTTTGCAGAGATGGACACTAGTTGGGTAGACGTCAACATGACAAGGCTCCTTAACGTAACTATAGCTAACTGTGATAAAAAGAAGTTTCTTAAAACGAAGGTCAGTATCCATAGCTAATTCTTTTGACATTCACTAATTCATAAATTCCTAATAACCAACAATTCATACAGTCAACAACCTGTACTTATTAACCTTAACTGTTTTGCCTTGTTATGTATGCAAATAAACCTTAAACATCAAAATGTCAAATACATTGCTAAGGTTTCAAAAATATACCTAGAAGGAGAAAAAAGGGAAGACAGAAAATTTTAAGCATATAGAAAAATAGACGACATCCGATAAAGGAAAAATGTTAGCAAAAGTCTTTCTTTGCTGCTCTTCATCATCCTTTTTTGTTCTTTATTGTTGTTTAGATCAAGACTTTTTCCTTTTTATTCTTTCTTAAGTTGTTCTCGGAATTTTTTACGTCTTAAAACGTCCCTATGGTATCTATCATGTTTTGAAAATAATTCGACGTATTTGGTAAACAGACTCTGCAAGGAATTGTTGTATCAATGCTTATGAGCAACTTCAACAGCCGCATTGCTGCCTAGATACTTTAGCTCTTAGTTACATTGTTTGCCGAGAACAACGTTATTAGCATGCACCTCTTCCTAAACTGTCCCTTATTGTTGGCCGACTCAGTATTCTCTATCATCTGACTTCTTCAAAATTTTTATGTTTCTATTTCAGACCTCACCAGCACTTACTGGCTTGGCATTCATCACATTTACTGAGGCCATAAATACAATGCCGAATGCTCAAATCTGGTCCATACTGTTCTTTTTAATGCTAATAACACTGGGCATTGACACACAGTTTGGAATGCTTGAAGGCGTCGTCACTCCTATTTTGGATGCTAAGTGGTTTCCGAATTTGCGAATTGAAGTTCTAACTGGTGCGTCTTCTTGATTCCTTCCTCGTCCCAACCAAACATAATACAAATAAACTTAATCTTTTTCTTCTGATGTGATTTTAATTTGAATTTGCAAAACTTACGAGTTGAATATTATCATATAATATGAGTTGTTAACAGCAATAGCAGCTGTCAGCCGATTCGGTACCAGTCCACTTTAACGTTGCCTTCCTTTAATAGTCGATCTATTTCTCTGAAGCTGCATTTTTTCTGGGTGACTTTAAAAGCTTTCCAGAAAATGCATTGTTTTAATCTAAAGGGAAATAAAATTAACCTTTCATAAAAATATCCGAGCGTGGGGCAAAACAGAGAAATTTCGCAACATACTTTTGGTGTCTGACATAACGTACTTTCCAGTATAGCGCAAAGTTTCCAAGTTTTCATGCCAATCTCTGGCAAAAAGGAAGTTGAATCTCCGGTCAAGTGAAGTAGAAGTTGCCATATGCAATAGTGTAACATTAAAATGATTCATTTTCTTCTTTTGAAGTTTCTAAATGCAGTTTTTATCATTTCAGGTATCATATGCTTGATTTTGTATATTCTCGGATTTAGTATGGTGCAGAATTCTGGTAATTACTGGCTGCAACTGATCGACAATCACTGCAGTGGAATACCATTGCTAGTTATTGCCCTGGTAGAATGCCTCTCGTTGTCGTATATTTACGGAATGGCAAGGTTTGTCCCCAGTTTCATTTTCTTTTTCAAGCAGAAGAGAGGTGTTATTAGCCATTTTTCTCTTTCTAACTATAAGAGCATTTCATAAAAAGGCTTGTTCTCTGTTTAGTAATGATGGTGGCCGACTGATGATAAAGATAGATGATTTTTGGTGATTTGTTTGATTGATAGGAATTGATTGAAGACGATTGTTTGATGATGGGAATGACTGATAGATAATGAATGAAAGATATGATTAATTGTTGATCATTGCTGAGGATGACGATAGTTGATGATGGGAAATTTATCCAGACAAATACGAAAGATTGGTCACCGTAATCACTGATGACAGTGGTGTTGATGCGAAAGCCGAGTAAGGATTACATAAAAGCAGCGGGTCAACAAACGATTAACCTTTCTTACCGCAATTAGTTGTCAATTCGTAGGGAAAAATGTTTCTTTCAAAAACACAAGCAAGAATGCTATTGCTAGCTGCCTTGAGGTTATAAACCTTAAGCTTTCTTCTTAGCTTCTACAGAGACGTGGTTTTTTTGTCCCAAATGTTTGCAAACAATCAAATGTTTTCAAATCGTTATCCAAAAACATTTGTGATCGGCAACATTTTCTACTAAAACAATTTTCCTCCATCTCAATCTGCCAAAATTGATAATTATGTTTGAATGTTTTTATCATCGTCTTGCTCTAATGTAAAAATCGAGGAGCTAGTACCGAGTCATGTAGGAGGTGTGTGTCAATTGAATTTCGTAGATGGCACGGGAACTAAGGTGGCTCATCCAGCGGAGCCTCTTATGCAAGACATCCAGCGGAGCCTCTTATGCAAGACGTCCCTCAAACCATACTGACATGTCTTTGTTTCAGTAACCATTTCTCAATCTGTAGCGATTACACCGAATCACATTTCCCTCTTTCCCTCAAATAAGAAAATTCTAATCAGTTTTGCTTGTTTTAAACGACTTACAACAAACTTTCAACAGCGATGTGGTTGCAAAATGAAAACGTAATTTTTGTGTTATTGAAGGTTTTGCGATGACATCGAGTACATGACTAACAAGAGGCCTCGAGTAATTTGGATGTGGTGCTGGAAGGTCATTTCACCCTTGACCATTATAATCGTGCTTCTGTTCAGCATCTTGTCGCTGTCAAAACATAAACCTACCTATGAAGTTTGGGACAAAAACGAGGTGAGCTTCTTACCTAAAATGTCCCATTTCTTTCAAAGTTGACCCAGTTGACTATTTTTGCCTATTTAAATAAGTTTTGTAGTGAAAGAAGCAAACTTCGTGTGACTGACTCTCTTGCTTCTTCACAGGGAGTCATGAAGCACAAGCCATACCCACCGTGGGCCGTTTTCATTGGTGCCATGTTAACGCTGGTTTCAATTGCATTCATACCGTTACTTGCATTGTTACGCTATTTCAAACTTTTGCCTATTGACACACGGAAAATGACACTTTTGTGCCCAGCAAAAAGAACTTACAAAAGACAGCGTGGAGGCCTCAAGGTTTACTTTGCTACATCTAGAGAAAGTTATACGGAAAGGAGTCAGCCAATTTCCAATGGACGTTATGTATAACAGACAGTGGGAATATATTCAGCTTCCAAAGCAGCCAACAGAGATCTTCAATTAAAATTAATTGTCTCTGTTCACATTTGGAAGCTTGACCATAAAGAAGATATAAAAAAGGAGCTTGACCACAGAAAATAGCAATTTCTCAACACTTCATATGGAGCGTGGGGCAAAGATGTTACAAGATCTCTAATGGCGGTAGGGAATGGCCGCACACTTGGTTGGCAGTTAACTAATATCAAGGGACAAAAACAAAATTAAAAGCTATTTGCTTGAAATTAATAAAATCGTCAGGGTTATGGGAAGCTTTTCCAAGGCTCAACACCAAACAACTACAGTCCATCCTTCTATGACAGGTGCATTCGTAATACACCGGCATATCTAAAACTTCTACCAATTACACACCTTGCTAGTTCCCTTTTATATCCGTTGCATTACCCCCACTCAAACTCGGGGCACTATACCAAATGCAGGTATTACCCCAATGTCATCTATAAATAAAAACCAGCTAATACTAAAATACTTTGTGCTATGAGACTGCTGAACCTATCGAAAATCACGTTTTTCAATCATTCTATTGTTTGTTGGGCAGACCCTTGGGAGTAAATATGCCAGGAGAGACACTTTCATATAAAACATGCTGTCACGAAACAAACGAGCCAAATTGGTACCCAGACCCCTAGCTTACAATCGCAAGTTTGCAACCTGCGTACATCCTCGATTATGTCCCTGCCTTCCTTATTAAAATCACAAGGACAGTTGAGGCTGATTCCTTAATACTTCGGCCAAATTCAAAAGAAATTGGCCTCAAACATCGAGGAGCACCTGGGCAAATAGTTATATTATGTGGATTAAATATGTCGAAAACTGAACATTTATTTTGCATTTAGTGAGATTAAATCTCGTAGTTGCATTAGACCTTTAAGGTCCATTATTGTTTTTAATATTTTGTTTTTTCCTAAAGAATACAGTTGATCAATTATTTGTTATTTGGTTAAAAAAGAGAATTGGCTTAGCGAAAACTTATCTCTTCTTTTTACATTGGTGTACACTGTACTGTAGTGAAGACTTAAAACAATGGATCGGGGATATAAAAATGTCTACAAATTTGAATTAAAAAATTGTATTTTTTGCAGCAGTGGCACAATGCAAATCATTTTGACAGTCATATCCCCAAGCTATAGCCAAGGTTGGTCAGTTTCTATAAAGGGACAACTCTCTGAAAATCAATCAATCAATCAATCAAAAACTTTATTAATGTGTCAAAAAATATTTAGCTTACAAGCTAATTGGGGACACAAAGACGCATTTGTCTTGTAACGGGTCATCTTATATATTTCTATAGAAATGCAATAGGAATTTTTGTTCAAAAGCCAACTGCAAATGCCTTCTTCTGCCTTTACCCAAGAGAAATCCGACTGGCCGCCCAGTTTTCTTTAACAACTGACGAATCTGAAACTGAGGTAAATGAATCCCACTGTCCTCTTTATCGAGCGAATAAAACAGGCATTACAATATCAACATATGAACAGGGCCGTCGCTAAGCACTGTCACTTGGGGGGAGGGGGTACCATTTACCAATTTTCCGACAAAATAGGGCGTGGTCTAAGATATATCAATTTCTAGGTGTGGCATTTTGATGCAATTGATTTTGTTTATCAAAAGGTATGTTCTCGTTAGTCAATCATCGCTTCGATTTTCGAGTAACTGAGGGTAATTTCTTTGATTTCATAGAAGTCAGGTTCTGAGCAATGAGATACCCTTGTTAATTCAAATAGTTCGGCACGTTGATCTTACTGGCAGGACCGCCGAGAGGCTTCGGAGGCCTTGCAGCAAAACTGAAAGACGGGGCCCTTTGCGAGGGAAAATTTTTGCGACCTCGCCTTTTAGATTGTCTTAGGCCCTGTTCACATGATACGAATGAATCCCAGTGGCGGATCCAGCCAATAATCTGACTACCGCCGAAATGAGATAGAGGATCGACCACACCCATTTCCTGGTCACACCCTGTTTTGTAAAATGATTATTATTTACTATAATTTCTTATGTAGACCATTTTCAAGACATAAGCCGTGCTCTAGTGAAATTTCAAGTATCCTTACAACAACCTTGAGAAGCAACAAATAATCTAATTCAATATTCTGAGGATGGATATTCTAAAAATATTTACGGCATTTAGCCGAGGAACACCATAGAATAAGAAAAAAAGATACATTTGGCAGAGTTTTGAAATGTCGCCTAAAACTCGCATTAAGTCGCACAATTACTTATGTAAATCAGACCTGTTGGAAATTATAAGTTTAAAAAGCCAGATAAAATTTGCAATTATTGAGAGCAACTTTTGTTAAACAAAGAATAATACTTCTGGCGAACTTTGTGGGCCTGACTTTTAGTCCTGATGCCTTCTTAAATTTTTGAATATTTGAGTCATAATATTCTTATAAAATATTTTCCTACCAATATTTGTGTATTGTACAAAAAAATTGGTTAACTCGGCTTTGAAGTTACAATTTGCCCACTTGCAGAATATGTAGGCATCCCCCAACCTTTCTGTAACGTTTGAGCCGTGTTGAGCGGCAGTACTACTCAACCCCCCATCTGAGCGGTAGTCAACTCGGTTGTTCATTGGTTGTCAAAAAAATTTCTATGCATCCCCCAGGTTGGCTGTAATTTCTGATGATTTGATTGGTCTAGGCAGGCTGACTACCGCTCAGTTCAGCTCGAATCCGCTCTACACCGACTCAACCCTCCTAGCTAGCAAGACATTATTTCATCATCCACCCATGCTAGCTTTTTATTTGCAAGCACGTGACTCGGTCAATTGGCACGCAATTTCCATAGCGATAAGGATTAAAAAGTATTTCTGTCTCTGTGGCAATTTCAGGCATGTTTCTAGAAAGGAATGCTTGGTTTGCAGCGCGATCAAATATTTTCAATTTTTAACTATGGTTTATTTGAAGTAGTAGGATAAACATGAAAATGATCCTTGTTTTTGATTCCTTGAATAATCTGACTACTGCTCGAACGGTAATGGCGGTAGTCTGGATCTGCCACTGACACGGTTTCGCTCCGGAACCTCTGTTTCGAAAAGGCAGCTTCGTTTTCGGGGTTTTTGAAAACAGTTTGGCACTCTTTTCAAGACACAAAATGACAGTGGATCGCAGTTAAACAATAAATATTCTTTTTGCGCTGATAATGACCTTCACAAGATTAATGCAAAGGAAAATTAGGAAAATGTTTGCTCATGAATGGCAATATTCGCCGACATATCACAGGATTTTCCGACATATCACAGGATTTTCCAACATATCAAAGGATTTTCCGACGGTATACAAGATTTACCGACGGTAGACCAGGTTTGCCGACGGTAGACCAGATTTGCCGACAATATTTTTTCCAGGGGGGATGTGACGCCCCCCACCCCTACGGGCCTGCATATGAAGATCAAACCTCAACACATATTTGCTGCAATCTGTAGCATACTGTTACAAGATCTGGAGAAACTCTAACAGTAAAATAAACTTAGAGAGCAAGCAGAATTTGATTCATCTCAATTCAATATATAAAAGCACAATATGACAAATCTGTCTATTATCTTTTACTTCTCGTCAGTTAATACCGGTAGAAGCTTGGTTTGAATGGCCCGTCAACAGGCACGCCAAGGTAGTTTGATTGATCTTCTCTAAGCTGAGTCAAGCGAACACCAAGGTGGTCCAAATGCAAAGCGGCTACTTGCTCATCCAACTGCAAAAAACGATACTATTGGTTTGCATTCCAAATAACTTATTTTCAGTATATTTTATGTAATATATTTCAGTATTGTAGCTACTCGAAAGTTCATAACCGGAGACATTTACCGTCCAGCATTTTTGAGACAGTCCAGCTCAATAATGATCTAAATATGGTTTTGATTGGCAGTATGAAGGATAAAATATTTATTCAAATAGAACAAAGTAAAAGGTTTGAATACATTGACTGTTATAAGCCTTATCATTGTGAAAAAATAATTTCAAAAATCCATGCAATGGAATTAAGCCATATCCAAGGTCTGATAACAAAAAGACAGTTTCATTCTGATCAATTGCCTATTCGTAGATGCAAAATTAACCATTTACAGATTCTCTCCAATACACTGACCTTTTTAGGCAACATTACTACGTCGATCTTGTATTCGTCGGTCTTCGTCCAAAGTTCTAGCTGTGCCATGACTTGATTTGTGAAGGAACTACTCATCACAAAACTTGGGTGACCGTGGGCACAACCAAGATTGACCAAACGCCCTTCAGCCAGCAAAATAACATGGCGACCGTTTGGGAGTGTGTATCTGTCAACCTTCAAAAGCAGACAATCAGTTAGAAGGTCTTCCCACAACAATCGGCATTGAAATTGATAGCTTTCAGGAATCATTATACAATAATATTAACGAAGAATGCTTTGAAAAGAGTTTCTTAATCATGATTTTCGTCGTCCTATTGAATGACCAGCCAAACGTTTGCCCAATGAAAATCAAAACCTTGCCTTTAAAATATAGACAATTAGAAAAGGCATAAGAACCTGTGGCTTGACTTCCTCTTTCTTGCAATTATCGTTGAGCCACTGAACATCAAGTTCGCAGTCAAAATGGCCAATGTTACATACAATGGCATCCTCCCTCATTTTCATGAAATGTTCACCCTTGATTATCCCACTGCATCCAGTAGCAGTTACAAAGATCTGAGCCTTGTCCACTACATCATCGATTGTTGCTATTTCATAGCCTGCAAAGCGAATCAGATAAAAATAACTACAAAAATGATCTAAAGGAAATTTCATCTCAATATTTTCAAACTTGAATTCGACAAAGATTTGGGTAAAAGCTAAAAGATTAAGGGTACAACCTCGAAGTTCTTACGTACGGCACGAAATTCTCAATCACATTATTTATAACCATTCAAAATCAAGTAAAGAATCAATCAAGCAAATATTCAAAATTCGAGGTTCTTATAAAAAGAACCAAAACTTGCTAAACAAGAAATGACGCATTAGAGCAAAGTTTTGAGCAAAGATTCACACATGTGGGCTTAATAAAAATGTCATCTTTATCAAGAGCACACCGCACCTTCCATAGCAGCCTGCAAAGCATTGATTGGGTCGATCTCTGCAATGATGACTCTGGCTCCGAACCCACGCAGGGCCTGGACACACCCTTTTCCGACATCACCGTAACCAGCAACAAAGCATACTTTGCCTGCAATCATGACGTCAGTGGCCCTCTTAATCCCATCTATCAGCGATTCACGACAGCCGTAGAGATTGTCAAACTTGCTTTTTGTCACAGAATCGTTGACATTAATCGCTGGTACTTTCAATGTTCCAGCCTTCATTCGCTTATAAAGGTTGTGCACACCAGTTGTAGTTTCTTCTGAAAGCCCACGGATACCTTAAGGAAAAGACACGTCTCAAGATTAATAGAACAAATTACAAATTCTTTCCTTCCTGATCTTTTGCTGATCCTCATTCCAAATTTCATCGCTTTTACCATTGAAATTATTCTGGAAATACTATAGGCATCAAATAATGATTACTGTACTTATAAAGCAAATAGAAAGGGTCGCTACTTCTGTGTTAAATTTCCGACTAATAGATATAATTATATCCGAATACAAATATCCTTTATGTTAAACATAAATTATGATAATAAATGATTGATTGTACCAGCAAGTAAGTCTGGATACTTGTCATGCACAAGATTGGTCAAATCACCACCATCATCGAGAATCATATTCAAAGGATGTCCATCTTTGAAGTGAAGGGTCTGCTCGATGCACCACAAGTACTCCTCGTCAGTTTCTCCTTTCCATGCATAGACGGGAACACCGGTCACTGCGATGGCGGCTGCTGCAAAGTCTTGTGTTGAGAAAATATTGCAAGAAGACCATTGGACCTTTCCGAAAGGAAAAGTTGCTAAGAAAATCTCATTGGAAAACCTGGGAGCACATTAACAGTCTCAAAAGAAAGGTCAAATCTCTAATTGCAACGATGAGCTTCTAGTAATGTGATTCGCAATAATATATATGAGGCAAAATTGAAAAAATATTGAACAGTATTTTACCAGTTGTGGAGGATAAAAAATAACACTGAGCATGGATTTCATTAACAAACAGACAAAATGATAACATCTACATACCGATATAATTAATATTGATAGAATGGCAATTGTAACTTATGATGGCAAATAGAGATCACGTTACACAGAACTTACCTCTGCACCCAGCTCAGTCAGTGTCTCAATGAGAACAGCAGTTTGCACAGTCATGTGGAGACAACCAGCAATGCGAGCACCTTTCAGTGGCTTTTCTTTTCCATATCGTTTCCTCATCATCATGAGTCCTGGCATTTCATTTTCTGCTATTGCTATCGACTTTCGTCCCATTTCAGCGAGGGATAAATCAGCTTAAAGGCAATAGAAATAACTTAGTTTTGTAGCTACAAGCATCTCTTCGAGAAAATCTAAATCAAAAACACAATTCAACTCTATACCCATAGCTACCTCTTCATACAAATACATGTTCCTTCCTAAATCCAGAAAGAATCAATAATGAAGGAGGGACCAAAACATGTTTGTTTCAGACCACGGTGATCAATCAAATTAATCACTTTTTAAGTTGCAGGTAATTAACCAGTAAAAGCTTATTTCATGGACTGAAATTGCATCCACAAACAACAAATGGTAATGTATCCTTGATTTAAACTTTTTGGCTACATCTAGCTCCTAAATCTTTTACTCTATTGTTTCTTTCAATATTTGCTATATAGTTCATGCGGTTTAGTTGCAACATATGTACTGGTAAAGTTCATTTGTCTGCAATGAACTCTTAAAAAGGTCCCAAATCAAACTTTATTGCATATTCAAAAAATAGTCATTGATGAAGTGCTGAAAAATTCTCACGATAATGAAATCCTTTGCTTAAAGACTCATTGCTAACAATGAGCCTTTGCGAGCGGGCCTTTGCCAACGTCCATGAGGAATTATACAATTATGCCCAAGAGTGGGTGACTCCTAAACGGAGCACAAGACTTTTACGCTGTGTTATTTTTTTTCTAAATTTCTGAATTAACATGAAAGCTCTCCTATTTTGGCAATAGCCAATGTTACAAAAAAACATGTCTGTACCCTTTTTATTCCTTTTGCCCCCCCCCCTCCTCTTCTGCTCAAACCTGCGTCTGGCGGCCCTGAAAATTTTCGCCTGATAGTGATTGAGGGGTCTTTTGAGGCAGAATTTAAGGCCCCAATTAGTTAAAAGAAAAACATTTTAAAAAACCTTTCAACTTCCAGGTGTCAATCAATGTTTCAATTATAACAGGATGATGCAATAGTTGCATAACCATAAGCAATGCAGGAGGAAACAATCAACTGATTTTCATAAGAAACTTAAACAATCGTTGTACTGAAGTTTCAGAGAAATCATGTGAACTTATTTGGTTTTGTGTGTCTCTGTACCCAAAAGTTTAAACCAATATTTGTCTATGTTTCACTCATTAACTGAATTCTAAAGTTTTTCACAATGAGTTATTTGTGTAGGTAGTTATAATAATAGAAACAGGGACTTTAAAATTTAAATTAATGGTTATTTTGTTTTTTAGGATTTATACTTAGCTAGAGTATTTGAATGCAAATGAATTCTTGTCCTTAAGGTTCAGAAAAATGTTTTAAATGTTGTTTATGAATGGAAATTTATGAAAACAATATGTATGCTGCGTGTTCTACAACTAAAAAGGAGTAATGTTACTGTGTGAGAATCGCGAATTTTCCCAAAAAACTTCCCTCAAAAAGTCATTTCAGATTTATTGTTCAGCTTCAGACAGCCATTAAAATTGAGATTTTGACCTAAATTTTTTTGCTGATTTTGTAAGGGTCTGAGTTTTGAAAAAAAACGATACCTTTAAACCCATCTGATGACATTGAAAAATCCCCCCTTTTCCACCCCTGGGCAAACTGTGCATGGTCTGGATGAGATTCATTGATTATGTTTTCTTTATCTGGACAAAGAGAAGCTCAAGACCATCATCAATTTTCTTAACAGTAGCCAAGAGACCATTAAGTTTACAGGGGGGCACTCTAGGGAGAGTATAAGTTTTCTAGATGTTAAAGTAAGTGTAAGTAAGGGGGAAGTCCTAGCGACAGACTTGTTTTTTTAAACCTACTGATACAAATCAGTATTTAAATAAGGAGTCTTGTCATCCATGGTACACCAAGAAGACGATACCCTAAAGTCAGTCTTTGAGGATACCTAGGATTTGTTGGGACGATCGCCAGTTACGGGATAGATTAGGGGACTTAGCTGGATGGTTAAAGGGAAGGGGGTATTAAGAATCAGTTATCACAGAACAGATAGATAAGGCATGTAAGCATGATATTGTCACACTTTTGGATAAGGTTAATGGAAAATATGATAACAATGGGAATGGGCAGGTTCTGTTTGTTACCACATACCATCTAGTTTTGAATAATTTGGGCAAGGTGGCCAGGAGAATTCATTCTATGCTTACAGTATCAGAAGAGCAAAGGAAGGTGTTTCCTCTGCCACCTTTGATATCATTTAAGAGATGTAAAAATCTTAAAGATATACCAGTTAAAGCTTAACTTTATAGTGAGGTGGCATGGGTTTCGCATAACAAGGTTTGTACTCATGTGCCAAGTCTCTATTTCAAGTGTGTAATGTTATGCGTGACACTGATACTTCTACTTCCCATTTAACTGATAAGGAATATAAGATAAATTTTATGTTAAACTGTGATTCTTCCAATGTTGTGTACCTTATGGAATGTTAAAGTATGGGGTGTACAGTATGTGGGTAGCACAGTATGTGTTTAGGCTTAGGTTTAATGACTACAAGGCGTGCAATTGTAAGTTTATTGGTGGCTCTTTTGGTATACCTCAGGCTGATTCCTTCCAGCAGTTTGCAGGAAAGTATCATCATGGGTTTCTCAAAGATATTAAAGTTTTTGAATTGAATTTTGTGTTTAATATTTGTCTAGTTTGTATTTCATGGTAGGGACAGAGAGCATTCACCCTTTCTCTTTCCTGTGCATTACTGGGTAGTTCACCATCTACCTTCACCTTCTCACTTTCTTCTCTTTAGCCCTTTACATCCAAAAAAATTGAGTTCTCTATGGGCTGAACTGATGCTTCTACTGGTTCTTCATCAATTATTGCAATTAATACTTTCTAATAATCCAGCATTTTCAATTTGGGGGTCTAAATCTTTAAATCACAATTGATTAGAATTTCTAATTCCCTTGTTGGGATCGGTGATAAAAATAATTGCACTGTTAATGCTTCCAAGTAATTTTTACTCCATGATTGGTTATAAGTTATAAATAAAAAGGCCTCCTTTAAAAAGGACTTTATGATATTCTTGCATACCCTTTAGTTCCATTTATTGGGTAAATGTCAAAATATCAGATTTTTATAACATTTATGATTGCATTCCTCATCAAAATCATCATTCTTTTCTCATCAAAATTTCTGTTTACCAAAATTTTTCCAAGACTCACTCAAATGTAAACTGCATTGTCAGAAATATGACACAATTTTTTTTTCTACTGAAAAATACTCTGTGGTTTTGTTTCCTGGATTTTTTCAAAAGGCCCTTGGAGTATTTTATCTTTAAATTTTCCGCCAAGGTTTGACAAGGCCAAAGTACCTATCGCTTCCAATTCAATAATCAATCAAGGAAGTTAATCAAACAACCTCAGAGAACTACAGCCCTTACTGATGTATCAAATCAAACTAAAAAGCATTCCCGCGGCTACAAGTTTATTTAGAGCAAGAAAAGGCGTATTTTCTAGATTCCATTTTGTCTGTTTTACTGCTGGCCATAAAATTGTTTGAATCAAGTTTGCAAAATATAGTTCAAATGTAATGACATGACCCAGAATGAAGAGACCTTTGACAGTCTTGTTTTACATATTCATGTATGCTGCAATCTTCTTGAAGAAACCTTCTAAAAGGCATTATTGAAACGTTCAGTGAAGATTGGATGCTATGCTACATGTCTGTCTTATAGGGTGTCACAAAGAGGTAAGAGGTCAGGTGGCTGAGTATAACAATCATTGGTGCTATCTCACAAGAAACCCAAAATTAGAACTGCACTATTTTCTTTGTCTGTACTGGAGCTGGATTTCGTAATACTTTAAAATCTACTCTGCCCTCTGTTACATAATATAAAGACATATATAGATACAATAGCAAACACACAAAGAAAAATGATCGAAAACCAAAGATTAACCACAATGGAAGGTCGCAATTTGATATTTTCATGGAAATTCTTCAGCGGTAATTTCAGCTAATTGAAAATATGTTCCTATTGTTATCGTTGTTTCCTTGCAGCTGTATTACATCAGACTAAGTTAGAGAGAGTCATGAAAACTTCAGATAAATTATTATGGTAGTTCTTCCAAGCAATGTGCTTGATCAGGGAAGCACATTGATAGCAACCCCGATAGCAAGTATGGTGCCTTGCCTGCACACGCGAATTTACAAGGTAACAATGCCAGTCATTAAGAGAGGCTACAGAAAAGGAGGTGTGGAGGAGAGAATTTACATACACCTCGAAAATTGGCCTAGTTTTCCTAATTTGCTAACATTGAACTTTGAATTTCTTGGTTTGGTCACTACCCTGAATAACTCAGTAAAGCCGTGGTCCTAATTACAGCTCCAAAAGTCAAAGTCATCTCACGCCTGTCTGAACCGGTCAAATACACTTGACAGAACCGAAATCAACTTACCAACTTTGTACGGTGGCTTGCTTGGGTTTGCAGACATCTTTGCCGAGTGTTAATTGCTACTTATAGGAAACTTTCAGGGTTTTGGCTTGCGACAGTGCTCACGTTGCACCTTCAACTTCAAAGAGGAGATTTCCATATGATCCCCTCAACCACATTGATCATGCGACTAGTGCCAGGCCCCACGAGAAAAGAACAAACCCATCGCACAGACTGGAAAAGAAAATGTTCTCTAAAAAATCAAACTCAAACTTGGTTACTTAGTAATTAGGATCACATGATATGAATCATAACCAACAGATTTTTGAATTTGATTTTGTAGTGAACATCGGCCATGAGTTATATTTTGTAGTGAACTTGAGGAGAGGCTTTAGAATACTCCCATGAATCCTCGTATAACGTATAATCTCCAGATTAAGATAGTCATAGCGACAAAGCAAAGAAAGAGTATAAAGCTGCATAAAATCGTCAGCAAAGGGACCGCGTTCAGGCTTCTTGCATTATCATATAATTGGGCTTTCTAACATATCAATATGATGATCGCACCATTAACTTTTTAAGTTTGCAATGTTGGGGAGGGGCTTTGAGCTGGCAGCAGCTGTCTCTTCGACCAAGAATGGACAGTGTCGCGACTTCTCCGTTGGACAGGTAAGTTTTGCACTGCTCTGAAGGACCAATGTTTCTCAGGAAATTATTGGCTGCTTCAAAAACTGATCTTGTCATCAACCTTATCGTGAGTTCATTCCTGAAAATGCCAAGCAAAGATTCCCACAAACAGTGGCGGACACTTGGGGGGGGGGCGATCGCCCCCCAATACTTTAGAGAACATTGGTCTTTTGTTCTAAAACAATGGGAAATGTGACGTCATCTTATTAAAACAATAGGCTTGCCCCCCCAATATTTGACCAAGTGTCCGCCCCTGCCCACAAAGCTCAGCTATGGGATCAAATCTGTTTGGTAAGCATGTTGACCACTTGCCGGATATACTGTGTGCCACTTGAAGTTTATCAATGTATATAGATAATTACATCGGAAATATGATTGTCCAGAATGCCATTGGCAAATGGTGTCGCTGAAATAGTTAAAGATATGTCCAGCCACTACTCTGAAAAGAAGGACATTAATAAACTTTCATTGCCTACAATATTGTCTACTTTTTGTGGTACAAAACATAAATATGACTTTATAAGACTCGTCAGAGTATAACAAATCAGATCATAGATCGGAACTCTAAATAAGGAAAAATATATACCCAGTTGTTGATCGATTTCTCTGCAACGGATAGGTGAGGCTACCCAATCTATGTCACTTGCCTGCAGATGATATTAGCAATGGAGTCAAACGAACTTTATTTTGCGCTCAAAGCCGTTTTGCATTTTAAGTGCATTTTTTTGAAACCTTTTCAAAGCATTAATGCTTTACTATTAAGATCAAACTAAAAATTTTAAGCATCATTTTAAGCATATAATTTTAAGCATATAATTTTAAGCATATAATTTTAAGCATATGATTTTAAGCTAGGAAATATGTGAAAAAGTTTCGACATGTCCCCTTTCCATGGGTCCTTCTATTCGAAAAACCTTTCTCGTCATCATTTTCTGAACTAGAATAGGACAAATTTATCATGTAAAACATAAATTTTTGAAATTCTACAAAACATTTTGGCACAAATTAGCCTTACCTCTCCCCCCAAAACAATGCTGGCACAGCCTCTAAGAGATAGGGGAGGACCAGTTATTCTGTCCGGGATTGTGGCTTAAAGAAAATTAATTCAGTTTTAGTTTCAGTTATTAATTCTTATAGATACAGCAGCAAACAGAAAATAGATGTACAATTATAACAAAGCCAAGGATTACACGTCTAGGAATTCTCTCGAGGAAGATTTCTCTCAAAATCCACTACTCGATGAGAGAGCACTCCACTTTTTCAAATTAGAAAAAGAAAGTAAATTGGCTTCTCTCATTTCCGTTAATGCAGTTTGGGAGTGAGTACTGTTATAAAAACTGCTAATTAGCTTTGAAAGAAGCAGATTTAGATTATACGATAAAAGCAAACTCGAAAAGTACTGAAGTATTTTATCAACTAGAATTTCCGCTGCTAGAATGTTTGACATTTCTAGACAAGAAATGTCAAATTAAAGGAATTCCTATCCCAACTGTTTTTTTTCTAAAGAAATCTTTGTCTTCAATCTTAAACAACAATCTTTTCAGTACTTATTTTTTATAAATTTTCATCAAACATTTCTGTATTAGATTTTGCTGAGCTTCAAAGATTAAATTTTTGAAAACTTTTTGCAGTTGTATATGTCATCGAAATGTCCCTGAGAATGGATTTTCATTAGAATGCATCTTTAAAAAGAATTGTTTCATTTCATAAACATTTTAGGAAACTTTTCTTGCCTTTATATCCGTATCTTAAATCACATTATGACACAAAGGATCGATTTATATATATGTATATATTTATGGGTTCCCCTCGACCCACCACGTAGTGTATTCATTCTTCGTACACAACTACGTCAGGTTGTTGCCTTCCTGGCTCACTTTCCGGAACCTTTTTGTGGATTAGCAAGAGAGCTTTCCGCTATTTTTCTCAGCATCAGGGCCGCCAAGAGGTTTCAGAGGCCTTGAGGCAAAACCGAAAGACGAGACGAAAATTTTTTTGTCCATGCCCTTCAGATTAGCTTGAAATCCATTTCAGAATTTTTCTTGCAGTCAATTTTTGCAATCGATTATGTAAAACGTTTAACTATTTTCAGACCTACTTTTGCTGCGTTTGATTAATTCCATTCTTAAAAAAAATTCATTAATTTATGAGCGCCCCTTTAGACCTCGAGGCAAAAACAATTTTTAGGCTTAGTCATGCAATCACTTTGCTTCAATATTTTTTTAAATACCTTTTTTCGTAATCCGTATACTATTGACAAACAGATTAAGATGTGTTTAACTTCAAAATGAATTTTTTGTTAATTCATCCCCGATCTTTCAATCTCAATAAACTCTTGTTCGATTTTCGGCTGTTTTCTTCGTTTCTTAGATTAAGAAGTTTAATACGTTCGAAGAAACACGACAATTTCATTTACACCCAATCGTTATTTCGGCTTTTTCGGAGTACTCCTTTCTTCATTCGGATCTCTCCCTGTTCATTTCCTTTCACTGGTTGATCAACTCCATTACCGTTACTGTTTCGCGTGCTTTCATTGAGGTAAAGTCTTTTTATTTGATAGCGTCTTCGTATGAAGTCAATGCCTTTAAGTAATACAAATTTTATTAACAAAACGGTAACGGCAAGTGCAGCAAATGCGATAAGAATAATCTCCAGTACAGAGAGGTCCCGCCCTTCACCAGTGTTGTCTATGTACTGAAAAGGGGAATCCTTTCCTTTGCGCTGTAGAAGGGACATTGTTGTATTGAAATTGTCACTAACTGGCCGTCTTGTGCTTTGCGCACCTGCATTACCCCCCTGGTCTATTCTTGTCCTCTCTTTTGTCGGGTTGTTGTTTGGTGTAAGGTTGATCGTTGCAGTGAATGTCGTGGGGGTAACAGTATTCACTTCTTTTGCCTGCTCCTGGCCCTCGAAAACATTCGGTTCCTCTGGGTGATCCTCCTCCACAGGCGTGTTCCACACGAACTGCGTTTCGTTTGCAGTCATGTAGTTCTTCATGGCTACAGACATGCAAACCTGAGACAGAATTTCACTCGGCGGTCGTTCGGCACCCTCGTCCACTTCCCTGGGGCCGAAACATTCTAAAGGTCCTAGGGTGACATACCCAAACCCACGATGAATTCCGGTAAAATGCATTCGAGTAATGGGCAGAAGGTCTTTGTCCTCGACATAGCCTGAGTCTTCAACCCACCTGTTATTCAGTGAATCGCAGTTGCAAAGCTTATCTCTACGCAAACAGCTTCTTGTTAGGCCGCACTTGCAGCCCCGTCCTCCGTCAGGAACTCCTCCCCAGTAGCTTTTCACATCACCAGTTCTTGTTTGCCACATGTAAGTTGTAAGTTTTGCACTGCTCTGAAGGACCAATGTTTCTCAGGAAATTATTGGCTGCTTCAAAAACTGATCTTGTCATCAACCTTATCGTGAGTTCATTCCTGAAAATGCCAAGCAAAGATTCCCACAAACAGTGGCGGACACTTGGGGGGGGGGCGATCGCCCCCCAATACTTTAGAGAACATTGGTCTTTTGTTCTAAAACAATGGGAAATGTGACGTCATCTTATTAAAACAATAGGCTTGCCCCCCCAATATTTGACCAAGTGTCCGCCCCTGCCCACAAAGCTCAGCTATGGGATCAAATCTGTTTGGTAAGCATGTTGACCACTTGCCGGATATACTGTGTGCCACTTGAAGTTTATCAATGTATATAGATAATTACATCGGAAATATGATTGTCCAGAATGCCATTGGCAAATGGTGTCGCTGAAATAGTTAAAGATATGTCCAGCCACTACTCTGAAAAGAAGGACATTAATAAACTTTCATTGCCTACAATATTGTCTACTTTTTGTGGTACAAAACATAAATATGACTTTATAAGACTCGTCAGAGTATAACAAATCAGATCATAGATCGGAACTCTAAATAAGGAAAAATATATACCCAGTTGTTGATCGATTTCTCTGCAACGGATAGGTGAGGCTACCCAATCTATGTCACTTGCCTGCAGATGATATTAGCAATGGAGTCAAACGAACTTTATTTTGCGCTCAAAGCCGTTTTGCATTTTAAGTGCATTTTTTTGAAACCTTTTCAAAGCATTAATGCTTTACTATTAAGATCAAACTAAAAATTTTAAGCATCATTTTAAGCATATAATTTTAAGCATATAATTTTAAGCATATAATTTTAAGCATATGATTTTAAGCTAGGAAATATGTGAAAAAGTTTCGACATGTCCCCTTTCCATGGGTCCTTCTATTCGAAAAACCTTTCTCGTCATCATTTTCTGAACTAGAATAGGACAAATTTATCATGTAAAACATAAATTTTTGAAATTCTACAAAACATTTTGGCACAAATTAGCCTTACCTCTCCCCCCAAAACAATGCTGGCACAGCCTCTAAGAGATAGGGGAGGACCAGTTATTCTGTCCGGGATTGTGGCTTAAAGAAAATTAATTCAGTTTTAGTTTCAGTTATTAATTCTTATAGATACAGCAGCAAACAGAAAATAGATGTACAATTATAACAAAGCCAAGGATTACACGTCTAGGAATTCTCTCGAGGAAGATTTCTCTCAAAATCCACTACTCGATGAGAGAGCACTCCACTTTTTCAAATTAGAAAAAGAAAGTAAATTGGCTTCTCTCATTTCCGTTAATGCAGTTTGGGAGTGAGTACTGTTATAAAAACTGCTAATTAGCTTTGAAAGAAGCAGATTTAGATTATACGATAAAAGCAAACTCGAAAAGTACTGAAGTATTTTATCAACTAGAATTTCCGCTGCTAGAATGTTTGACATTTCTAGACAAGAAATGTCAAATTAAAGGAATTCCTATCCCAACTGTTTTTTTTCTAAAGAAATCTTTGTCTTCAATCTTAAACAACAATCTTTTCAGTACTTATTTTTTATAAATTTTCATCAAACATTTCTGTATTAGATTTTGCTGAGCTTCAAAGATTAAATTTTTGAAAACTTTTTGCAGTTGTATATGTCATCGAAATGTCCCTGAGAATGGATTTTCATTAGAATGCATCTTTAAAAAGAATTGTTTCATTTCATAAACATTTTAGGAAAGTTAGCGAGCATTGTACCCAGAAGTACTTTCAAACACCTCTACTTTTTCAACATTCAACAATTTTTCTTTTTCTTTAAAATGACAAACAATAATGAAAAAAACATTCTTCTGATTTAATTGAGTGTCATTTTTCACTGAATGTTCTTATTACAAATGTTCTAGGTTCGTGCTCGCTCTACACAAAATAGAACGGAATTTCGAAACAGCCCATTTACATTATGGAATATATTTTTAGACCCTATTTACAGGAGAGAAAATGGAGCGGTTCCAAATGGAACTAGCCCAAATAGACGTTGCGTTTACAAGAGAACTGCTGGAACCGCTCCATTTGGGACCTGCTATCCGTTCTCATTTGGCTCCGCAACAAAAGTAGTTCCATTTGAAACCGTTCCACATGGCTACCGTGTAAACGGACAGAGCCGCTTGGAATGGAACCAAGACATATGAGAACGCTTAGGAAACAAGGCTATTATGCACTGATATATAGGCTAATATGAAATGATCTCTTTGTTTATTCAGTCTCAGTTTCAGTTTAGACCAAAAATTTTGTAGGTTTATTGTTTCTAGCTTCTGTTTCTGTGTATTCTTGTCGAAAATAAAAATGAGCCATGCGATTATCTGATTTACTGATTTTGGCGCCAGAAACTGCTCATGTGACTCCTCCCTTGTAACAATGCTGGGGCCCAATGTTCTCCTGTAAACGCAAGCATGAAATATTTGGAACCGTTCCATTCCGAACCGTCCGAAATGGAACCGTTCCATTTTCTCTCGTGTCAACAATGTCTTAGTTTATAGCAGCAGACCTTACAGGCTCATTTAGAATCAAATTGGACCACTTACGCAGAACCTTTAATCACTTGAGAAACAATCTTATTCAAATGGCAGAGCTTCAATTTGTATTGCATTGGTTTCTTGATTAAGCACATCGATGTGGCATTGTATGTGAATTGGTAAAAATTGTCTAGCAACTATTCTAGGTAAGCATTGGGTATTTTTAAACTTTGCTGGGCATTTTAGACTTCGGTAAAATTTGCTTCATCAATGCCACGTAAATGTTTAGTAAATTTAGTTTTAGTTAGAGCTGGTCTGCAGGGAAAAGTCCACTATTCTTGATGAAGTGTTACCAACTTAACTTTTTACTTCGCTTCATTAGAAAATTTATTATGTAAACACCATTTGAACTTCGGACTCATTTAACCGTATAAAAAGGTAGATATCCTGCCGCTGTGTACGAAGAATACTGGTACACTTAGGATGCTGTTGTAGCTTTTTGTTTTTTATGTATACTTGAGTTGCTGTTTCGAATTTGAAACCATTATTAAGTATTTACCTTTTTGCAAAACGTTTAACCCCTAAAGTTAATAACAAAGTGCGACGGCTGCACAAGTGACGAACACTGCTTCATTATCAGGTCCGTCTAGATTCAATAGAAAGGATTCCTCCTAGTTATAAATGGGATTTTTCTATTTGATTTTGGAGTCGTAACTCTTGTCTCAGGGCACTGCACTGATCTACAGATCAGTTCTAAAGAGGCCACCACTGAAACAAAAGTGCACCTTTCTTAAGAAGCACCTTGATTCCGTTATTCCGTACCCCTGCCGTTCATGTGCTGCAGACGATCTTCTTTTCAGCCAAGAAACTGTTTATTTTTCAGTTGGGTAAGCTTTTGGCCACAGATCCAGACCCCTGATCCTTTGCAGGGCCTTTTTTAGAAATGGAAACCATTAAAAGTGATAATGCCTGGATACATTCTCGCTCTTGCTTTCAGTATATAGAATGCACGCGAAGGCAATTCTAATAAAAGCTTCAAGGTAGGACCACAGGGCCCTGATACGCCAAGTTAAACAATGATAAAATAGACAATAGCAGAACAGACCATTCTAAATTTTTCCAATCAAAACTTTTCTTGCCTTTATATCCGTATCTTAAATCACATTATGACACAAAGGATCGATTTATATATATGTATATATTTATGGGTTCCCCTCGACCCACCACGTAGTGTATTCATTCTTCGTACACAACTACGTCAGGTTGTTGCCTTCCTGGCTCACTTTCCGGAACCTTTTTGTGGATTAGCAAGAGAGCTTTCCGCTATTTTTCTCAGCATCAGGGCCGCCAAGAGGTTTCAGAGGCCTTGAGGCAAAACCGAAAGACGAGACGAAAATTTTTTTGTCCATGCCCTTCAGATTAGCTTGAAATCCATTTCAGAATTTTTCTTGCAGTCAATTTTTGCAATCGATTATGTAAAACGTTTAACTATTTTCAGACCTACTTTTGCTGCGTTTGATTAATTCCATTCTTAAAAAAAATTCATTAATTTATGAGCGCCCCTTTAGACCTCGAGGCAAAAACAATTTTTAGGCTTAGTCATGCAATCACTTTGCTTCAATATTTTTTTAAATACCTTTTTTCGTAATCCGTATACTATTGACAAACAGATTAAGATGTGTTTAACTTCAAAATGAATTTTTTGTTAATTCATCCCCGATCTTTCAATCTCAATAAACTCTTGTTCGATTTTCGGCTGTTTTCTTCGTTTCTTAGATTAAGAAGTTTAATACGTTCGAAGAAACACGACAATTTCATTTACACCCAATCGTTATTTCGGCTTTTTCGGAGTACTCCTTTCTTCATTCGGATCTCTCCCTGTTCATTTCCTTTCACTGGTTGATCAACTCCATTACCGTTACTGTTTCGCGTGCTTTCATTGAGGTAAAGTCTTTTTATTTGATAGCGTCTTCGTATGAAGTCAATGCCTTTAAGTAATACAAATTTTATTAACAAAACGGTAACGGCAAGTGCAGCAAATGCGATAAGAATAATCTCCAGTACAGAGAGGTCCCGCCCTTCACCAGTGTTGTCTATGTACTGAAAAGGGGAATCCTTTCCTTTGCGCTGTAGAAGGGACATTGTTGTATTGAAATTGTCACTAACTGGCCGTCTTGTGCTTTGCGCACCTGCATTACCCCCCTGGTCTATTCTTGTCCTCTCTTTTGTCGGGTTGTTGTTTGGTGTAAGGTTGATCGTTGCAGTGAATGTCGTGGGGGTAACAGTATTCACTTCTTTTGCCTGCTCCTGGCCCTCGAAAACATTCGGTTCCTCTGGGTGATCCTCCTCCACAGGCGTGTTCCACACGAACTGCGTTTCGTTTGCAGTCATGTAGTTCTTCATGGCTACAGACATGCAAACCTGAGACAGAATTTCACTCGGCGGTCGTTCGGCACCCTCGTCCACTTCCCTGGGGCCGAAACATTCTAAAGGTCCTAGGGTGACATACCCAAACCCACGATGAATTCCGGTAAAATGCATTCGAGTAATGGGCAGAAGGTCTTTGTCCTCGACATAGCCTGAGTCTTCAACCCACCTGTTATTCAGTGAATCGCAGTTGCAAAGCTTATCTCTACGCAAACAGCTTCTTGTTAGGCCGCACTTGCAGCCCCGTCCTCCGTCAGGAACTCCTCCCCAGTAGCTTTTCACATCACCAGTTCTTGTTTGCCACATTGCATTAGGAGGTCCTTTCGGTGAATTCAAAAGGGCAGCATTGTAACAATCGAATCGTAGATGTTGCCTACATTTTACACTGCTTTTTATCAGGGCCTCTATCTTCTCCATTGGTAGATCATAGTTAACCAAATGGAAGAAAGAGCCACGAATCATGTCAGCTCCATCAGTGACATTGACTGTCTTTTCCCGGCTGTGATGGACCACAGTTGCAATTTCGCCATCATCTTTGACGTTGCATGATATTGTGTACGGTGTCAGCCTGCCTGTGCCGTCTGAATCCAGAATACAATTGGAATCTTTCTCTAAGCCTATCGCTTTGTATCCTGTGCAGGTCGCTTTGTAAATTGGTATGTTACAGTGTTTCCCGTAAAATGTTGTTTTCGAACAATCACACCCATAGCTGTGCCAAGATTGAAAGCATTTCCCACCATTGCGACAAGGCGATGGGAAGCACTTGTCTTTTATTTTGCAGCCTCGTTTTATTGATCCCTTCAAGCTGACCTCTCTACTGTCAAAGGCATGTATCGTCCTACTGTTGACATTGATCTCATTTAGGCACCCGACAAAACCTCTCTTCATCTTCCTTTTTGCTCCTCCGCCGATCAAAAACTTTGTTGGGATGCTGCATTGATAACCATTGGTAGTTTTCAGAAGCGATGCACTGATCTGCGCGCTATTGCCAACTTGAAGTGAAATGGCTGTTTGAGTGATGGTTGCTCGTACTCGATGCCAAAGGCCATCGTTTACATCGCCCTGTACTTCAACTCTGGCTGGAAGTACATCGTCTTGCTTGAGTTCTAAGTAAATCTAGAAAAGTATGTTAACGAAACGTTGAGTTACCATTAGAAAACATCCTTTAATACAAACACCCCATCGTCACGAAAGAAAGCCCACTTTCTTACAATATAAAGAAAGATATATTCAAAACAAGATGTGATTTCAATTTCCACTTTTCTCATTAGAAATATCAACTTGGAGAAAATTAGCTGCACAGTTCAGGTATGCATTTGCTTATAGTCTTCTGGAAGATTGAGTTTCGTTTTTGTTTTCTTTTACTGTAAAAAGACAAATCTTTTGGACTATGCTTTGCATGTGAAAATTTTGTATTGGCTCAACTCTACCTTGCATTCAATGATATTACCTACCAATTCAACAACAATTTGGCTTAGATAATTAAATCCATCTTTTCATTTTATCTTTTCATGCCTTTTTGAGCAACATAAAGCCGTCCACTGCTAGGGGAATAGAATTTCACGCAAATGCTGGCTATTGCTTGCACACACCGGTTTGCTCCCTCTTTAAGATGTATTCTATAATTAGGTTTGGAAATTTCTTCACGTAATGTGTAGGTAAAACTTTAGAATTTTGGGGGTTCTTGGCTATCTTGAAGCCTGTCGATGATTTGGCATTTTGAATTGCCTTCCGATGGATATAAATTCGATGGCCTTCAATGTTATTTCGTCAATTAGTGATCGAAGAGACTCTCCAAGAATATCAAAATATCAAAACTTCTACTAAGAACTAAAATCACTTTGAGAAATAATCTTATTCAAATCGCAGAGCTTTAATTTGCAATTCATTTGTTTTTTAATTAGGCATATCGATGTGGCATTGTGTGTGAATTTGTAACAATTTTCTATCAACTATTCTAGGTAAGCATTGTTAAGTATCTTTAATGCTATAGATAAGTTTGATTTTGGAGAGAAAACCTTATCAATTAGATAAGGTTTTCTCCCAAAATCAAAATGGAAGCTGATATGATAATCATCAAAATTTCATTGATAGGATGAAGATAAGTTTAGAAAAATCAGAATATCAGATTTGAAGTTAAAAGATTAATCCAGCATTTACTTATTGCTAAATTTCAAAACAACGGGCTATTGTTGCTAGGAAAATCTTCAAAGACATTAATAATTATGGAGAGATTTAAAATCGGATTTCGCAGCCGCTGGGAAATTTTGAAGCTGTTCGGTTGAAAGAGGTGTTTAGTTAATTGTATGTAAATGATTCATAGCTAGTATGTTAACGTTTTTGACATTACAGTCTTAAAATGCTTGCTGGCTCTCAGCTTTGCCGTTGAAACAAGCTCCTTAAGTGGCAATTTGTTTGTAAAAGTGCACCAAGATAATCCAGCGAAACATCTCTTTAAGCGTTACAGGCCTTGCCACTTGCGCTGCAACTCAAAATGCGCCTTAAACTTGCATCTTCATAAAATTGTTTGTATGGACGAACCATTTTGAAACGTTCCGAAAAAAATTGACAGGTGTTTGAAGAGAAGTAAGATTTGTTTTTGGAGCTCATTTAACTTTAGCTGGGCGATTGTTATATAACCAAATTAACGCCATTGAACTTCGAAGCGTCTCAGAGATTGCATCAAGATCAGCGTTGACCCGATCATTACAAACAATCCAATTTTCGATAGGAATTTAAAATTTACTTATAATTGTTGATGATTTGTTGTTGTTGTTGATGAATTGATATGGAATAGAACTCTCGAACATTGCATTGGGCGTCAAAATAGGAGTTTCTTAACTTAAAACCGTCCTGTTCTTCACACCAAAAGATGTAGAGCTCTGGCTTTACAACTTTTGGTGTGAAGACCGGTTACTAGTGATTTTCCTAATATTGATAAATGATTGAAAGTTTATCTCGAAGTCTAAATCTTGGTTATTTTTACTTCACTTTGTGTGTTAGTATTTGATATTTCGCAAACAACTGTTTGTCACTTTTGCCGAACTGCTGTTTCAACTAGTTGCATAAAACTTTAAAGCTGAATGAATTTTAAAAAGAAATTGCATTGACCTGTTTCTTTTGAACGCCTAGAATGAAATGACACCGCTTTCCTTCTGCAAACACAATAGTCCCTTCAGAGTCGAATGTTCTAAATTTAAGCTTGATGTCCATTTCCCTCTCCACTAAAGATGAAGGGATACGAACGAGGTCAACCAGCGATTGGGGATTTGGGAACTGAATTGGATTGAATTCACTCGCATGGCATGGACGAGTGACCACTCCGTAGATCACAAGGTTCTTATTGCGCCTGCTCAGGGCCACCAACGGCTCTTTGTTATCAATGATGATATTTCGTAAGCATCCTCTAAAGGGAATCTTTTTCTTGTAATCCAACTTGGTTTTGGTGGTTATCTTTCCTTCAGGCGTCATGTGTTGTTTTCCAATGCCTCCTATATAGAGAATTCTGTTCAAATTCAGATCAGTTGCAAATCCTGGAATTAGGATGTTCCGCTCAGCCTCGCTATCCAGTTTGATATTCAAAAGCCGCGTGATTCTCAGTATGGAAATGCTGTGCCACATGTTGTCATCGAGTTTTCTACCAATCATCACTTCACTCACGGTCTTCTGGTTCTTTATCAATCTCAGTCTAGAAACAATGGAAATAAGGTAAAGTTTTAAAAAATTGTTGTTACTCATAGGATACAAGAAATATTCAAAAAGAGACAAACCTGTTCTATTTCACTTTTTCTTGAAGTGAAGAAATATCAAATATCAAATATCAAAGAAATATCAAAGAGAAGAAGTTAATTTGTCAACAGAAAATCTAGGCAAGGAAGTCTCTCTTATTGCGTGCTTTTAGTTGCTCCCAATAAACGCGTTTTCATTAGTGAAACCCGGGTTGTTGCAAGACATAATTGCAAACCCAATGACGCATGATGTACCCCAAACAACAACACAAATTGAGTCATGCAATATTTGTTGCACGATTCTGCACTGAGATGAAAGAAGACTCAGACCTCAGAGAAATGAACCATACATTTGATTAGAAGTTCGATTCAGCTTTGTTTTCAAATCAGTGGAAAATTGTTGCACGAGATGTTCTGTCGATTTGCTAACCACTGTAATTCTGTGCGCATATTCAAGAAACACATTTCGCATCAAATTTTGCACAAATTCGCCTGGGTTTTATTGAAAGACAATCAAGAAGTTATTGATCAAATCAATTATTCGGACATTACATTGATAATACGTGCTCTTATGGATTGAATTGGTAGCAAGAGTAGCCTGAATGCGGTAGAAAAATTGACACGAATGGGAATGGCGTTGATACAATGACACTCCCTTTTATCACCACCAAGAGAAACGTCAACTGAAGAAATATGTGGCATTCATTAAAAACAAAGGCAGTGCCTCCTTGACCAAAGGTTTACACAAAATGCACCTGCGTCTTCTGTTGCCTTAATACCTTCTTAGCAAATACTTTTATTAGGTCCCCGTTTCAAAGAAAAGCATCAACAAAATCTACTCTCGGTTTTGCAAAATTTACGCACCAGTTTTCGACTTGTCTAGGATTTAAGCAATGATGAATGATTTATAGAGAAGTAATTTTCAGTGCGGTAAGAAAATTATCAAACTTTTCTCGTGCAGATATTAGAAAGTATTAGCCAATCATGTAACTCGAGAATAAGATATTGCAAATGTGAAGTGTCATCAACAGCGTTGACAATAATAATAACAAGAACATCATAAATATCAAGAAATATCGATAACAAGAACAGCAGGAAATAATTCATTCTTGTTTTTCACCTCTTTAATACGACCAAATTTTTTGGAAGAAATTGCAGAGGGAATTCTATGTGTCATTTTTAGCACTCTCGAGATCATTCTACACTGGGGCCTCAAAACAGGAAACCAATCATTAAATTTTCTTAAAACCGAAAGTCGAAGGAATGACAAATGCATTTTTCAGCCATAACCTATCGTTTCCAAACCCCTCCACCTCATAATTCTGATTTTGAAATTTGTTGGCTTAGGCCCGTGGTCACTGTGATCCGCCATTTTGACCTACCGTTTCCATACTTTTGCGACCCCAGTGTACTTGCATCACCTCTAATGTGTTGATTCAAATTTGCAAAGCAGCAAAATTGACTAAACAAGAATCTTTTTAGCTCATTATTCCGTGGATATATTTTCGTTAAGATTACTTCAACTTTTTCAATTAATATTGTATGCCTTTTTTTCTTAAATGGATTTAATATCCTCTATAAAAGAATGGTAAACATATGCTTTAGATAAAGATTCAAGTTTCATTAAAAATTCCATTTGAGAAGTTATTACGTGAAATCTTAAGGCTAAATAACAACATCGAATTACTAACCCTATTGCCAATCTCAATAATTCTGTTCATTAATGCTCCAGTTTTGATTTCAACAAGCAGTTACTTACATATATCTGTTTACTTTTGTGATTTAATTGATTTTGCAGGCGTCATAGTTCAGTTGTTTGTTTTGTTTGCATGTCCTTCTAGAGATTTTACGGGCATTTAAATCAATCTCAAGTACTACATTTTTTATGTCACTTCTGGTAGAACGTATTTAGTCACATATTATAGTCGCTTTGGTAAAATAAATTTCGCTTGAATTAACTAGTCACAGGTCGTTTTTAATTGATATACATACCCCAATAGCAGTCATCTAGAATGATTTGGTAAACGTCTAGAAGTCAACATTCTGTTTTAAAAGAACCTGAACAACAAGACAAGAACCTGAACGACAAGACAAGAATCTGAACGACAAGACAAGAGCCTGGACGACAAGACAAGAACCTGAACGACAAGACAAGAGCCTGGACGACAAGACAAGAACCTGAACGACAAGACAAGAATCTGGACGACAAGACAAGAACCTGGACGACAAGACAAGAGCCTGAACGACAAGACAAGAATCTGGACGACAAGACAAGAACCTGAACGACAAGACAAGAATCTGAACGACAAGACAAGAACCTGAACGACAAGACAAGAACCTGAACGACAAGACAAGAACCTGAACGACAAGACAAGAATCTGAACGACAAGACAAGAACCTGAACGACAAGACAGGAACCTGAACGATTAGCTTGCAGCTTACTTTAAGAAATTGTTACTTTTGACAATCTGAACAAAATTTGAAAATACTTTATTTGGGCTTTTTTGATTTATTTTTTACCACAAAAGCAGCCGGATCTAACTTACTGAAATTAAGTGGAAAATTTTAAGAATATTGTCAGATTACTTAGATGCAAGATTAAAACAGCTTTAGATGACTAAAACATCCGATTTTGTCATTCTGCTCATAACAGTAGACGAGGCTACTTGAGTAAGCCTATGCCAATTAAAATGATAAATCCGAGGACTAAAATATTTAATGTTAGAGCTCTTCATATTAAAGGAAAATATTTAATCAACATCATCAATGAAACTCTAAAACTCTGATAATGAAAGGAATATCAACTAAATGGAACGTCGCAAAATTTCCATTCACAAATGTATTATTACAAAGCACAATCTCAATCAGTCAATGAGGCTAAAAAAAACAGTTATCGACTTATTGCTGAATCAGCCATGAAGGCCAACTGTTTTATTGAATTGTAATATTTTTAATCAACATTATTCCACTCGATTGATTAAGATTATTTTGTTATTTAATTCGGAAGAATAATTGACACTATCGATTTTCAACTATCACTGTTAAAAAAATTGCAACAAAATTCATATCTCTTTGTCTATTTTTCACAACTCTATCCTTTGCTTATACTTTCTCTATTTTTTGTGCGAATTTCATCAAAGATATTCACTTGAGATGAAAACTATTTCTTCTATCAATCATTCAGTGATGTGATCTTAATATGATAATTTAGCCAATGAATGAAACTCAGTTTATCAACTTTCGGCATCATGAAAGCTCTGCTGCACATGGGTGTTGTCATGGATGATCTGCTTTAAGCGAGAAATACATGTTTTATCATCGTTTGAAACCTTAAAACTACGATAATTACGTAGACCATGTCAGGTATTAGAACTGAAAATGGCTTAGTCATTTCTGAATCATCAACACATTTTGAAATCTTGAGTTAAATTTTAGTACATAGAAAACGACTTATATAATGTAAATAGAGGGCACTGCATAAACAACAATCTTTATTGATAAGTCATCAGGTGTGTCGCACTGGGCAGGCAAGCTAAGAATCAACCGTTGCAGCGTTTTAACCACAATGCAGTTGCTAATAACATCCCTTTTCTTTATTAAAAAATCTAGCTAAGGACTGATAGCTTACATAAAACGAAAATGAAGCAACTTTTATGCATGTACATATACCTTTTTAAATAGGCAAATATTCTTCATTGTTAGTTAATCTGAGGGAATCATGCCTTTGTTGCTAACACTGGGCTAATACACAACAATGACTGTGCTGGCTAAACATCCTCTTTCCATTTTTGCCAACAAAAGCATGCCTGGGTTAAGAAGGTTTTGTGCTTTTTCCACACAGAAATTTGTCTTCACGAAGTTTAAAAATAAAAAGATGCCAATCAAAATGTTGCAAAATTTATGGCCATTCAATGGAAACTATGGTTTTGCATGTAAACCAATATTAAGATCTTCTTAATTTCAACACAATCTCAGTGATGTTTCTTCGCAGACAATGTGCCTATGATTTTTATAAACAAGCAAAGCAATTGAAAATCACCGTTTGAATGCGTTTCCTGTGGGCTTTTGCATTGCTCAACGTAGGAAAATTGAAGAGCAATTGAAAAAACTATGAATTTTTTTTATTAATTCTTTCACTATTTTCAAATTTTAATCAGATGTGGCAGCTTGCTATCAACAAAAATCTTTAACAACTATTGCGACAGTTGATTTTTTGCAAGTTTAAGTAGAATGAAAGTCAGGTTTCCAATTGAAAACGAAATAGATAAAACAATGTTTGCAAAACCCTTCACTGTGTTCGTTTAAACAGCTGTGATTTTACCAAACAAATTTACTTGCTGTTAAGGTTTTTGACTTGCTGAAAATAAGGGGATACTCGAGCAATTTTTTTATTTCTTTGATTTTTGTCAAAAAAGCCAAAATTTAAAAAAAATGACTTTTTTGAAAGCATGGACGAGGTTCCAGAAATGCAACCATATCAAAATTACTAAAAATAGGTATTACCAGTCATTGTTCATAACGCTGTTCATCATTGTGAAATCTTTGCAAGTTTCTATAGCGCAACAAATAAAGCAAAATGGAGAATTTCCCATCCTTCCTATCAAAATATGCCTAATCATTGCTTTATTTTTTCACGCAACTCTAGTGTCTAGAAAGAATTATGGCAAGTTTAGTCGATGAAAGAAGAGAGCGAAACTAACCTCAGCGTGCCTTGAGCGAGGTCTAAGTGGAGCAGATCCCTGCCACTGCCAATCAAGTATACGATAGCTCCTGAGGGATGAGTTGTTCTAAATTCAACGTTGATTCTGTTCACATTCGGATTGTACGGCTTACTTCGAATATCGTAACGTAGGTAGCCATCACCATTCAGCGAGATTGCTGCTTTTGCGTCATGTGTATATTGGAAGAAGAACAGAAGATGAACGAAGTAAAACCAAGAAGACATTTTCACGAGGCAGCCGATGACCGCTGTGTTGCTCGTAGCAAATGACAAGGGATACTGTGGCGAGTATCAATATCTCTCAAATATTACAACACTCGTGGTTGTGTTTGATTAAATATGCTGCCTAATAGCACCCTGCGGAGCTAGGAAACGCGGTTCAACCAGTGCGATGGTGACATGACTATGTTGGAGAGTGCGAAGTCATTAGACGTACGGTGATGCCATGGCCACATCAAGCTGACTAAAACGACTTACATGGATACTTGATTGAGAAATAATAGTCTTTGTCACTCTCGCGCACTTACTTCTGCTTGACTTCTATAGAATTTCAGCTTACTAGTCAAACATTTGAAGCTTTTCATTATAAACCTTTATCAAGGGTTAACCGCAGAAAGCAACGGGAAAATAGAAGGGATACAAACATCTGCCATCAGAAAGACTTATCAAGCTTTAATAATGGATGAAGGCAGCATTTTGCAAGGCCAACATCACTGGTTAATTCTTCACTTGATTTAGAAAGGATTTAATTGCAAAACTGGTTTTGTTTTCGTAAACCAACAAAAACAAAAAGCTTACTCACTTTTACAGTCTAAAGACAGCTTATTGAAGCAGCTTGAGCCCCTTTTCATTTCTTAACACTGGATGGTCAAAAAGTTACGGAAAAAATTTGATCAAGTCATATTTGATATTTGCTACTTGAAAAGTTTACTAAAATCCTCATTCTAGCCAAAAGTTTGTTTCGATTTTGGGAAATACCTTCTAAAGTAGTTTTGAGTCAGCAAAGAATACTACCTCAATTCTTCCTCTTTCCGAAGAAATTATCTAGCCACAAGGATTCAACACCAATGTTTAAGAAAGCCTAAAATTATATAATGTTTAATTTCTTTCAGAATTTGATTTTGAATCACCTTTCGAATACCAAATGTTGTTTTCAAAAAATGTTTAAAACACTGAACCCGATTCCAGCTATTACAATGCGTAAAACAAACATGTTGAAGGAATAAAATGCCTAGAATCACAGTTGGCATTTGATTTTTAATTTATTGATTTTGTTAATTAGACATCAATCAAAAGTAGCAAGAAAAATCTTAGTTGTCTTTGTAGCTTAAGAATTTATTCATCAAGTGTGAAAGGTTCATGCTGCTAAAAAATGTGGCCATTTTGATAAGAAGTGAAATGGACGAATAGCAGCAGTCCTGCCTGATCAAATGTTATGTTGAAGCAGTTATTGTGAGGTTAGGCTGACCTCTCAGGTGAATGTCCTCTTTGTATTATGCCTTGGTTATATGTCACTTACAAAAGCAACAGTAGATTTAATAAAGATCAATTTCTATCTAAAAGAAGAGATTTCTCTACATGATTTTCGGTTGTTTGGCAGCAACTGTGAAGCAATTGCAAGCGCCGTTGTTCTAAGATTTAATACCGTCACATCTTGCTTTCAATGCGGCAAACATTACTCTTCATTTTAAACAAATCCTTTGTGAAAGCCGGAGTCTACATAAACAATAAAAAAGACTTTATTTGCATTTATCTACCGGGTTTAGTTCAAATGAAAATCATGTTTGGCTTTTTCTAGTTTTGATTCTGCAATAATTTACAACAATGTTAGAACATATCCATTCTTATTTCAAATGCTTGTGTTCTGAAGACCATTCAGAAAAGTTGAAAGAAGCAATCTATCTACAGTAACGGGAATTAACTGCTGCAATTTGGTCTAAATGTTGTGCTTTGTACAAAAGCCTAGTATTAATTACTTTGATAAAATCACCATCGTGATATGAAAAACGTACTTTAGTAGCAGAAAGTATTCTGTGCAAAAGAGACATTCGCTTTCAGTGCAAAAAAGACTTATTATTGAAAATAAATTTTTGGTAATGCAAAATTTGAAGATGGCAGGTATACGATTACCGATGCATGATTTTCTCTGTGAATCAGAAAACTATCCATCCTTTGCAGCGTCAACAATCAATTTGGTACGAACATGAACCGGCCCCTCAAAGAGCTCTACTAGGAAAAGAAGTGTAACAAATATAGCAGATTGTGTTTGCTTCAAACAAAGTGGTTGAATGTCATTACTTGCGTGATTAACCCAATGTAGAAAATATTGGGTTAATTTAGGTTTTTTAGGCCCGGATGATTTAGGTTTTGTTTTGATCAAACAGAACCCAATAATTTAGCGTTATACAATTGTTAAGTAGCTTTTTACGTTCTAATCAAATCAAGTTGGAACAATCAACTAGTCAATCAATCGATCGATTACTCATATTTCAAATTCATAGTTCATTTTATCAATAAAATTCTTTCTATTGTTTGCCGTGACCAAGATTTCCACCATGCAAGGTTTAACTCCACAAAACAAGATAAATCTCTAAGCTTGCATTTATCTTTCATAGAACAAAATTTGTGACGTATGTCAGTGTCAACTGGTTGACTTATGACTTTTAAGGTTTTCTGTTGAATTTAAAAACTGTACCAGGGTCCTTCACCCAGATGAGAAAATATGGCGGCAAACAACTTAAAGAAAGACCAATACAAACAGAGGAACTAAATTGGAATGCCAAAACCTCATTTTCAATATATTTCTTCCGAAACTGAGAGTATTGTCCGAAGGAAAAATGAAGACTATTCTGGGCTGTAATTGACACTTCAACAAAGTCAGATAAAAGGGACATCCACACAAATAACAGAAGCCCTAAAAAGAATGGAGATAGAAAAAGAGGAAGGAAATTATTTCATTGTTATTAGCTGTTTATAGTTAATGGGAACTAATATTCAAACTTATTTTGGAATCTAAGAGGTAAAAGTAATAACGATGTTCCTAGTAATACAAGGAAGCAATATCCGTTGCAAAAATCAAGCAAAACAAGTGCCGTGTATCCCGCATTTAACCAGATTTCATTGTTCTTATGACAATGCGTCTCATTTTGTGATCAATACCTTATATTCTTTTGTGTCTTTGGCCTTCATTTTCATTAAAAGTCTATCTTCACTTGCTTTTAACCAATTGTACCGTCCAGAAAGATCATGCCACAAAAGCACCACAGCATTGCTAAAGGCATTTCAAAAATTCACCCTTAAGAACGCATATTGTACTGCACTGCAAGCAAAAGATGCAGTTTTTCGCATATTTATATTTCATTTTGACGACTTTTGCACGAAATCATTTCTAAGCTAATTATAACTCAATCAAAATATACATTTTGCATGGCAGGTGATTTTTATTTGAACCTCTGGTTTGCGCGGAATGTCCTAGTCAACATGAAGAATCAATGAAATATTCTGGAAAGAAAATGTTGGCACCGAATCACTTAAATCTTGTAGCTAATACAAACGAGAATCAATCAAGTGAAGTCAGATTAAACCCTTGAGTATTGCAACGGCAAGCATAGACTAAAAATAATGAAAGCTGAATGGAGTATCATCCAGCTTAATGGGTCAAATGAATTATCAAAAAGGATAATAACAATCTAATGCAATTATAAATTGCACCTTTAGAAAATCAAAACTGCAAAGTAGGGAGAAGGAAAATGAGATATTTCATCACGTGAGCAGATTATCATCCACAAGAGACTATGTACTTGTGAGGTCAATCAATTGCCGTATGCAATCTAATATCTATCTATATTAGCAAAAAGCACTTAACATTTTCAAATATTTTTAAAATGTTTTGCCTTTAGTAGATACGTAAAGTGGCCAAAAAACCTGCAAAACTTTTTCCAAAATTACTTGAGAAAATTTGTGAGAAAATTGGTGGGAAAATTGGTGAGAAAAATGGGGAGAAAATTGGTGAGATAATTATTGTGAAGAAATCTCATGCTCTCATAAGATCTGATATTAAACAAATTAATCCCTTTAGCGATATTAAACAGCAGGAGAAATATTGTTTAAATATATCCAGCAAGAGTGTAAGAAAATTTTCCAAACAAAGCAAACAAAATGTCTTAGAATGACAGGCATGTGTTCAGACACAGCAAGGTCAGAAGAATGAGTGATTAATGAAACTACCAAGTACATTGACGTACAGGTATCAACCCGCAGAGTCAGTGAACCCTTCATTGCAAATTAAAGTAAGCCACCTTGACATTGAAACAGAGTCAGGATTTCGTCAAACAGGTCTTGATTAGGCCTAAACTTCTGTGTTATTGTTAATCCTACCAATTATTACAGGACATTGTAATTATTAATGACGGGAACTAAGGACACATATGTAGTATAAAAATGCAGTTCTTATTCGAATCCTGCATGTTGCTGCTCGTTGTCAATGGTATTAACTGTGGGAGCAAAGAATTTCAAAGAGCAGTCTTGGATGAACACAATAAACACAGAGGCACACATAATGCTCCTCCTCTAGCCCTGGATGACAAACTTTCAAAAAACGCAACTTTAACAGCACAAAAGGCGGCAGAAAGTGGAAGCTTTGAAAGCATTTCACCGGGACAGAGTGTTTTTGTTTCCTGTGCTACATTCAAACGTGAAGTAACAGGGAAAGAAGTGACCGATGCATGGTAAATATATCATCCAATTGCAGAAAGGAAAAACTGTTTTGTCTTCTACAAAACATTTATCTGATCACGACCGCAAAGTTGTAAGCAAATTGAATAAAAACCTGGTGAAAAATATTGAATTTTTTTGACAGTCCAATATTTAAATACTCCGTATAAGCTTCTGAAGTGTTTTCGAATTTCGGTTTTTGAAATATTGCGATCATAGCAATAATGATATTGACGTTTAATAACAAATTCTCCTTGTCAATTTAATGCTCCGCAAGGCGACGGTTTTATTTGGAAAAATTAACAACCACATTTTTGAACCAAACATGCACTGGTGCCAAGCAACCAAATGTTAATCGTTGCAAATCCCAGCTTAGCTGCATAAGTAATTTCTTTAGTATCAAATTAATTCTTCTGGATGTTTTTCAGTACTCTTTCATGACAACCCTTATTGCATTTCGGCAATGCCTGAAATGTCATATATGAAAAGTACGCATTTCAACTCCTCAAATGCTGCGTGGGGTAGAAAAAGCTAGTGCAATTTTTCCTTGTTTACCTGCATCTTCTGTCCTGTGGTCTTTTCAGCTTCCTATAGTTATTCTGCTGTTTCACTACTAGCCATACCCTGTTTACAATGACAGTCTACAATTTTCAAACAGCAATCTATACCTTAACATATTTTTCTTGATCTAATCATTTAGGTATGGTGAAGTTTGCAGTCCATCTTTCGATTTCAAAAGCCCAGACAATGAAAAGGCGAGGGGCTTTACTCAACTAATCTGGAAAGATACAACGAGATTAGGGGTCGGAAAAGCGTCAGGACACGGAAAAGACGGCGAAATTTGTGTTTACATTGTTGGCGTATATAGGCCTCCTGGAAATCTAGTTGGGTTCTTCGAAGACAATATCGATATTGGAACATTCGAAAAAGAAGATTATTGTAAAAATGACGATGAAGATGAGGAAGGTGATAGTCAGGAAGAGGATGAGGAAGAGGACAGTGATGAGAAAGATAAAAAGGATGTTAAAAAGAAAGGCAAGAAAGGAAGTAAAGTTTAGGTACTTTTGAGAGCTGAAGGAAATAAAGACAAATGGAATGACAGAAAATGAAATGAATACAGATAAACACGCTGTCTTAGGTGCTTGAGTGAGTTTCTACCGGTTTAGGTGGAAGAGGGAGTCTCGCCTACGTCCAGTCTCTATGAGCCGCTGTTGGTCTTTTTAAGCAAATATTGCTACTTTTCTTCAAATCCTCAGAATAAATCTCTCTCTTCTCCTGCTAACAGTAATGCCTTTTAGAATAGAATTTCGCATGTGAAGACAACGGTTGAAAATGCTCAGAAAGGTATACAAAATATATATTTGCAAAGAATATATTTGAAATCTTTTTATGAAAATAAATCACGTATATATAGCCTGTTATCATTTACTTAACATTAGAATGCTTTCGTGGCAATTGGGGAAGCCAGGTATCGTATGGCAAGTGCATGTAATGCCCTTTTAATGTCACTATTCTTTAGCTGTGAACTGCATCTTTATTAAAAGCATTGAGTCATGGTAAATAGGCCTTCTCTATAAGGGGTCATTCAGTTCTAGTGCGCTTGCTGCAGTTTCATGTGATATCGGCATCCGTTGTTGACAACTTGCTATTGATGGAAACCGTTTTGTTAATCAGTAAATGTTGAGCTCATGTGACAAGTTCCAGGTTCACCAATAGCACCGCAGCATTACAATCATGACTCAGCGATTTCGGGTACGTTTGGGTATACTGTCTCCTTTTATCGTGACTAAATGCCTTTAATTATTTGATCTTGAAATGCCTTTTTCAAGAGAATGTATGAAATGTAGTTGAATGCACGGAAAGGATAGGTACCTGTTGTCAACTAGAGTGACTAAATTTTTTTTGTTCAACCATAAATAAAGTTTTTAAAATCATTTACCTAGAATTAGAGACTCTGCACTTTGCACGGTGATAATGAAAATCACCACATAAAAATTAGCAATAAAGAAAAAATTAGCAATAAAGAAAGAATTAGCAGTAAAGAAAGAATTTGCAATGAAGAAGCATTTTGATTTAGCCTCTAAATCATATTTGTTTACAATTGCATTTGAAATAAATTTAAACTCAGCTTATATTGATACAGCGATAGTTTGCTTTGGCAATCGATCAAACGTATCTAAAAACCTTTTTAATCATAATTAAAGCGATATACACTAAATTACAGTCTCCTTGACGCATGCCTTTTAAGTTTAATTCAAAAATTGCTTCCTTTATTATTATGCGTATTGAAGCTAGCATTCCTGAACGAGATCAATTAATTGTCATACTTAGAATATTCATGTATGCTGTCCAATCAATAAACAATCTTTCCACAGTTTGATATTTTTTTGTTTACTTACCTCCAGGATTGGCAACATTTCTAAAACTTTAGAAAAATTAAAATTCTACTCAAACTCATCTGTACAGATAACTACAATAGATAAATTTGTAACACAAAAGCAAAGGACAATTTGAGATCGTTTCTTTTGATCGCAAAAAATCAATGCACATTTTTACATTGCAAGTACTCTGAGAGATTATAAATTATTCTGGAAAATCTGACGAGGAAAAGGGAAAACTTAGAGTTCTACAGGTATCTTCATCGGATAACTTGGTCAGATTGTGGATCTAAATAAACCAAAATGCCAGCCTCTCAGGAAAACGAATTTGATAACAAAAATTTACACAAAAAAACGATAAATCTGTTATTTACCCTAGAATATAAATATATACTTAACAGTTTATAATCTTTTTCAAATTACTATAACTGGCAATTAGTTTGGAAAATATAACTTTTGCTGAACTCAGGTGGACACAGTTGGAAATACGAAATTGACATGTATTTAGAGCCTTCTGCATAATACCAAATTTACCACAGGATTTTTACACACTTGCTGCCATGAAATATTAACGGCAAGAAAATGATACATGCATAGAATCTTAGTGTTTAACAAGATTAGGTCTCTTTGCATACTTTCAAATGTATCTTTCGGGATCTTTTAAGAATTGCTTCTTATTAAATCAAAATCGAAAAATTCTGCAAAGCTTTACTGTCTTTCAGTAATAGGACTAAACTTTCCTCTGTTATTACCACTCTGAGCTTTACAGAAAAAAACGTTTCAGTTCCCGCGCCAAAAGCAATCAATTAAGTGATCACTTGGCTGGTAATCAAAAATGCGTTTATTCCGTACCATTGAAAAGTGAAACTCTATTTTAAACGGATGTAGGTTGCTAATCAAATTAAGAAATAGGTCATCCAGCTTTGGCAGGAACCCAGGATCTGCAGCGGATCTGCAGCAATTTCAATTTTTTGATTCACTGCTGCTTCTCGTATCCCTCAGCCATTAACACTAAGCATGACAGTCCCATTTTGACAAGTGACGCTATATGCTTTTCGCTATCTAATTTTTGTACAACAGACTTTGAACGGGTAAAAGTAATCTCCTTATATCGTCAGCTATACACTTCATTGCCCTAGCGTACACATCGTACATAAAAGTTATCGGTGACGTCAACCACAACGGTGAGCTTTGCCTTACACAATCACAAATGACAATATGTCATTTCCCAATCGCGTCACCGTATTCACGGATTCATGCTTTGTCACCAAATCCGTCAAAATTACGAACAGAAATACGCACTACTGTTCTTTTTCTTTTTCGCACGTGCGTAGTCAAGGGTAATATGTGTCGTTATTGGCTGCCTGAACCCGGTGTGCTGCGTGTACTCCAACGCAGGGGTAGGGACGCTGTCATAGGAGTCGTAAGAATCCCTTCGCAGTTCTATTGTAGGCCTTGGTGGCTCCCTTTTCGAATGCCTGAAAAGAATGCACATTTCTGTTCCTTCTTCAGCATCTTCAGTCTCCATGTCTTGTCTGTTTCCCCTCTGTGAATCACGTTTCTTTCGACGTACAATTACTATAACTGCGATGATTGCCCATACAAGCACAATAGCTGCCGATATTACAATTACTGCTAAAATGCTCATGGATATTGTCACACCGTCATGTGTCTTGCTCATATTTTTTACGGCGCTTGTCGAACGGTTGCCGTCATCTTTAACTAAATTGGTTTTCACCGTCTTGGTAATAGGACTAATGTCTTTTGATGAGAAAGAGGATCTCATTATATTTACTCCGACTGTTGACCTTTTTGTGACAATTTTTTCCGTTTGTCGAAGAACTTCAGTCACTTTGGTCGAAGGTTTTGAAGTAGTAGATGCTCTTGCATTGAAAGGTCGACAAGCTCTTTGCAAAACAACGTTGGTATTTGGCGTGGAAGATGTTGCTCGAGCTGACGCTGTTGTCGTTGTCATTGGGGTTGTTTTTTGTGGTGCAAAGCATTCTAAGTCACCAACAGTAGAATATGAGTCAGAGGAGTGTCTATCGAAGTAAATTGCAGACACCGGGAGTGCATCTTTATCTGTGAGAAAACCTAGTAAAAATGCAGTTGTGTTGTCAAAACTGAGGTGGATGTTCACACACAAAGGCTTAAATTTATTGAAAATGCAGATCGCTACAAATGGTCACACTTAGGCCTAGTGCAAAATTAACATAAGTGTTGCCTCGTACTAATGTTTGCTCGTCGTCTCCTTTATAAGTGGAGGAAAAACTTTCTAGCAAACCACAATGAAGAAAAAATAACAAATGAATTTCTTTAAAAAAATTTATTTTGAAAACAGATTTCCTAAGTGAACGAGCTACTTGTCTTTGAAAATGATCGTTAACTTTTAAAACCATTCTTTTCAGTCTTATGTAAAATGAATATTTGACTATTGAAAAAAAATATTCAATAAAATGTTAATTGTATCACTCACCCGAATCTTCTCGCCAGAATTTATCCCCAATGTCACAGTTGCAATATTTGGTTGCGTCAGCACAATTCCTCTTCACTCCGCAGGCGCACTTGTCACTTCCTTTGGGTGCTCCTCCCCAGTAATTTTCCATTGATCCTTGGCGATTTATCCAGCTGACGGAGGGTGGGCCTCTGGGTGAGTTGAGCAATGGGCTGTTTTTGCATTCATACCTCACAAATTGCTTGCATTCTGAGCTCTCTTTAATTATTGCCTCGATTTGTGAAATTGACAAGTCGTATTTCATGCGTTGGTAATACTTTATGCCCTGAAGTGGCTGACTATCGACCTTCGTCCGCTTCATACCACTACTCAGTTTTACAACTGCGACCGCTCTTGATTCTTTGGTCATGTTACAAAGCACCTCAAATGACTCTACTGGACCAGATCCGTCCGGATCAATAAAACAACGGGAATCTTCTTTAAGACCAAGCGATTTATATTCCTGGCACGACTTTTGAACGATTGGATCTTCACACGTGTTTCCTGAAATTTGCAGAAAGAGTGAATTGATCGGGTGGTTGTGGCAATGTGATGGGCTGCTGTGCAGCAATGTCTTAAAAAGATGCAACGAAAATACGTGCCATTCCGTTTTGGTCATTTTCAACTGATTTTGAGAAATGGCAGCGCTTGCTCTATTCGTTATTGAAAAAGCAGTGCATCATCAGTGCTTTTTAAAGTACATCACATACTTTCGCATTGTTCCAGAGCTATTATCCTTTTTTAACATTGAAAAGTTTTCATGCATTTGCCTTTTTAATTCTGACAGAGGATTTTGAAAGCATAGCGGAGCTCCCTATTCATATTCCTGAATAGTCGGCAAAGGGATAGCCGACTATTCAGGAAGAGGAAAGTATCGTGTTATTGACGTTAAATACATGGAAATATTCTGAACTTATCACAGTTATATTTACTTTACTTCATAAACAAGACAAGTTTTAAGGCAGCTGTGACTGAGTTGCGTTTTAAAGAGATTTTATTGAAACGAAATTTGGTAAACGCTCTTAGGTCAGTTCGCTTGCACATTTACAACGAAAGGTGTTCTAGTGACGTCTGAATCTTTTATGTTTGGTATTTCATCTTGTTTTATTGTAACTTATAAGAAGAGGGATTCATGTCATGTCCACGAGGGCTTCATTGAGAACGTATCTTTTTCATTATGTTGTAATATTATCTTGTAAAATCATTTTTTGCATCATTAGATAAACATATCTTACAAGATTTATTGGAAGAAAGAAATTCCATAAAAATCAATTTTTTCCTAACTTACCAATATACAGAGTTTTTTGACAGTCACATAACGATATTTCACCATCCATTTTGCATTCTCCGCCATTTTTACATGGATTTGGCCAGCACTTGTTGATGACGTGGCACTTCCCTGGCAATGCTCCCTTGATTGCTTTTGGGTCCAGAACTCTGGCATCGATAGAAGTGCCGTCCACTCTAATGCGGTAGAGACACCCAACCATCCCCTTCAGAATGTTGTCAGCGCCCCCACCAAAGGTCACGTGCTTTGCGTCATACGTGATCTGCTTTAAAGCAGGATTTTTGTATACTAAAGGTTTCTCGGTGTCCAGTTTCAAAGATACCTCTTCTCCATTCACAACGCATTCAATATCATGCCAGTTGCCATCATTCAAGTTTTTCCCCATTTCAAGTTTTATTGGGGTAATTTTTGTCGATTCAACACGTAAACACAATTTCCCATCACGTATCTCTACAAATATTCTTCCATCGGCTGAAATCTTTGACACAATCATGCTGCTTGGAATATATGTTCGAAAACTCAAAGTAAGGGAGAGACTCTTTTGAATGTCACTTTCTGTTTCAATGGTAGCCTTGTAATCAGGAAATGTAACTGGAGAATACGCAATATCATGACACTTGTAGGAAACATCTCCAAAGGCGCGAAAATCTTTGTCGTTGTACTTTGCCTTGTAAAGTATGCTCATTTCGTCAAACAAAAGGTTATCCAAACAGCCTATGTAATTCCTTGACATCAAATTTGCTGACGAATCAAATATTGTGTCTTTGGACACCCCACCGACAAAAATTTTGTCATCGAGGTTCAGCGTCGTAAACGAGGCAGAGGGTAAAAGGGATTTTTTGGTCTTCCCATCAACTGAGATGTTAACGGCATTGCGGCTACGAGTTATGTCTACGCTGTGCCATTTATTGTTGTCAAGATCCGTGCCAACAATCAACTCTTGTCTTGATGTTGTTTCTGATGCACTTCCTAAGTCAGCTTGATAACTGTAAAAAATGAAACTAAATTAATGGCAGTACTTCATATGATGCAAAAAACCTATATCAGTTGCAAGAAAATATTTTATTAAAAATGGAACAGAAAGTGACTTATCGTTTAATGTCCTAAGCTAGTATTCTGCCACTAAAAATCTGCCTATGAAAGATATTTGGTCTCTGTCGTATTCTCGATCCCTATCGGAGGAATAAACCTAAGTTTCCTTCTCAATTTGCAGCTCTCTGCTGGACATTTTCGAATCAATATCGAGTTCATTATATGATCCTGTTGCAAATGAATCAAGAAGGCTAATTTCCACAGTGATGAAGACTGAAGACTGTTAAGTGCTAGGCAAATTATAATCGATGCAAAATGTATTTTGCTGCAACAAAATTGAATGTTTCACTGCAACTAAAATCTAGTTTTTTGTTGTTTCAACACTCTTGATCCATCGAGATTCTTGAAAGATATTGTACCTGTACCTGAAAGCAAGCTGTTTCCTGTTACGTTTTATTATATATTCATATGTTTTTGACAAGGCTTTTTTGAAAATATCTGTGATCTCCAGGAAAGGTCAACTTTTTACTCCTGTAATGCTGTCTAAAAACACCATTTCCAGGAGCTGGTTCTGAAACAAGATAGCTGGTGAGTCCGAGTCGTGAGTATGAGTCCAGAGACAGAATTTGATATACTGCCAGTATGCATTCAGTGCTGCTCCAGTGCCATTCTAACTGTAATCTTTAAGCGCTGAATCACATTTAAAGGGAAATGGACACTTCAGATAATCAATATTGGGTTTACCAATACGCAAGCAGATTTGGAAATAGCAAGCATCATAACGACGCATGATTCTGAGGCCAAGCAGAATGGATGTTTATGAATTCAACATTGTAAAGCCTGATAACACTAAAACTGAAGTAATCAAAAATAATAATAAGTTGTTATTACAAGCAGTTGTTTAGAGGAAGTTGTTCAGTTTCTATGGAAGGAGATGCACATCCACCAAGTATGCGCCTGGCCCCTGCGTGACCCAATGTTGCTAAGTAACATTAAGTCGTATTCTAACTTTCTATAAATACATGTAAATTCTTTGAATAATAATTCAACTCAAGTTATGAAAATCAATCAGAACTCAAGTCCGAACTTCAATCAACAAAATCTATTTTCTCTTCTTTTCACGTCATTGAAATTGCTTGCCTCTTTATGGCTTCCCTACTGATTCTTATTGAAAATATTCTTAGAGACAAACAACTGAAATTCAATACTGCTGTCTCTAGATTCAATTCTTATATTAAAAATTTTGGGATACTATTCTTGAAAATTTTATTCTTTAATGTTGAAAACAAACATATGCTTTTGAAAAACAAAACAAACATAGTTGTTTATATTAAACGTATTATATTAAAACTCATTTGAAAGATGAAGTTGCTGTGTAGTAAATTCATAATTTGACCAAACGGAATGAAAACTGGACATGGATCTTGTTTCAATAACACAAATTATGTTATTAGTTTATTAACCTAAAGCATCCCTTTTGCGCTGTTATACTTGGTTATGTTTGTTGCCTCAAGCCTTTCCAGCTTCACATTCAAACTTCCGTTTTTGGACTAGGCAATCCATCATTTATACCTTATTTAGAAAACTACAAGAAAATTAGATGATTTGTTTGTAATCTTATTTTAAATCGAATATATTTAATTTTTAGCTACATTTATTCGATCTTCTCCATAGATCTAGCCAAGGAGAAGAACCACACTAAAGGGCAGTAGTTAAAGTTAAAGAAGACAAAGCTTTGGACCTTTTTCTCATCAAAGCCAATGAAATACTTACGTCTTTTAAGCACATTCAGCTGGGTTGCTGCCTTTTTACAAAGTAGGTACCCCTGATAAAACAGATTGAAAATCACTGTAAGTATAATTTATTCGAACTGCTTGTAAGTGCCTTCTAAAATAGGAGTAAATAGGAGTAACTTTGATCAAAGCCATATGCATGAAGTTTTGCAATAAGAAGGTCATGCGGGATACAGTCGAAGGCCTTTGATAAATCAATCAGTACTGCTCCGACAAAGTAATCATTGTCCAATTTGACTTTCCAGTCTTCAAGCATTTTAATTGAGATGTTGTGTATTGTAAGCCTTCATGTAGGCAGCAACGAAAGCGGACAGGGTTTTATCGAGATGAGGACTAATTTGATCTTTTATTATTTTTTCATATATCTTGGAAAAAGTGTTAAGCACACTAACTGGACGGAAAATTCTTTACTACTGTTCGAGCAGGTTCGCCTTTGTCAAGAGGTGTGACTGCAGCCCGTTTTCCACGGTCTGGAAATCTGCCATTTTTGATACTGGCATTTATAGCTTTTGTTAGCGGAATGGATAGCTCCTTCGCAGCTAGACGGACAAGTTTAGGGGGCATTTTGTCTTCACCGGTCGATTTCTTATCATTTATTGAAAACAAGAGTTTGAAAACATCGTCTGGTTTAACTTCATAGAGAGAAAATGTACCAAACGAATTTTCTCGATTTTGAATTATGGCTAATATTCTAGGGTGATTTTGGTATCCCTGCAGAATCAGTCTAACTATGTGACTATCGTCTTGAAAGGGTGCGTTTTTCGCAATGCTGGTGGGTTTTCTTCCAGAAGATTTTTCTACGATATCATGTAATGGTGATTAAAAGCTTCGGCAAGTTCTTTATCTTCTTTAACAAGGGTAATGTCGTTATCACGTAACCCCCCTTTATTTGAGAGAAATGGTTTGAAAAGATTCAAAAAGTCTTGATTTGAAAGTAGACTGTTTTTGGTTGCATTTTTAAAGTGATTTCTGATCGCCTTCTTTCTTAGCAAAACGCACAGATTTCACTGTTTTCATACTTGATTTCATTAGACTTGTGATTTTAGACTTGATTTCATTAGGGTGCCTTTTAGATCAGTTATAAATTGTTTTCTGTAGATCCCGATTCATAAATGGGGCAGTGTTTCCCATGAGTTTCTTAGTCTTCAATGGAGCATGTTTGTCAACTAGCGTACGAAACGTTCCGGTAAGATGCTCATATGCATCATTAGCGCTTTGATAGTCATTGTCAAAGTTGGTACTTCTGACGTCAGATAAAAAGTCATTTTCATTAAAGTTTCTATAATGTCGATAAGTAATATTTTTTGCTTTAAGGCTGGGTACCTGAGCTTTCAGTAGAATAACTACAAGCCCGTGATAGTCGCTCAGTCCTGTCTCGAATACACATGTGTTTCGAAAAGACCCTGGCCTGTGTTTTGAAAAAACGTGGTTTTTTGTGATACCTGTTTCTTCCCCCCTTTTTAGGATACTGGAAACAGCAACATTTCTTACGCTTTTCTTCGCCTCTGTGGCCAATTCAATTAATTTATTTGTTTTTACTTCGGGAACTTCGGAACGTAGGTTGTTTGTTCCACATACGAGTAGTATTCCGTCTGGCTGGTTGTCTATAGTAGGCTTGATATATGATATATGATCTATTTGATCAATTGTGGCTCCGGTGAAAGTTTTTATTGATGTTTAGGCGTATGGAACTTCGGTATATAGATCTTGCTTATTGATCATTTTTTTACTATAGAGTCGCCGAGAATAGAAAAAAGCTGGCTTTCTAGGGCTTCTAGGCCTCCTTGGATCTTCATATACGGTTTAATTGGCGTGTTGCCTTGGTTCATCCATGTTTAGTTTATCAATACCCTTTCCGAGTTTATCAGCTGAGTTGCTCGTTGTTCTAGGAAACACCCGACTATCTTCAATGGCTGAATACTCTCTGTCGTTTGGGAGTTGTGTTGAACACTCTTTTATTGTTAAGGTATCCAGGCAGTTGAATCTGTTCGCTGTTTCTAGAGACTGTGTCAAAGGACAGCCCTTTCCATTAACGTTTCTCCACTCTGAGCCTTGATACTGTGATTTGGACTTTGTATGTACTTTCCATTTATCAGCTGCATGCTTCGTTTGTATGTTTGAATCAGCTATATTCCACTTGGGCGATGGTCTAACAGCGACTTCACAAATTTTGAATGACGTAATTTTCTCCTTCAACTTTGTGTTTTCGAATTTTAGGCCAGTGTTTTCATTAAGTAGAGATTTTTTTCTCAAATTCGAGTTGACTAATTCTAGAGAAAAACATGGTAAAATCAATTTTATTGATTTCTTCGGTTCTTGGATTTTTTTGGCTTTTATTTGTAATTTCTTCCATTCGCTTCTCAACTTTTTCCATTCTGTCCAAAATACGCGCAAGAGTATTTCGACTTGTCTGGTCTTCGTGTGATATAATTTGGACTACTTCATCTGAGAGAAACGGAACTCTGCCCTGGTCTTCGTGTGATACAATTTCTTCGCACCAAGTGGCGATAACCCTTCCCTGTCTTTTCCTTCACTTCTTTCGATAATATTTCTCCGCTTCTAAGTTCCTCTGCTCCATTAAATACAGGATGTATTGTCAGAGATTCACGTCCACCATGAGGGGTATTTTTTATTTTTCCTTGCTTCAGCATTCAATCCAACGATGTCTCAACCATGCTTTGATTTAGGCCATGCGTCTTGTTGAGGGCCCTGCAAATTTTTGGTGGAGTCAGCGCGTTAGTTTTTCTCGCGTAACTTTTTATTTCAGCTAATACAAGATCCTCCAAATCTTCCTAACCTATCAGAATTCCAGATTCAGTCTCATAATCAACTGTATTTAGTGCTGTCGCCATTCCAAATCTCTATTTTAATCCCAGTGCATAGAAGCGAACCTGACTGTTACACTAGATCACTGTCTGCATGAGAAATATAAACATGCTGTACCCATTGCCACTAATACTGGGTTTCAAAAAGACCAAAGCCTTGAGATTTTATGCGTCTTGCAGTTTTCTACGTAGATCAAACTAATTTTGTGAACGATTTCAACTTCTCGTAACATGCAAGAAAGTTTAGGAACACCTTTAAGTTTTTAACTTTATGGAATAAAGCAATCATTTACCTGCTAGGAAAATGTTTTGTTGCTCTAGATGGGAGCATATTAT